GTGTGAACGATGATTAAGATTCGAAGGTTGTTGAGAAGAGAAGTTGAAATTATTCGATAGAATCGATCTTTATTTTTTTTTTCTTTTTTAGTGACTCGATTTTATTTTAAAAGGACGAATTCGATAAAAGGAAGAAATCAAGGAATTAATTGTCGATTAAAGTATTTAAGAGCTGCTTTAATAACGAATGACAAAGAAGATAAATATTTTAAAAAATGGAGAAAAGAAAGGAGAAGTTCTTTAAAATAAATGTTAATCAAAAAGTATTAAAGTATTTAAGAACCGCTTTAACAACTAATAAGAAATGACAAGGAATGATAAATATTTATAAAAATGTACAGGAAAAGTTCTTTAAAAGTAAAAGAATTTGAAAAAAAGGAAGAAATCAAGGAATTAATTGTCCTTAATTAAATTATTTAAGAGCCGCTTTAACAACTAATAAAAGAAATGATAAGGAATGATAAATATTTATAAAAATATACAGGAGAAGTTCTTTAAAAGAATAAAGGAAGATAAGATAAAAGGAAAATTAATCAAAGTATTTAAGAGCCTTTAACGATTAATAACAAATGACAAAAGATAATAATCTTTTAAAAAATATAGAAAAATTAAGAAAAGTTCTTTACTTCTTTACAAGTAAAAGAATTTAATAAAAGGAAGAAATCAAGGAATTAATTGTCGATTAAAGTATTTAAGAGCTGCTTTAATAACGAATGACAAAGAAGATAAATATTTTAAAAAAATGGAGAAAAAAAGGAGAAATTCTTTAAAATAAATGTTAATCAAAAAGTATTAAAGTATTTAAGAACCACTTTAACAACTAATAAGAAATGACAAGGAATGATAAATATTTATAAAAATGTACAGGAAAAGTTCTTTAAAAGTAAAAGAATTTGAAAAAATGGAAAAAATCAAGTATCAATCAAGGAATTAATTGTTAATCAAGTTATTTAAGAACCGCTTTAATAACTAATAAAAGAAATAATAAGGAATAATAAATATTTATAAAAATATACAGGAGAAGTTCTTTAAAAGAATAAAGGAAGATAAGATGAAAGGAAAATTAATCAAAGTATTTAAGAGCCGCTTTAACGATTAATAACAAATGACAAGAGATAATAATCTTTTAAAAAATGTACAAGAAAAATTCTTTACTTCTTTACAAGTAAAAGAATTTGATAAAAGAAAGAAATCAAGGAATTAATTGTTAATCAAATTACTTAAGAGTCACTTTAATAACGAACGACAAAGAGTGATGGATATTTATAAAAATATAGAAAAGAAGTTCTTTAAAAGTAAAAGATAAAAGCAAGAAATTAATCAAGAACTTAATTGTCAATCAAACTATTTAAGAACCGCCTTAATAATTTAGAAGGATTAATAACGACAAGGGATGATAAATATTATTAAAAAATATATATATAATAGAATTATCAATTATATTTTTTTTCTGCAAAAGATAAGAAAGATTTTTTTTACCTCGTGGCGTGTGCAGTTCGATACTTTTGCGTCGCTCTTCTGCGTCGACGTCTTTCTTCCCTCGAAAGAGTGCCGGCACCAGGTGCACCAACCCCGTTCACTACCACACCGTGTCCACCGTTCGCCATTTTCTCTCCGATCAATAGAAATTCTCCCGTCGAAACAGATAATTTCTTCCTTCCTTTTTCTCCCTCCACCAAATTCTCATTCGTTCTCGCACTCGAGACTAATCGTTGCAAGAAACGTGGAAAGATGAAGGATGAAACGATCCATTTTTATTTTTACCCTTAATCGCTGAAACCGAGATCGCCATTTGTTCTTACGAATACGAACAACAATTACGAATCGAAAAATAATTTATTAATTCCTGTAATTCTGAATTATGATATATATATATATTGAGTCATCGTTCCTTCGAGACTCGACTTCGTCTCGAGGGAACGAGGGAATTCAGGGTAAAAGGGTTTTTCCGGGGAAAAGTAACAAGTTAGGCAAATATTTGTCCATATACTTATACTCGATTTTACACGCGTGAAAAATGATCGACGAAGAAGGGGATCGATTCTTATTTTTAATTCGTCTTTATCTTTATACATAATCGAAGAACAATGTTCTTTGTCAAGTAATAACAAAGATGTGTAATGATATTTATAAACGAGGAAGATCCAATGAATGTGAAAGGAAAAAAATAGTTTCGACGATCTCTCGAGGGACTCTTAAATTTCGAGGCGAAACCGACGAAAGATGGTATTTCTATTATTCAAAAAAAATTCCTCGGCGCGGGACACGAGAAACCCATCCCTTTTTAATTATTCACACGGAAACAACCCCCGGTCTCGTTCGATCTGATTTTTATGGTAAACCGGCAATTCGTATGGACATCTTCCCGGGCTTTCTTTTAATATTTCAAAAAAATTCCCCAGATTTCCACTTGTCGTTCCACCTTTTATTGCCACCTTTCCATCGCACAATTTCATCTCGTATGCTCACGTGTCCGATTCGTGACATCGAATTTGTGACTTCTTTAATTTATCTTGTTTTTTTTTCCTTCTTTTATAATTGAAGAAAGATTCGATAAGAGAAAACAGAAGAGAAATTCAGATACTCACCGAGAAATCAACGTGTGACTTCCATCCCCCATCTTCGATCAGTCGTCCACCTTTTTAAGATGATTCATTTCCTCCCCCTCGATATTTTAATATTACTTAATATTTTCGCTCTAAAAAGAGAAAATACTTTGTTCCTTGCGATTATTTACAGATTATTATTATTATTCTCATATAAATTCAATTCGGAGGAAAAAGGTTATGTATGCGATATTTCGATCGAGTAATTTTTAAAGAAACTTACTTTTTACCAATAGTTTCACCAGATCGTATCTTAACGAGGTATCATCACCGATAATTCAATCAAGTTCCTCTTTGCGATCAAGTTAAATTAACCAAACCTTGACTTTTTCTAATTTTCTTCTTCTTCTTCTTCAAAAAAAAAAAAAAATTATTCAAAAAATAATTTCCACCGAAATGTACGAACCGAAGCAAACACCTACGATTACACCACGAGATCGACGACGTCTCTGATAAGATGCCCTGTCGCGTGGACAGGATGCGCCCCGAGGGCCGATTTCAAGGATCATCTCGTCGTCCACGAGACCACGCCCCCACGAAACGAACCCCTCGTCGTCTCATCCTTCCCTCGCTCTCTCGCTCTCTCTCTCACTCCCTCAGCATCCCCTCGATCCTCCAATGGAAAAGCGGGAGACCGGGATCGAGACCGCCCCAAAGTGGCCGCCATTGCCATCAATGTTCCAGACCATGGAACATTTCCGCACCTGGTGGACGCGAGGCAAGCGAATGGGTGGACCATTTTATCGATCATGCGACTTTCTCTCAAAACTATTATACATAGTATGATTATATTCTGATCCTGTGAAGGATATATATATTTGGAGAGAGAGAGATATTTGGATAAAACTGGTTGTTGGATAAGCATTTGGAAGGATTTAATAATAGTTTAATTAAATTAGTTATTTTTATTTCGTATTTTTCTTTTCGTGCAATCTATGTTTCAATCACGTTTTTAACTCGTTGGACGATATTTTAAAATTCATCTGAGGTTAAAATTCATCGTAGATTACGTTTTGTCAACGAAAAGATATTTAAGGGGATGGTTTCTTCGAGGATCCAAACACTGCAATTACGCAACAATTGTGCGTAACAAAATCGTTAGGGATGGGCGTTAAAGGGTGCGACACCACTCCGAGTAATCATATTCGACGGGACGACATAATGTACACGTTGCGCAACACGTGTCGCAGATTGCATAGTTGCGACGAAAATCGAGATGAGGTGAACCGCACTCTCGATTAATATTTCTTTTTTGTTCGCGGGTGTCATGAGATAGTTCACGCTTCAACCCCTTGACGCCTTTTTTTTCGACCGCATCCCTTCGCGGCACGTGACTTTTCAGAGGGTGTTTCAACAAAAGGGTTCATCTTGGGCGAATCTCTTCTTTGCGCGAAATCCAAATCTAAAATTGTTTATGCATTGTTTTGGCGCGACTTGAGCTTCGATTGTTCGTTTAAAAAATTAGAAGTTAGAAGTTTCGTTGAAAATATGGAATCATATCTTTTGATAATTAAGAAAAAATTTCAAAATTAAATATAGAATAAGTGAAAGTATGTTGTTGACTTTTTACGCAGATTACAAATCAGATGAGGTAATATTAAGAACGATGTGATCAATATTTAATTGGCGTTAGAGTTATCAGTTGAAAATATTAGGAAAAAGATGTTTTATCACAGACGATATATAGAATAGATTAATTCAACGTAATTTTTATTCTATATCTTTGGAATTCAACTCGTTTTAAACTCTAAGAATAAGTTCGAAAGTAATCTAGAAATATATTATAAAAAGAAATGATGGAAATATGCTCAATCAGACGTCTCTTGAACTTCTCGTTTCTAATCTCGCGGTAATAGTAACTATAAACGAAGAGAGGAAATAATGTGAGAAGGATAGAGATAGTAAAAATATTGAAATCAACGCCATCTGTAGTGTGCCGCAAATGAAACACACGGAGAAAGGATAGAAGATAGTGCGAGAAGGATAGAGATAGAATAAGAATTAATCTTTAACGCCATCTCTCGAGCGTTTTGTTGAAATGATTTGTCGAAATGATGTTCATTGCACTCGAGAGATGGCGTTAAAGATTAATTCTTATTCTATCTCTATCTTTCTCATACTATTTTCTATCCTTTTTTTGTGCGTTTCATTTGCGGCACTCTAGAGATGGCGCTGATTTCAATATTTTTACTATTTCTATCCTTCTCACATTATTTCCTCTCCTTGTCATACATATTCTTGGTTCTACAATTTCACGTGTAAGTGTTATATTATCGATAAGAATGATCGTTATAATATATTTTATCGTTGATAATATTTTATATTTCATAATTATATACTTTACATTTACATTTTTACGATATCAAAAAATAAAATTCCTCTGAAAAAAAAAACTACATAATCATCTATCAGATATAAAACTGTTCTTTCTTAAAATTTTTTCTATCCTGTCTCCATTTCTAAAACATTTGGCCAAAAATCATTCGATCTTCTATCAGATTGCAACACAGTTCTCAAAGTTGTACTGGTGAGATGATCATTCGATTTTTTGTATCGACGAATAGTTTTTATCCTTCTTGATTCTCGACACGTGGACACAAAAATATTTGCATTCCTCCATCTTGTTCTCCATGCTCGTTTAATTTCCGTTCTGACTTCGATGTTCAACAAACAATAAAGCAAAGCAACGAAAGAACCCTGAAAATATATATTTGTTTTTAAATAATAATTATTTTCAACGCTAAATTTATACATTTTCAAAAAATTTCTTTCTTTCTTTCTTTCTTTTTAAGGATAATCATATTACTTGAAAAGAGACGAATAATTGATCGAAGAAGAGCCAAACAAGTTCCAGTTTACTGTCTGCATACGAAAAGCCTAGGAATAGCGTGTAATGAGCACCAAATAACGGTATCAGTACTAGAGTAGCTTTGGCCCATCTACTGTATTTGAAAAAAAAAAAAGAATTAATAAACTTTATAACAGTCATAATAATCTCAAGAAAAATAACTATAGTGACAAAAAAGTGTATTAAATTTACCTGTATTGCATCTTTTTTTGTTGCAGATGTACCGACGTTTTGAATTTAATGAACAGTACACGTACTATGTTGAGGAACAGTAAGAAGTTGAACTGAATAACATTTATTTGATTTATTTTATTCGCTGGATCGACGTTCATCAAAGCCATACGAGAATCACTTACCAAATTTGATATCATAATGGGAATCTTTATAGGCAGAAATAGGAAAGGATTTTGATGAGTGGTCCAGCAAAACGTGTCCTCGATAGTGGCGCGAATTATTATCCAAGGTACAACCACGAAAACAGGTAATCCTTAATTAATTAATCGCGTAAATACAAATTCAATTTCTAAAATAATTAAGTTCAACTTTGAAACTTTGATCTCGAGGAAAATTATATCTCGGACAACACTTAATCCCCGTATTTGATTAAATCACGTACACCAATCGACAAGAGATCTTACCCCATCCCATCAACACGTACAAATTGATCGTTTCGCTATCCGCGAAGAATGCCCAAACGATCAAATTGTGCAAGTAGAGACCCTCCATCAGGATCCAAGAATAATTAGCCACGATAAAGTATTGCCACCCGCTTATGACCACCTTGCAAATTATTATCTGTAACGGATATATATATATATATATATATATATATACAGGGTGTTTATAAAAATGTGGGACATCTTTGGGATATCAAAACGATAAAAAAGATTTATATATACGTATATTCGATAAGGCTTAATTAATAAACATTTTTAAGTTTATATTAGATAACGCTCAGGATCGTATTGTTGTATGGCGTAGCGAAGCCCCTATACAATTTTAAAGTAATATACGATGTACATAAATATCGTAATGTAATATGACTATGCAACATTTTTATATCATTTAAAAAAAAATTTAATTATTTACAAACAAATTGAAATCTATGCAATTAGTTATTTAACAGAAACTTATTCGAGGTTAAGTTTAAATAAAAAAATTACATAATACATACATCACACTGAAGTTCATTTGAAATGATCGATCGTATATAAAAAAGTATGAGTATATTTACTTTCATCGAGGGGCTTCCGCTGCATCGCGATACGGTACTGCCGCGCACGCAACTGAGCGTTCTCGCTCTATCTAATTTAAAATGCTTGTAACTCCTTAATTAAGTCTTATCAGATATTCGTGTATACCAACTTTTTTTATCGTTTTGGTGTCTAGAATCCACCCTCCAAACGTGTTCCACATTTTTATAAGCATTTATTGTTTTTCGTGTAAATATCAATTCGGTTTCATCTTTTCTATTATTTTTCTCTTTTTATCGAATATTTACGACACAAGCGTACGTTTGGTTGCTTGATAAGAGCATAATTTTCAACGTAAAGGACGTCCACAGGTCGGCTGATGCCATTGACGAATATCCAATCTTTGACCAGTGTCATGAACGCTCTCATTATGAACGAGGCGAACAAGTGCATGTGCAATCTGTTCCTTGGATTTCTCAGTTTTCTAAGGGAAGAAGGAATCAATCGATTAATTACGAGCCAGTATTGGAGGACGAAAGAAGAGAAAGAAGCATACCTAAGCAACGAGAAAATGATCATCACTATGATCAACATGGTGAAGGACATAGAATATCCAATTTGAGAGATGATCTTGACGATAGGCAACCATTTCTGACGGCAGGCGAAAAGGACGATTCAGGACTGATTTAATTAAATTACGGATTGATTTAAAAAAAAAAAAAAAAAAAAAACGATCAAGACCTTTCAAAAAAATTCCTTACGTTCAACAAGTATTTGTATTTTTCAAAGTTTTTGTAATCTCGCAACTGAAGTATCTCGAAATATCCTAAATCCATGGAAAGGCGATCGATGAACTTCTTGGAGAATTTGCACAAGCTGTAATTGCTCTTGCGAATATTTTCAAGATTTGAGTACCACTGGCCGTTCGAAAAGCAAAATTTGCTCGCCACTGTTGTAGCAACAGATGTATTCGAGTTTAGAGCGGAGCCGATCGCGGAATTTAATTGGTTTAATGGGCCAGTTTCGGATGGACATGGTAAAATGGCAACGTTGGAGACGTTGGTGTACGGCCAGCAAAGCAGGCCGTCGAAATATGGCGGGCAATAATATTGCGACGTGATGTTTTGATCTATGTTTTCGTTTAGAAAAAAAGAAAAAGAAAAAGTCAATTTTTTCACGAGATCTTTAATTTTCGTTCGAATTTGTATCTTATAGGGATGAAAAAAAATGTACGAACTTACATTCCGCCATCAATCCATTGCATTTTCGTTCTTGTTCGAGCAAAAAATATTCCACCGATGCTTTGTAGATCGTAACTTCCGGTTCCTCGAATTTGATCGAGGCCATAGCGAATTATATATATATATATATATATACTTGATAAGAAAAAGTTCAAAATTTCAAAAATACGTTTTTCCAAAAAATGTCAAACTCGATCGAAGAAACGGATAGAACGGTGATGCGAATCTTTTGAATTCTGAAATTGAAGTGACTAGTTCCAGTGGATTAGATAGGGTATAGAAATGTTTGCACGCGCCTCACCCTCGCTCTTCTTCTTTCTCCTACACGTATAATCATCTGAGGGAAGAGAGAGAGAGAGCGATACGGATCGTAAGTAGTACGAGTCGACAACGCGTCAGCCGAAAGCCTCTTCCAGTCTCTTATCGTAATTCATCATTCCCTTTCCAATGGTGATGGATACATTCTGTGTAATGTATTTTGTATATAAAATAATTATATTTATCAGGAAGGGGAGGGGATGAGACAAGCGTCGTATACCTTATATACAATTTAGAAGATAAACGTAATAAAGCAAATCGATTAAACATGGCGTATGGTCGATCCATCAAAATACGATGATAGTTCTGTAGCCTGTCAATATCGAAGATAGAATCAACACGAGGAGTGATCGATCATCGAAATTATAACAGAGATCAGGAGATGGGCGCAGATTATACACACGGGGTGACGAGTGGAAATTAAAAAAATTATTTAAATAAAATAAAATAATAATAATAATAATAAAATCTATCCAAGTGTGTACTTAGTAGAAAAGGATATTTTTACATTTTTTTCCTCTTCTCTCTTCAAGTAAAAATAAAAATAAATTATCAAAAAGTCGATAATTATTCGATAATTTTCTCTCTTTAATGATTACAAAAAAATAATTTCTCGTAAATTATATCGTTATAAAAATCGTTCGTATCATTTATCGATATATTTCTAGGACGGAGAGAATGGACGGGGGAGAAGAAATTCTCGGCGGGTGTGTGAAGAAAAAGAACGTGGAGCCCGTGTATTCAAAATTCGTTTTTTTTTCTTTTTTTTTTTTTTTTTTTTTTGTTTTATGTTAAACTTACACCAACCACGCTTCACAACAACAGATTGTTATCTCCTCTCTCGCGTGGATCGAACTCGAGAAATCGTCTGCGCGCGCACGCGCGCGCGATTCAAATCGGCCGCGATTCGATTTTTCGATCCCGTAAAAAAATTTCCCATCCAAAACAATTTCACATCGGACATTATTACTCTTAATTAATTCTAAAATTCTTTTCTTTTCCATCTCTCCTCTTTACGAATCTTTTCCTTTCTTTTTTCTTTTTTCTTTTATTTTTTTTTTTTTTCATTTTCTTTTCCCGCATTTCGAAAAAATATTTCGCGACAAATCCAACACGCGAGATGACACAGTGACAGCGGATGATTTTTGCTGTATTTCGAAAATCGAAATACTTCTCTAAAAATCACTTCTTTCAATTTTACAGCCATCGATGGTTGGTAAGTCGTAGTTAGTAAGTACATACATATACATATCATCCTTTTCTTTGTCCTTCGATTATATTATTATTACTACCTACTCGCTCCCTTATTATCCTCTAACGCGAAACGATCGTGTTATTTACAAAGTTTTCCACGGCTATTATATTATCCGTCGATAGGCCATTTTTCTTTTATCTTTTTTTTTCCTTGAGACGTAGAGAGTGAGAGAGATAGAGATAGAGAGACAGAGACAAAGACAGAGAGAGACGCGTCTCGTCAACACGATTTTACAAATATACGCGAGAGATAAATTCATCGAGAAACGAACGAACGAACGAACGAACGAACGGCCTTTGATTCGGACGTTTCTTCTTCGCCGAGAAACGTTCCCTTATAAATAATCTAAACAGAATTTCTTCGTGATCCTCGTTATAAACGAGAGAGTATTATTTGCGTAATAGTACAAAGTGTCTTTATGGCTTCTTTTTTTTTTTCTTTCTTTCTTTCTTTCTTTCCTTCTTCTTTCTTCTTCTTTTTTTCTTCAATGATTTCTTTGGCTTCGAGGGATATGACGCGTGTGTGCTGCCAAAGAACGGAACATTCCTTGAACATATGCTCCCGCACACCTCTACTTCATTTTTAATCGTATATGCTCTTCGCGTTACACGCATTGCGTATTTTCTTTTTTTCTTTCTTTCTTTTTTTTTTCTTTTTTTTTCGAATTTTATAGCAAGTTCTATGTAGGATCTAGAACTGGCAGTTTCAAAGAGGGAAGCCTACGCGGAATGGCGTCATTCTCGTGCACGGCCTTACGGCCACGATTATATTCGCTATGTCGCGTTACGAAAAACTGATACTTCCAATTTCCCGATAATAAATTTTCTTCGATTCGGGGGGAAAAAATCGATACGAAAGGATCGGAATCCTTTACCCGCTTTCCGTTCAAAATCGATCGATCGATCGTTACACCATCTCGAATGCCTTTTCCACTACTTTTGCCCGTTTGGAATGTTTTATATATTTTCTTTCTTATTTTTTTCCCTCTTTTCCCTCGGTGGAAGTATCGTACGTATCGGTTAACAGTCTTTCAGAAAAGAAAGAATCTTCTTCTCGGCGTTGTTATGTTATCGTTAAATCGTCGTTTTTTTTTTTTTTTTTCTTTTCGAAAAAATTCGTTGATTCGCGACGAAACAACGTTAAAAAATTTCTGCCGATAATATTACCTCGTACATATTAAATTTACTACACTCCTTACCGAATATAAGAAGATGAAAAGAACGATGACGATCGATAATTTTCGTCGATCGATCAATTTTTCCAAAAATTAAACGATATTAAAATATCGTGCTGGAGCAAAATTTCGACAGAATTTTTTTAAAAGTGCGATAAGGGGAGGGGCTGGGGAGGGGATATAGAGACCAATCGTCGGGCAGATCTGGACCGACGAACATCAAATTCTTGCTCGTCTAAACCCGCTACGACGACGGGACGACGATCTCGACGATTCCCCGCCGATCGAGATCCTTTGGATAGGAACGCGCACGGTTTTCGCGATAAACGGAGTCGTTTCACACCTCGTAACGAGTAGAATTACAATTGGAAAGGCACTTTGAACGAAAAGTATGGCGAGCTCGAGCGCGAATATGCAAATATTAAAACTCGCGGCTCTCGTGTTTTCTTCAATTGACCTTTTCTTCGTTTCGACCTTTCTGTAAACCTCTTCTCCGCGTCACGCATCATCATCTCGTACAAACAAGTACAAAATATCTTTCCCTACATCTTCTTCTTCCAGTTTAACCTGGAGGGGAGGGGGTTAGAGAGAGAGGAAAAACTCAAAGCCAACTTTTCGTCCTTCTTCCTCGGCGAGAAGAAAAACGAGAAAACCAAATCGGACAGGTTGGGGAGGAAAAAGGAAACCTTTCCCCTTCCCTTCCTCCCTTGCAGTACAAAGTAAAACAAATATGTAAAAAATCTTTTGGATTTTTCTTCCTTCTCGCTCGATCCTCCCAACAAGAAATTTCTCAATTCTTCTTCCCCTCCATCGTTCTCGCAACGACATCCTCTTCTCTTCCCTTCGATTTATTTCACCGCGTTGCGTTGCGTCCCTGTCTTTCGATCGAATTCCACTTCGAACCGATTTTTCCTTTCCGATTTTGCCGGGGAGGGGGAGGGTTAGGGAAAGTCGTTATCGGGCAACCGATATCTCGACGAGCGAAAGGACGGGCGACGAGGTTGCTCTTCGAAAGGGGAGGCGCAACCACCTCCCTCCCCCGCATCCGCGCGTGCAATCCAGAAGATCGAAGGCGATCGTGTCGTTCGTCGGGGTGGAGACGAACGGTCAGAGACATTTGCCCGGATTCTGGGAACACCACTGCGGCCACATGGCTTCCGTCTTCAACCCCCGCCCGGTGAGAAGCTCCATGTGAGCGGCCAGCCTCGTGTACACGTTCTCGTCCGTCGAGTAACCGTTGGTCGGCGTGTCGCTCCTGTAAACAACAAGAAAACATCGTCACCCCTCGCCTTCGACCCTCCCCCCCTTAATCCTCCTTAATCCTCCACTCACCACAATCTCTCGGCGAGGGCGGACGCCCTGGGCCATAGCCGAGGACCCAACGAGGCGTCGCCCGTCTGCTCGCTCCATATCGCCGCCTCCCCCCCCAGAACGAGGCCCCAGTGTTGCTGGGGATAGTCCCTCCACGGCCGGTGATTGTAGACGGTCTGCCAGGTGCGGTACTCGCCGCAGGCCGCCTCCCCCGTTTCCCTCCACCTGCCGAAGCCGCAGTCCAGGTACCAAGTGTCCACGTGGGAGAGGATCACCCTGAAACCGTCCTCGAGAAGATCGGGGGTCTCCGGCCAATTGCTACCCCCCCAAGATTGGATCACGTGTATCTTGGGGTCGAAGTAGGTGGTGATGTAGGGCCTCTTGGTGAGGGGGGAGCTCCACAGGATCACGGCCTTGGGTGTTTCGTCGCGGTTCGCCTTCACCAACCTGTGCAGCATCTTTGTTTCGAACTCGGCCCACATGGCGTGGTGGTCGGTCATGTTCTGCGCCTGCATAGCGGCCGTGATGTTCCCGTACTGGGCCCAACAGTCGAGGTTCACCTCGTCCCCGCCAAGGTGGACCACGTCCCGGATCTCGGTCAGCTCGAGGAGCTCTTTGTACAGGCCCTCGAGTATGCGATACGTGTGCTCGTTGATGGGATTCAACTGGCCGCAATTCGGCTCGCCGCAATACGACGACCATGGCTGCTGATCAACGCACAGTGCCAGCTCCCCGTAACCGTACTCCGTCCCTGAATAAATTAACGAGATCAACGTCGGTTGCTGTTTGGATACGGCGAGTCGCGGCAATCTTCTTTCTTGCCTCCGATTTTTTTCAATTAGCTTCGTTTATTGAAATTAGTTGACGGTTGGTGACGAAGGATTTTTTTTTTTTTTTTTTTTTTTTTCTTTGAATGAAAGGCGATCGGAGGAAATTTTGTTTAATTTTTCACGCGGGATATTAGAGACGAAAGGTTTCGAAACGTCGTGATACGAATTTGGTGTATCGTTAACGATAATTAAATTGACAGTGGAGGAATTAGTTTTTTAAATAATTTTTCGATACGAATTAGAGAAGCTTGGCGTTGAAAATTATCATCCCAAACACTTTCGTTTTGCTTCGTGATCCAGTGAATTTGAAGAGGTATATCGTTTGTTAACAATAATTAAATTGACAATAATTAAATTGACAATATTTTTTTAAATAATCTGATATTCGTATCGAAGATCTAAATTCCGCTTGAAAAGTATCAGATTATAGAGGAGCTTGGCATTGAAAACTATTATCCTAAATCAAACACCTTTTAATTTCCTTTAAGATCCAGTGAATTTGGCGAGAAATATCGTTCGTTAATAATAATTAAATTGACAATAAAGAAATCATACGAAGTATTTTTTAAATAATCTGACACTTTTCACGGGGAATTTTCGATACGAATTAGAAAAGCTTGGCATTGAAAACTATTATCCTAAATCAAACATCTTTTAATTTCCTTTAAGATCCAGTGAATTTGGAGAGGTATATCGTTCGTTAACAATAATTAAATTGACAATAAAGTATTTTTTAAATAACCTGACACTTTTCACGGGGAATTTTCGATACGAATTAGAGAAGCTTGGCATTGAAAACTGTCATCCTAAATCAAATACCTTTTTTTAGTTTAAAATCTAGCGAATTTGATGAGAAATATCGTTCGTTAACAACAATTAACGCTTAAATTGACAGTAGAGAAATCATACGAGATATTATTTTTTTAAATAATTCAACATTTTTCACGTGGAATTTTCGATACGAAAATTAAAAAAGCTTGCCATTGAAAATTATCATCCCATCTATAAAAAAAACTATCGAGCCAAACAGCTTTTAATTTCCTTTAAGATCTAGCGAATTTGACAAGAAATATCGTTCGTTAACAATAATTAAATTGAGAGTAATAATAATAAAGAAATCATACGAGGTATTATTTTTTTAAATAAGCTGACATTTTTTATGCGGAATTTAGAACTTTGGATACGAATCAGAGAAGCTTATGAAGCTATTCTTAGCATTGAAAAGTGCACGTTAAACTATCATCCTAAACCAGATATTTTCATTTTTAATTATAAATAATCTTTTTAAGTAATCTAACAATTTTCTTCAAAATCTATGAATTAAAGAAATTTATGAAGCTTTTCTTCAACATTTTAAATTATCATCCAAACATCCTTCCATTTCCATCAAGATCCAAGATGAATTTGACGAGAAATATCGTTATATAACAATAAATAATCTAACAATTATCTCACAGAATCTACGAATTAGAGAAGTTTGTAAAGCTTTAAATTATCAGTCTAAACATCCTTCCATTTCAAGATTCAGTAAATTTGGATCCAGAAATTGACAACAATGCAAATTCATCGAGGGTACAAATCGAACGTATTTTTTAAATAATCTAACAATTATTTCACGGAATCTACGAATTAGAGAAGTTCGTGAAGCTTTTCTTCACTTTAAATTATCATCCCAAATATCCTTCCATTTCAAGATCCAGTAAATTTGGATCCAGAAATCGACAACAATACAAGTACAAACTCATCGAGGGAACGAATCGAACGTATTACTATTCGTGTGACAACCGAACATCTAGAATCTAAATCCTCGAAATATATAATAAATAATAATATAATATTAATGTATAATAAATAAATATAATAAATAAAATAAATTTCTATTTATTATATTATATATTTTATTATATATATTATATTATATTATATTATATTTAAAATTTATTTATATTATGTTTAAAATAAATTTTCTTTTGCCCGGATTAATATAATATAAAAATAATAATATAATATTAATGTATAATAAATAAATATAATAAATAAAATAAATTTTTATTTTATTATATTATATTATATTATATTTAAAAATTATTTATATTATGTTTAAAATAAATTTTCTTTTGCCCGGATGACAGCCCTCTCCAACTCACCCCACTGCCAGCCAGCGCCAGCGTGCGCCGGCGAGTCGATCTCGACGAGCACTCGGACGCCGCGTATCCTCGCGTAATCGGCCAGGTCCTTGACGTCGTCGGGCGTGTAGATCTGATCGCCGCTGTACGCGCCCCACCTCGCCATTTCCGGGAATTGGGCCGAGTCGAATGGGAAGCTCTGGGAATCGGATATGTGCCAGTGGAAGGTGTTCAACTTGGACGCGGCCATCCCGTCGATCACGCGTTTCAAACGCTCGACGGGGAAGAACTGCCTCCCCGTGTCGATCAGCAATCCTCTGTAGGGGAACGTGGGCTTGTCCTCGATCGAGGCACGGGACAGCACCCGCAGACCGCCCTCCCGCCCGCTCGTCTCGTCCCACCAGATCATCTGGCCAAGCGTCTCCAAACCGTGCCTGGCCCCGAAGTAACTCCTCCCGATCACTCGAGCCTCCAGCACCCTCCCCCTCGCCAGCACGTCAACGGTGTAAGACTCGTCCACGTCCAGCCTAGGACCTGACGCTTCTCCGTTACCGGCGGACAAGTATATCACGAACGCGTCCACCCCGGGTCTGCTCTTCGCGTTCGGCGTCTTTATCAAGCTCCTCGTGTTGCCTGGAAATGAAGGCGAGCCGCGCGCGAGGTTTATGTAAGGAAAAATTGAGAACAGATATTACAGGTGTGCAGATAAGTTCCTTTTTTTTCCAAGATGGTAACTCGTGATTCGAATTCGAATTGCTTCGAGACGTCTGATCTGAAAGACTGTTCTTTAACCCTTTCGTTATTACGGGCGACTAAAGTCGCTCTATGTAAAATACTAGTGACGTATATTGGCTATAGTCGCTCTGCATAAATAAGATGTCATTGACGTACTATGGCGACTAAAGTCGCTTTGAATAAGATGTCACTGATACTCTATAAGCGACTATAGTCGCTTTGCATAAGATGCCATATTATGGCCGATTAAAATCGTTAGAGTGCTACTACTGACGTATAATACTACGGATGACAAAAGTCGCTCTGCATAAAATGCCAATGATACACTATGGACGATTAAAGTAGCTCTGCATAGGATGCTAATGATATACTGGGTAACTACTATAGTCGTTCTCCATAAAATGTCACTGATGTATACTACTATGGACAACTAAAGTCGCTCTGCATAAAATGCCAATGATACACTATGGGTGATTAAAGTAGCTCTGCATAAGATGCCACTGATATGGTTACTATGACTATAGTCGCTCTGCATAAGATGCTAATGATATACTGAGTAACTACTATAGTCGTTCTCCATAAAATGCCACTGATGTATACTATGGATAACTAAAGTCGCTCTGCATAAGATGTCACTGATACACTATAGGCGACTATAGTTGCTTTGTCACTGATATATTATGAACGACTAAAGTTACTCTGCATAAGGATGTCAAAAATGAAACGCTATAGTCGCTCTATATAAAATGCCATTGATATACTATGGTTACTATGACATAGACATTCTACACTATATACTATACACTATACACTATACTCTATAAAATGTTAATAATATACTATGGGCAACTACTATAATTGTTCTCCATAAAATGGCACTGACGTATGATACTAAGGACAACTAAAGTCGCTCTGTATAAGATATCATTGATACTATGGGTGATTATAGTCGCTCTATATAAAATTCCACTGATATACTATGGACGACTATAGTCGCTCTGCATAAGATGCCACTGATATACTATGAACGACTAAAATTGCTGTGCATAAGGATGTCAAAAATTAAACGCTATAGTCGCTCTATATAAAATGATATACTATGGTTACTATGACTATAGTCGTTCTATATAAAATGTTAATAATACACTATGGGCAATTACTATAGTTGTTCTCCATAAAATGCCATTGACGTATAATACTAAGGACAACTAAAGTCGCTCTGTATAAGATATCATTGATACTATGGGTGATTATAGTCGCTCTATATAAAATTCCACTGATACACTATGGACGACTATAGTCGCTCTGCATAAGATGTCACTGATATATTATGAACGACTAAAGTCGCTCTGCATAGGATGTCACTGACAAATTATAGGCAACTATAGTCCTTTGTATAAAATTCCATTGATATACTATGGGCGACTATAGTTGCTTTGCATAAGATGCAACTGATATATTATAGGCGACTATAGTCGCTCTGCATAAGATGCCACTGATATACTATGAATAAAGTTGCTTTGCATAAGGATGTCACTGAAACGCTATAATCGCTCTATATAAAATGCCATTGATATATATATATATATATATATATATATTATGGGCGATTAAAGTAGCTCTGCATAACATGCCATTGATATACTATGGTTCCTATGACTATAATCGCTCTACATAAGATGCTAATGATACACTATGGGTAACTACTATAGTCGTTCTCCATAAAATGCCACTAACGTATAATACTATAGACAACTAAAATTGCTCTGCATAAGATGTCATTGATATACAATGGGCAATTATAGTCGCTCTATATAAAATACCACTGATATATTATGGGCGATTATAGTCATACTATTTGAAATGCTACTGATATACTATGGCTACTAGTTGCTCTGCATAAGATGTCACTGATGTATTATGGGCAACTATAGTCGCTCTATATAAGGTGTCATTGATATATTATGGGCTATAGTCATACTATTTGAAATGCTACTGATATACTATGGCTACTAGTTGCTCTGCATAAGATGTCACTGACATATTACGGGCAACTACAATCGCTCTATATAAGGTGTCATTGATATATTGTGGGCGACTATAATCATACTATTTAAAATTTTACTGATATACTATGGCTATTAGTTGTTCTGCATAAGATGTCACTGACATATTATGGGCGACTATAGTCGCTCTATATGATGTCATGTGTCACTGATACGCTATAGGCGATTATAGTCGCTTCGCATAAGATGCCACTAATGTACTATAGACGACTAATATCATTCTACATAAAATGCCAATGATACTATGGGCGACTATTATAGTCGCTTTGCATAAAGTGCCACTGACGTACTATGGGCGACTATAGTCGCTCTATATGATGTCATGTGTCACTGATACGCTACAGGCGATTATAGTCGCTTCGCATAAGATATCACTAATGTACTAAAGGCGACTAATAAAATGCCAATGATATTATGGCGACTATTATAGTCGCTCTGCATAAAGTGCCACTGACATACTATGGGCGACTATAATCGCTCTGCATAAAATGCCGCATATTATACATATGACGAGCGATTGGAGTCATTGTACATGGAGTATCTTTTTCTAGAAAAGTAGCATCGATATTTTATTTTTATTATTTGTTTCTCACGAGATTCCTCGACAATAAAAATCACCAAAAAAAAAAAAAAAAATAATAAACGCGGCCGCTGACGATCTTTCTCGAGTACTGTGCATATTTTTATCGCGGCGAAGAAATTGAGCGTAGCGAAAGGGTTAAAAAGAATCGCGACAATTTCGAGCGAGAAGCTTCGCCGCTTACTTTTTCTGTTCCAACTTAGGAGATCAGGCGTCGAAGCTATCGAATCGGTTTGCACTGGGAGAGAACGCCGGAATGTGAAAAAAGTGGTAGCAAAGATTTAAAACCGGAAATTTTAATTGGAAGGACGACGATCGTTCGGATGCATCGAGAAAGTTCGACGAGTGGAATCGGCCGACGAGAATTCGATGACGCGAGAAGAATCGGCGAGAAAGATCGGATAATCTTGTGCCTGATTCACGCAATAATAAAATCTTGAATTTGGAAAAAGGAAAAGAACTTATTTGCACAGTTAATAACTCGAGAAACGAGAAGGAAGAAAGATATATATAAATTATGATGCGTCACCGATGAAGACGTCCTTGGCGTGTTCCAACAGATTCCTCGTCTCTTGATCGCTGGTGTTCACCGTGACGAATTCGATTTGCTGCAGGTGTACGATCACGCTCTCCTCGCCCAGGAGCACGTTTCCGGTCGGCCTCGGCCACAACAGCCTGGTGTTTCCGCCGCAGAGCGCGATGCAACTTGCCAACGAGGTCCTCGACGATCTGACCGCCCTCCTCTCGCATCTTCCTGCCACGCACACCCAAGACCATGGGCTCTGAAACGTCCTGCGATCCGATGGGATCGCGAGTCGCACGAGTTTTAACTAGAATTTTCTTCCATCTTTCTCTTCTTCGTTTTTCCATTACCCTCCACCTTTTAATTTTAATCGCGTTTTTTTCGCTTTCGTTTCTTTTTTTTTTTTTTTTTTTAATACTCGATCAAGCGTCAGACTCATCGTGAACATCGCTACACGGATGTGAGAAACTTTACCAAAAGTAAGGTAAAGATCGAGACAGAAGCATTAGATTAGGAAAACAGAGAGGATGAATACGAGTAACGGTTAATTTTTTTAATGGCGGGTTACACACATGGATATCTATAAATATATATAAACAATAATGAAAATTAAATAATGTGATGATGGAGGGTTATCTAAACTATTTTGAGAGGAATACGAGAGAGAGAAAGAGAGCGAGAAGTGTATAAAGTGAGCGTGAGAGGGGGGATGGAATTAAGTGAAAATCGTAGAATTAGCATCTATAAAATACATGTTTCAAACAATCCAAATGAAACATTAAAACTCGAAATAATAAAATCGAAAATGATTAACATTGGAAAGGTGATTAGTAAAAAGAAGCATGGAGCGTGATGGGAATTTTATAGAAAATAGGCATTCCCCCATTTCCAATCGTTGATTATTAATTTCTTTCGCGAAACGATCCGTGATCAGGATCGAAAATTAGTTCTACTTTAATTTTTTCCGGGTTTGTTAAATTAAAATTGGAAAAAATTGTCGAATCTTGGAACAAGCGAAACAAGCGATCGATCGTTTGATTAGAAATCGAATAATCCAAAATGAAAGAAACGAAGAGTGTCTTCATCTAGAAGAATAAAGTTGAACAATTAATTGTTCTATTAACTGTAAGACGGTTGATCAACAAATGTAAAATGTTGGCAAATGACGAAACGAGCTTGGAATAATGTTAATAATCCGATCAACTAGCGACACACATTCGATAAATCCCCGCAAGAAATATTCCGTTAGTCGGAAGAGCTGTGTCACAGCTCGACACAGAATTACGATTTATTCACGTTCGAACGAGTTATTCAATTTTTCTCCGAGACGCGTATAAATATAGGATCGTTTTTTTTTCTCTCTTTTTAATTCGATTTCACTCACAGACGCGATTTTCACTACACTTCGAACAATATTAACGAGCGTGATCGTTCAATTTATTGCCGACTGCTATTCTAAAAAGCAGTGAATGTTGAGAGAATGATGATGATGAGAGAACTCGAGAATGAGATGTCCAGAGACGAATCGATATTTATTACTGATTTCCTGGTTGATATAAAACGGTGGTAACGGGAAAAGCGGGTTGCAAATCGTGAAAAAGGTACGTTACAATTATTCTAAATGATGTCTCTCGACTATCCATCATTTTCGAATTTTTCCAATACTTCGATTTATATATATGTTTATTATGTTTATCTAAAAATAAAAATAATAATTTAGAAAAATTCTTGAATGTTGGATAATTTCAAGAATCGTGGATAACGAAATTCGTTACGTTAAACAACGATTATCGATTATATAAAACGCTATAATAAACACTATAAATTATTACACACATTTACATTCCCCATACGAAACATCGAATAATAGTGAGCACAATAATAATTTCGCATTCCTCGTTCACCGATCTTAAATAAGTAAACAGAATTGTATACTCGATCGATGAGCAAAAAATCATCGTTTACAAAGGCCAAGCTGGACAATTTAAATAGAATGGGCAGGGGAGAGAGAGGGGGGCATGCAAAGGACACGAAGGAGAAAGCATATGGACGCCGTGGGAGTGGGGGTAATGGTGTGCGTCCCAAAGAATGCAGAGCCGAATGAAGAAAGCGGGATACGCGACGATAGATCGGTTCCTGGACGAAAGAACAGAGAGAGAAAGAGAGAGAAAAAACTAAAAACGGATGGCGTTTAATGATGAAGGACAAACTTCTGAAGGAAGGAGAGAAAGAGAGAGAAGGTTAAAAACAAAAACAAAAGAAAAGAAAAGAAAAGAAAGAAAGCGTTCTTTTTTTTTTCTTTTTCTTTTTCTCTTTTCTAGCAGGTAGAGACATCCCTCCTCCGGGTTGGGAAAGACGTTACCTAGGCTCTTCCAGATACTCGTAGAGCCGTTCTCCGGGTCTCTTCGTGCTTTCATTACCGACCAGGAAAGTAACCAAGCCTCGTTGCAACTCCTTCAGTCTTTGATGTCGATCACCGAGATGCGGAAGATAATGAACGAAACGGAATGCGGCAACAAAAGTTATAAACAAAGATTAAATAAATAATCGAGGCGTCGAGATCTTGCGTGTGAGTGGTAGGGATGATAGGTGGGGTGGGTAGAGTAGTAGAGGGGGAGACTCGTTCGCAAGAAACGAAAGAAGAACAAAGATAGACGTGTACACGTGGCGAAAGGAGAAGGAATTAAAACGCGATTATTTTTATCCTTATTCTTTATCCTTCATCGAACTCTGAACATCTCCTTTCCCACTCTTTGTACACGGTGAAAATAAAATGATCGAAATCGAATTTTTATTCAAAAACGATCGAGAGACTGAAGTGGAAAAATGTGGCGAAGAGAAGATGAAACAGAGATAGAGAGAGAGAGAAAGAGAGAGAAAGAAAAACGTTAAAAAAACGAAGGAACGAAACCTTGCGTTCTTTCTTCCTCTCTAATTGGATTCGCGACGAGCGTGGTCGGGAATCGTAAGATCGACGCGCGACGAGAATGAACGATCGAAGGTGGCGGTGTGGCGCCGATCTTCGAGTCTCGAGGCGAGCTTAATAGGCGGTAATAGACGCGGACTGTGTTATCGACCGGTTCGGCTGAGTGGATCGTATTGTCGCGTGTACGCTACTCACCGTCGCGACGAGAACGGCTGAAGGGAGGCGAGTGGCGGGGCGTGAGCGTACATCGCGATCAGCAGGATCCCGGTTATCAGAACAAGGAAGAGGAGGATCTTCCTCATCCATCCGCTCGACATGTTGCCCACCATCCTTGCGAATCTGTAAAACGATAAGAAGTGAAATTTTTTAATTTATCTTCATTTTTTTTTTTCGCTACAACGAATCATTAAAAGTGTTAATAAACGAATGAATGAGTGAATGAATGAATAAATAAGAGAAATAAAAGATATTGCGATATATACGACTCGATGTCGATCGATCCAACGTGATGTGAAAGAAGTTTTTCTTCAATCTAGATAACGATTAAAATCACAAAATCGATAAAATCGGAAACGCCACGTTACAATCTGCGATCCTCGAACAAAGTCTGATTGGAATTGGCTTTGTTTCCAGTATATATATATATATAAATTTTATAAAATATCGATTTTTAAAAGTAAATAAGATATCGAATTTACTAATCTTATCTGCTTATAGATATGACTTTACGTCGAGATATATACATATATCTTTTTATTTCTTCTCAACATCAGAACATCACAATCCATCAGAAATTCTTTTCTATAATTTTATCAAAGTTTTATTCGAATGTATCGTTCTTTTATTTATTAACATCGCGATCCCGAATACAGAGCTACAGAATTACGAAACTCTTAAAGAAATAACTATTTTTACAATCTAAGAATTGCGCTTTCATTTACTCGGAATTGTGAACGAAGCCATAAATCGGTCATAAATCGCGTTTAAACAAGCCCAATCTCTAAGTGATAAAAAAACAAACAACTTATCAATTGAGACAATTTTTCTTTCTTTCTTTCTTTCTTCTTTATTTACCTTTCCACGTGAATCCGTACGAAAGCATCGTATACGAGGGAGCAGACGTTCATTTCGAGCAGTGTCGATGCATCGGCTAGAGGCTAGAAGCGACTTATTCCGTAGTCTCGCCTCTACTAAGTCGGAGGGACCGGACTCGTTCGCTATTCGCGTATCGGGAGACTAAAGTTTTCGTGTTAACGAACAACTACTGGCTCGAGAATCGATTAGAAACAACCTGTATGGTGTGGTAAATCAATTCGAAGGACGGGCAAAAGTTTTATATCGCAACTTTATCCAGTTTTTAATTAATTAGAAACATAAGATAAATCGCAATAAATGTTTCGACGCTTTTTTTATTTTTCACGATGATGAAATAATTGTTAACGAATAATTTTTTTCTTTCTCTTCTTCTTTTTTTTCAATCATTTTTAATCAAAATATCGCTTTTTAGGAGGAGATGAAATCAACGTTTGAAGTTTTTAAAACGCTTTTCGTTTTTTTTTCTCTTTTTATGTACACAACTCCATAATGGAAAATATTCATAAGGGAAAATTTAAAGAAATTGAAAAATGTTCAGAATTTAGTGCTTTATCGCGAGAAAGAAAAATTGGAAAAATTATATTCAAAAAATGGAAAATTTAAAAAGAATTTTTCATTTCATCGTGCATTAACAAACTCTTGTTAAAGTCACAATTTTCGAATTAAGTAAATTTTCACGTAAGATAACGTTCAAATATTTTCGTGAATCACCGAGTATGTGAGATTCTTCTCTAAAATATAACACTTACTTTGCTCTATTGAAAATTCTTTTCTACGTAATCGCGTAAAAACGAAAGAAATAGGTCGCGACTCAAAAGAATCGAAACACACGTATATTTCTTTGCACGATAAACACGGCAATTTAATTCTAAATCAACTACGAACGATCGTTCGTTCATTCGCCCTTTTTCTCTAAAAATTCCAGAAAAAAGTTTCTATCGTTCCCTTACAGATTAAGAATTAAATATCGATATTTTTACATAGATATTACAAAGATATAGATAATAGATACATAAGATATCGAATTATTTTTTCTTTCTTTCTTTCTTTTTTTAACGCGAAAACTTAAAGCCACAAGTTCCTTCTGAATTGGCCGACAAAACGGGGACGTTTTAGCGCACAAAGGGTAGTGGTGGTGGTGGTGTGGTGGTGGCGAGTCGAGATGGTGTGCGTGCGCGTGTGTGTAACGCCGAAAAAGGAGGCGGTATTCGAACAAAGGCTTTTTGTTTCAAGCAGACGGACTCGTTCCATCCCGATACACGGCCCCGGTCGTGGTTGGACACGCGTAAACGTGACTCACCACCGTTGGGAACCGACGCTTTCGTGCAATTAGGTCTGACGACGACCCTTTCTCCAAGGCGTGTCTTCCTCCACTACGAAAATAACACGTCGTCCCTGCTCTGATTAAGAAAAGCCTCGATCCAATCTCTCTTTCTAATGGAGATTGTTGAAAATTCGAAGAAGAAGGAGAAGGAATATTGTTGATGTGAGATTTAAAGATTTTCCAATCTTATTTTTTTTAAAGCTAAGAAAGAATCGCGGAATCTATTCGACAAATAATAACACTCGATTATCTTATGTACTTTATATTCTGTTTTAAACATTACGTGTTCCAACGTACAATGGCTCGCCAATCTATTCCCCAACACTTTTTTTTATTGCTTCAGAGAAATATTAACGAAATTTTGTCACTTCAAATTCAAATCAAAATTTACTCTTGTAAATCGCTCTAAAAGAATTCTCTTCTCTGTAAAAAATATTGTATTAAAAATTGAAAATAAAATGTCGATCGTTTTGGATCGGATTGATCTCATTTCCTAAGAGAGAGAGAAATTTTCATTAAAATCAAAATTAAAACAGTACTTCATACTCTGTTCGAACATTGTTCCAATTTGTTTTTACATAAAATTATACGTACAATAGCTCGTCAATCTATTCGAAAAATTTTTTATTTATCGTTTTAGAGAAATATTATTAATCGTTCTACTATAAAAAAAAATTCTCAAATAAAATCGTATTAAAAATTGAATAAAATATCTATTACAATTGATTTCATCCCCCGAGAAAGGGATTTATCTATTCCACGTATTGCATAAACTCTTTTATTAAAATCAAAATTAAATCGATTGTAATATCGTTACATCCAATACCTTCACAAGCCGCCATATCCCTCTATATTTCGTGCCATCCAATTTTCTTTTTTTCCATTTCATTCCCGAAATTTTGTCCACATGGTGAAAAGCAAACCAAGCGAGCGAGAGAGAGCAAGAGAAACGCCGAAATGTTCAGGTAACGCCGAGAAAAGGATGGAGAGAGTTCGAGGAAAGCGGCAGTTGCGCCCTTTAATAGTTGCACGTGTACGGTCGAGGAGGTCTCGTCCTGTGGCGAGAGGCGAGGCGAGGCGAGGCAAGGCGTCACGACGCTCCGCGGCGTGCGCCGACGGCGTACGTCGCGGCGTCACCACGGCTGGTAGCCAGGCAACGCGCATAATACGACCACCGTGAATAGTTTGAAACGAAACGGTCGCGGGAGCGGATCGAGTCCTTCCACGATCTTTCTCTTTCCCTCTCTCCCTCTCTCTCTTTCTCCGTCCTTCTTTCTTTCCTCTCCTCCTCCCCTCCGCTCCGATCCGTCGTCGCCGTCGTCGCCGTCACCGTCGTCGTCGTCGTCGTCGTCGTCGTCGTCGGCGAGCGCGCTCGATGGAGAACGGAAGTGGCACGCGACGACACCGAAGGAGACCGAGGGAACGCTTGTACGTACACGTTGTGCACGTTTTCATGCCGCGTTTCCATATCTATCTCGTGGCGGTAGTTTATTCGAATAAAGGCGTTCATTTCTTTTCTTTTCCGTTCTTTTTTGTTGTTGTTTTTTCGCGAGAAAAAAATGGAGAAGTTTTTTATTTTTTGGAGATAATTTTTTTTATGGTGGTGATGATTGATGGATTGGATTGTATTCCTCTGAGAAGTTTGAGCGAGTGTTCCTCTTCTTTTAATTTTCAATCGTGATTTGAGAGAATTCGATTCGATCGCGAAAAGACGAACGATTGATGAGCGAATCAAAAGTTGTTGTTGTTGTTATTGAAAAAAGTTGTATATCGTTTTCGTCGTATCATATCTCTAGTGGAAAAATTTAAAAATGAATCCGTCGTTTTGCGTTCTATCTATCCCGATATATCGTTCGATAATAATCGAGGAATAAACAGGAGCGGGTAAAGAAGAAATATACATCATCACGGTTTGATGAAGTCAATTACTTCTTTGAATACTTCATCTTTTTTAATTGTCGGAATAGTGAGATTGATACGATACGATCACGCGTGTGCGTGTGCGTGTACGTATGTGTATATGTGTGTTCAGTTTCAATTTATCGAGTAAGATGAGTTATGTAAAGTCATTTGAATGACGAAGGTTACCTTTAAATTATTCTTTAGTCTGATGTATTTTTAACAACGGTAACAGTAGTCGAAAAGGAAAAGGACAAGGCTCGAACTTTCTACAAAGTTTCGATTTCTAAAAAAACGAATGGAACGAATAGAAATAATTGGCCCACGTCCAAATATATGTATCACGTTCAGATACGACGATAATTATATACGCGACTCGATTCGATTTAATCGGTAAGATACTTGCTATAACACGGCACGTTATAATGCGCGTTAAAATACGAGAGTTCGAATCGATGGTGTAATAACCCGCCTTTACTTGTACACGCGGGTTTTGTTTTCGCGTAGCGTCGTAAATAAATACACGGTATCGCATTTTCTTTCGATGTTATAAAAGGAGAAAGGTCGGCAGGCGCCGTTTTATGCACCGAGCCGAGCTAAAAGTTTCGTCGATCGAGTAAGTAGGCTCGCCACACAAAATCGATCGTGTATACTCGTGAAGGACGAAACAAATGGCGCAAGAATTCTATAAAGAAGCTCTGTTCGCTCGAATATCATTTATCTTGCATTTATCGCGGTTAATTTCTCACGGTAATTTAATACAAATAAAAAAAAAAGAATAAATAATTACAAATTTTCGATATAGTGTTATATGTGATATTTGATATTTGATGAGAATGAATAGATCGATTCGAAAATCTTGCAAGATAAACACACGAGACAGTGTATTTGTTGTTGCGTGGCTATTTTAATACCATGTCAAGGAGTTAATTACGTACGCTCAAGATCAATCTTCGTTCCTCATTGGAACGGTATGAAACTGGGACGTATTGTAATTCCCACGTGAAATTCCTTGAAGCGTTTAATCGAAGCCTTCCATTCATTTCTCTTCCCTCCATGCTAATTTCTTTCGTCACGAACGTATATTATTATTATTATTATTCTCCTCGAGCCTATTTTAGGTCGTTAACTTTCATCGAATTCTTTCGTTCCTTTGTATCGTGCGAATTCAACAAATTCGTTCGAACCAATCGAAAATTCGCGAATCGAAAAGAGATTTTTAAGAATCTTTTCTTCCTTAATTAGGTTATCTTTAATCTCGTTCGATCAATTCGTCGAGTAATAAAATTATTTATTACACATCAAAGTAATTAAATATAATTGCACAATGTGAATATATGTAAAATAGACGAATCTTGTTACATACAAATTTACTATATCGCGATATAGGTTAAAAAGACGAGGACGAGTTCGTTGCGTAAAAAACTACCGTCCAATTCCTTTTCTCTCGTTTTTCGTCGTTGAATTCACGCGAAATCGACGCATGCGCACTCTTGCCTCGGTTCGTCAAACCGTCTTTCCATCTAGCACACTCTTTTTCTTCTATACCAAAAAACCAAACAAAGCGTAACCTCGCTTGATCCGACAAATTTTCGAAAGAAATTAATTATCGAAGCTTCTTATTTATACTTATTCATTTAATTTTTACTTTTTTTTTCTTTTTTTCTTTTCGTTCAAAAAAATTATTCTTCATTCAGCTAATTTTTCTCGTTCGGTTTCAAATAAATGGAAAATATTTTAATCTGAGAAGATATCCGTTACGTGTATTTGCGCTACCGCTGTGCGTATACCGCTGCCAAATATCGCGATGGAACGCGGACCAACAGGTTGGGGGGAAAGGGAGAGGGGAAGGGGGTGAAAGGGTAAAAAAGAAAGGGATTAAAATTGCGCAGGTAGTGAGTCCGCGGTATGCGAGGAAAAAAGGAGGATTTCGATGGGAGGAATGGATCGAGGGCCGAGTAATTCGATGCAAATGGAAAAGGGGGACGCATCGAGGACACGGGTTCCACCAACCTCGAACACGCCGCGAACGAAAACGAGTCCTTAGACTCGTATAGACTCGCACGGGCGAGAAGGCAAGGGGTGGCTTTTAGCTGGAATTCTCGCAAAGGGCGTGATCGATAAACCGCGACACCGTTTCACAAAGGCCTCCGTGTGCCTTTTCCCCTTCTCTCCCTCCCCTCTTGTCTCTATTCCAAGCAAAACGGACTAGAGCGACCCCTTTTGCTCTCGATTGATCTTTGCTGTTTTCTCTCTTCTTTTTTTTTTTTTTTTTTTTAATTCGAAACTCGCCAGACTCGAGACAAATTTATTGTTGTTGTTGTTATAGATATTTGTTGGAAAGAAAACAGATAAAAATCATGAGAAAAAGGGGGAGAAAGGAACATTTCATTCAGGGCAGAGTTGGGCAAGTTGGAAAAATAACTGGTTAAAAATTTCGAATAAAGTTACTTTAAATGATTATTTAATTAAAATGTTCGAACAACATTTATTCGTAGCTATTATAGTTGGTTTTCGCAATCTCAGCCGTTATTTGCAATTATTATTATGCGAACGATAAATTATTTAAGTAACTTTATTCTTAAGTTCAAACTATTAAATTTTCCCCATCTGTAACTGTCCGTATTTAAACCTCGATGTATTAGCACAGGCATCCAGAGCATTCTAACGTGTAGATATCATATAAAAATTTTTTTATTTTCTCATAATATGCGTAACATGATTCATAACGATAATTTATGTAAATATAATTTCGCATTCCAGTAATTAAGGTAAAAATTGTACGTATATTATAGATAGTTTCGAAAATATTTCTTCTTAGATTATTATTCTTAACGTATTAAAATATTCGAACATTTATTCGTAGCTATTATAATCGATCCGCTTTTCCTCAGCCGTTATTTGCAATTATTATTATGCGAACGGTAAATTATTGAAATAACTTTATTCGTAACTATTCTAACTTCAACTAAATTTTTAAATTTTCTCTATCTATAATCACTGTCTATAATCTAAACTTTGAATAGAATCCAGAATTATTCTAACGTGTCGATAATATAAAAATTTTTAAAAAAAGAAAAAAATCGAAATTCTGCTGGAAAAGTAGAAAAAAATCTGTTTTCGCTTTGCTCGATGATAAAAGAATATTGATCACGAAAAGTTTGTGAAAAATTCTTTACAATATCTAAATTATCTAATTTAACAAGTTGAGAATGATTATATTTTTTCGTTATTAAATTTATGTTATTATGTTATGTTATTAAATTTCAGTCTTTATAGATATATCATAACATGTATACGTTAATTATAATTCGTGACGATAGTTTAATTTATAAATGTAATTTCGTATTCGAATAAATTACTACTAGATAGTTTCGAAAATATTTCAGCACCCAATAATTATTCTTAATACGTAACTTCGTAAACAAAAATAATTTTTATCATTTCGAAATATTCAAATTATAGCTTTTTTATTGCTATATAGTGTAAATAAAAGTGAAGTGGAGACAGAAATCCTAGCAAAGATAGTTATTACAATATTCATCCATATGGCACTAAATTATTAATATGTTTTGAATAATAAATTAACTTTATCCAAATAACTTTATTCGTAACTTTAACTATTAAATTTTCCCCATCGCTGTCTGTAAACCTAATTGCATTAACATATAAAAATTTTTTTATTTTCTCATAATAAATTAATTATAATTTGTAAAAAAAGTTCAATTTATATAATTGATATAATGTAATTTCGTAGTAGTTAAGATAATAATTGTACGTACACTATAGATGTATACTTTTCGAAAATATTTCAACAAGACGATTACTCTTAAGGCGAGTTCGTAAATAATTTTTACGATTTCGAAATATATGAAATTATAGCTTGTTTACTTCTATGTAGTGTCAACAAAGTGGAGACAGGCGATCCTAAGCGAAGGACATCAACTCGTTGAGAAAAAAGTAACCGGTTAAAAATTTCGAATAAAGTTAGTTTTTAAATAATTACTTATTAAAATCCTCGAATAAAATTTATTAGTAGTCGATCCTCTTTTATATATAAAAGCTCGATCATTCGCCGTTAAAATTATTCGACTATTTATTATCCTTTCGAACGATAAATTATCCAATCGAAACTTTATTCCTGAATTCAACTTTTATTAAATTTTGAAAAAAAAAATCAATCGTTTCAGGGAGACGTCTCGATTGACGATGACGATGTTGGTGACGAACGACACTTCGGACGGGCGTAATGGGACGAATGCGTGGGACCAGGAGGACGTCGTTTCGTCGGAATACAACGTGACGACGACGGCGAGCGGAGCGGCCAGCAAGACGAGTCACTTCGAGACCGATTTGCACGGAAACGTTAACATCCTTCTCGGCGGGTGAGTATTTACGATTCGATCCAACTTTCGATCATTTTTTAAAAAACGCGTTTTCAATTTGCTCGAATATTTTTTTCCCCTTTTTCTTACGAGCAGAAATCGCGAAGAATTCGTTCGGATTTAAACGTTTGTCCGTTGAATCGCGGAGAATCATCGTTGTGGATTTTTGTCGAACAGCTTTGGAATGAAATTATCGATGAATTTTTATCTCGAACAAGTTATTTGAAATTATTGAAAGATTCGTTCAAATATTTTTCTACCATCCCATGACAAGTATCCCAGTAAAATTTATTCCCAATTTATGGGAACGATTTTATCATCTCTGAAATAGAGATAATTATAAAATTTAATTCGAAGTTATTTTCGTTCGATTAAATCTTCCTTCAAATCGCATCGGAGTATTAAATAAATTAATAACGACACGTTTTTCCTTCTCTTTTTTCTTTCTTTCTTCGCGAATAAATTATCTTGGTTATTTTCAACGGTTTCATCGAATAACGTGATTGATCAACGCGTTACGTAACGCGTTGAACGACGTAGACGTGTTGCATTTAAAATTTAAATAATACAGCGAGCCGCGAAACGAACGGACGTCTGAATTCAGAGAAAAATTGTGGCGAAATGGAAGTATGATGTTAAGAAAAAAAAAATTTGCACGCGTTCTCGCTCTGCCCATAATCGGGAGGGGGGAGCGTGTTAACGAACGCCCGCAGCGTCCCGTCCGCCCTGCTCAATTAAAGTCTAATGAAACTTTCTTCGCCGCTATTCCCGACAAGGTAAAGAAAAGATAACATCCGGCGAGAATGCTCTAGCCTCCTTTCTACACCACGCCGTACACGCCGTATTTACCGAGTGAACCACCGACGGATCAGTGTTTCTCAAACTCGATCGCTCAAGGACAAGCAAGGAGCGAAACTTTTCACCGACTTTTGTAAACAAACGGATCTTGAAAAAAAAAGAGAGAGAAAGAAACGCGATAAATATTTATATTAAATTAAATTAATACGCAAAACGGGGAAAAAAAAATTCTCTTTCTCAACAATTTCAATCGACGACAACAGTTTTGAACGAATTTATCCTTCATCGAATTTACATATCAGAGTCAGATCCTCGAATTCAGCTGAATGAGAAATGGGAATAAAAAATCGAACGGAAATAAATAAGGAGGACGGGTCGTGTTATTACGGTAACCGTGATCCCTTTGTATCACGAAGAATGGCCCGAATTGCCACGGTTGGCGAATGCTTGCGGTCGTAGAAATTGCGCCTCGAGCCAACCGTGAAATCGCGGCCTCTCTCGTCCTTTTACGCGGTTCCTCGAGTCGCGGATTCTTTCCTCGCTCCTCCAACAATTTCCAACTTTCGAAAGTTCGACCCATCGAAAGACGCGCGCGCACAAGTGAAAGCAATAATCGTTATCGCAGGCATCGTAAAAAAATGGAAAAAAAAGGAGAAGAAGAAGAGAGAGAAAAGGAAAGAAAGAATAATCGTGAGTTTATGACGGTTTTTTCAACACGAGTTAATGGAGTTAGGTTAATCTTTTCAACGGTTGCTCTTTTATTACTCACGTTTTCAAGAAGAATCCTCGCTTTCTCGACGGACGTACCATTGTGTAATTGTTTTCTGTCGCCTATAATATAGAGCAGTTCGATTTTAATTCGGTTGAGATCGAATTTTTATTTGTTTTACGTTCGTTAGAGAGATAGTAAAAAATTTCGAGTCGATTAAATTTTCTTCGCACATATTCACGTTTCTATGGTATTAAAGTTGTCGAAGCTTGTTCGGACGAGGACTATGATCTACGCAGCGGTTTCAAGCATGGCGGGAAAGGTTAACGCGCGCTAAATATACGCGCTCGATGGTCCCCATTCCCTCTCCTATGCTATGGTTATTCTCACTACTATGGTACGTGATCCGTATACTTGCAGGGCGATGCTCAGCGGGGTGATTATGGTTGTCCTCCTCATGTGTTACTGCTGTCACAAGAGCATTCGAAAGAATCGGCCGCAAGAGTATCCGCAATACTGGAGGACGGAACCAGACGCGCACAGCCTCGAGGTGTTCACCACGGAAGCGCATGCCGCCGTGAGTATCTCTGTTTCCATCCATTTCCAGCCAGAGATCGATCGATCAACGCTCCTTTATCCTCGTACGAAACTATTACTACTACATTGTAATTTCATCGATGCATTTTTCCTTCCTTCCTTTCTTCGATTCGTGCATCGAGTTTTCGAAGACGAGAAATATCCTTCATCGAATAAAATCAATCCTTCCAAGATTTATAACCGTTTTGAATATATACTTTCCAATTTCATCGATCCATTTTTCCTTTCTTCCTTCCTTCCGATTCGTGCATCGAATTTTCGAAGAAACGAAAAAATCAAATTATTCACTTATGAGGTGTGAAAGAGTCGAGAAATATCCTAAATCAATCCTTCCAAGATTTATAATCGTTTTGAATATAAATTTTCCAATATTTCTCCGTTCCAAAAATACTTTTTTACCGCGAACAGTAAGGCTGACGCAAGTTTTTCTCTTAAACTTTCGCGATTAACGTATTCCGTGTAGAAGAGACGCCATTAGCACATACGTGCATTTTTTACAAGTATAATAGAAACGTCGCCTCTACCGAGTATAGAAATAATTCGCTTGCAATAATTCGCAAATTCTCTCTAGGCAAAGAGACAGAGGGGGGATAGAACGATAAGATGAGATCGCAAGTTCGAGAAAAATGGCGTGGAGCGGTTATTAAATATCGCGTGGAGTTTATTACGCTCGGTCTGTACGCGAACTGTGTACGCGCGTTATGTAAGGGCATGGTTAAAATAGCACGCATAGCGAGCACACCGAACTTTCCGTGGTCCGATCGGATCGAGGTGGATTTAGGCGGCGGCGGCCATATCTACCCGAAACGGCCTCGAAACAATAGTTTATTGCCCACTTTCGAGCCGGGCCAAAAACTAAAATGGCGGAACCACCGAAATGGCCCAACGTTCCATCGAGAATTAGCGGGTTCGTTTCGATCGAGGCGTATCTAAAATACGAACGTTATTATGCGCGGATCAAGCTAGCAAATACGCCAATCATTCTGTGAAATCGTTTTTTCGCTTCCTTATCGGCTGAGCCGATCTTTTTTTTTTTTCTTTTTTTCGAAACTTTTTTTATTTGTTACGATGTAATTAATTATGTGAATAAATTAACGAATTCGAATTTATATAAATTTTTCTAAAATATTTATTCGATACGTTTGATAAAGTTGAAGTCGGCCTTTGAATAATTTCGAATAACTTGATTCGACGTTTCTGGTAATTTTTAACTTGATACTTTAACCAGTTACTTTTTCAACTCGTCGATGCTAAAACATTGGTTTTCTAGAAATTCGTGGAAATGGCGGCGCGTGATGTCGAGGAGGAGATACGAAGCAGGCTGTCCGATCTAAAAATATTGGAAAATTGGCAATGACGTAGCGGTCAGGTATCGCGGGAATAACTATGATTCGAGGGAATAAATAATCACGCGGTAGGATGCTAATTAGAGTCTAGACTAGCTGGTAATTAATGTCCAGATGAGTCAACCATTGTAGCAAAGCTTATATAATCGTATAAGCGAATAATTAATAATTCGTGCAAAACATCTGGATTGTCATCCGTCGAGTAGATTGAACGATAAAACCAATCATTCCTTATCGTTCTCTCGTAAATCAATTAAATTCCCAAGATTAACCACGGGAAACATATATATAAACTCGATTTGAAATTTTCAAGCGAGGCGGGAAAATAATTCACCATTATTTAAATTATTCATCGTTATTTCTTGAACGCTTTATAAATTATTATTAACGATCCGTTGATAATTTAAAATATCATGCCATGCATATTGTTGTTCAAAAATTCTTTCACGTCGAGTCGAAAATAAAATTCTTCGATTCGAATTAATTTAAATTATAATTTAAATTTATAATTTAAATTATAAATTTAAATTTATATTATTCACAATCGAATCTCTTCCTCGACAAAATCGTTCGAAATCGTTTTCCAAACGACGCAAAGATTTCCTTTCTTTTTTTCTTTTCCAGTGCTGCGAGAGGCAACAACAACAACAACAACAATCGGCGACGACCGAGGGAAACCAGGACGAGAGCGCCTACGACGTTTTATCCTGCCCCGTAACTCCGATTTCCGGCCCCGGCCCACCTCCAACTTACGACAGCCTGATCTTCGATCCGAAAAGCCTACCCACCTCGATGGAGAAGAAGGGTGAAGAGACACCCGGGTCCATCGTTCCCTCGATGGTGTCCACGTTATTGGGGCTGAGCACGAGCGTGAGATCGGGTTTGGAGCGTAACGAGGCCGTCGAACAGCAAGCATCGGACGAGGGATTGCCTTCCTACGAGGCCGCTTTAAAGTTGGACGCGAACGGTTACGTGTGACACGCCCCTGATCCCCGAGAATTTTTCACAATTGTGTTCCTTAGCGTTGTGTTCCTTTCCACGGAGAGCGAGATGAAGAACGAAGGGACGAGGCAAAGAAAGATGGAAGAAAGAAAGGGGATTGGAAATTAGATAGTGTCTTTCGTCTTTCTTTAGGTTTTTAGATCTCGAGATCGGAGAGAAAGTTGGCCGAATGGAGTCGTAGCTTTGATTAATTAACGCGAGCTTAGGAAAAAATTATTTCCCTGATTCCCGTAGTTTTAAAGAGAGAGAGAGAGAGAGAGAGAGAGAGAGAGAGAGAGAGAGAAAGAGAGAGTATGTGTGTGCGTGTGCGTGTGCGTTTTCGATGGACAAAGATTTTCGATTAAAGATACGATCAGCGTGGATAATAAAATACTGGTCCGCTTCTAATGTTAGAAAACGCTTGGTTCTTGGAAGAGATTTCCTATTCTATCGATACGAATCGTAAAGGAAAACGCGAATGGGCGAACAAAGAAAAAACGAGGGCGAACGAAACGAAGAAAAATCCGTGGAGCGATTTATCTCGTTGTATAGATTACTTTCAAATTTCGCGTAACGTAATAATAATCTGTGTATAATCTGAGTAAACTGAATAAACATCGGGGGAATAATAATAATAGTATAACGCGAGTTATGTTAGCTCGCTAATCTTCTTAAAGATCCGAAGAATTGATCCTAAAAATACACAAAGCTTGAAACGTTATTTCGAGCGAATCGATCGATGTAAATTCGTGTAAATAAAAGGGGATAGAGTTATAACAGAATTATTATTTGCTCCGAGAAAAGCTTCTAATCCGATTCTAATCATTAAAAAAAAATATATGCAAAGTCGGCGTAAGAAATCGATCGTCTTATCCTTCACCCGGCGAAGGCCACTTTAGTGGTCCTCAATCATATCGTTGATCAGCTTAAAGACCACTTTAGGCGGGCATGAATTACGCCTTCGTTTATGGTTCGTTCGCTGGAGCTGATCGAGTGTCGCGAATTCGTCTACGCCGTTACTCGACGCGATTCGACTTCAACTCCTCCTCGGAACGTGCGCGCGCAACCAACGAATATTTCCCATCGTTGCGACGAAAAATCGCTATTGAACGGGGGACAATTTTTCGACCGGGATGGCGATCGATGAAGATATCAAGAGGTAATTTTTCGTGTACGAGGGAAAAGAAGGGGAAAAAAAAAAAGAAAAAGAAAAAGAAAAAAGAAAAAAGAGCTTTGATCGAGGTAAAGCGGAAGGTAATAGAACGATTTGGTTTTTTAACTCTTCTTAAAGAAATGGAACGCATCGATTTTACTCGGCTCGAATTCGAATAATTTATCCTCAAGGCTGTTTGCAAATTAATTGCAACGATTTGTTCTCCGAGAGAGAGAGAGAGAGAGAGAGAGAGAGAGAGAGAGAGAGAGAGAGAGAGAGAGCTAATAAAACGAACTTTTGATTAATTATCGGATATCTTAATGATAACGAGTGTGTTACAAAACACGTTCGTCTAATGGAAACAAAAGTGACAAGACAATTTTATACATTATTTACTTCCTTTCGAGTTTTTCTCGGTTACGTAAGGAAAGGCAAAAAAAAAAAAAAAGGAAGGAAGGGGAGAGAGGAGAGGGGAGAATTGTTATTTAGACAAAATTACAAATCTGAAATGACATTACGCGTAATATTAATTTCAATAATGTAAATGATAGTGAGTGTGTCACACTTTGCTTATCGTCGTGCGAATTATTTAACGTGTTTCATTTTCGAAAAGGAGGAACTGATAAAAGATAAGCATCATTATCGTTATCGAATAGCTAATTTCAAAATTAGCATAAAACTAATCAATATCATCCTTGTAGTAGAAATCTACTGATAATTTCTAAGTGTAATTAAATGATAAAAATGTAAATTTTTTTATTTATTTATTCTTATCGCGTGTGATAATAATATATATATATATTTTTTTTATATCTTGTAGATATCGACACTAGATAAATGTCTAATGCTCATTTTTGTATTTTCTTTCTTTTCAATTTCAATTATTTTGAAAAAAAAAAACAAAATACCACAAAGAAATCATTGATGCTCAACATCAAAAGGAAACGTTTATTTCAGTTTATCCTTAGTTTGCTCTTATCAATTCCTCTTATCGTAAACCACGAATATTTTTTTTCCATATAAATAAAAACTCTTTCCATTTATTACATCAATTAATTCAATATAACTAATTAATAATAATTTGTGTAACATAACATAAGTAACGTGACGTAACTAACCAATAAAATATTTGATAATATATGCGCTAGATTTCTATATTATACGATAACCTTATCATTGTTTGTTTTAATTCACTCCGGTTATCATTCGGATATGATAGTCGACGAAAACTATTTTTTCGTTCGAAAGTTGGAAAGTTAGAGATAAAAGATAAAAAAAAGTCTCGCAATTTTCATTTTTCCATCGCCCCGAGCGGCGAACGAAAAAGAAGAAGAAGGGATGGAAACGACCCTCGTGATTCGACGATTTCCGCCGATAATAAAATATCGTTTCACGCCCGTTTCGAAAGGAAGTCTTTTTTAATCGACAAGCATCGCGAGATATCGACGAGACGAAATCGTATAATCCTCCCTCGAATATTCTATCGAATTCGATCAATTCAAAATTTAACAATAATTCGACCGAACAATAATATACCGTCGTTGGATTTTTAGTAAGAGCGAGACCTGTTGACTGGAAGAATACTCGATAAGAAGCTCGAAACTCGTGACCCGTGCTCGCTCGCTCTTAAATTCCTCGTGTTATTCTAAATAGGAACATATATATATATATATGTCTCGATTGATTGGCCTTGCTTTTTATGGTGGCACCGATATTTTATTATCCGCTCATCAACATCGTTCCACGACAGGATAATCACGTGTTTTACAACGTAAGGGAAGACCAGCTTTCGTTTTTTCAAAGTCTTCTCTCCCTTTTCCGTATTTACCCGTTTAGGGTTAATAGGATATTTTCGGTTTAAAGAGGTATCGAATAAGCGTTGGCGCAACGTTCGCTCGTTGCGTTTCAACGGTTCCGCGCATGCTCCATGATTCGAAGTTTTTCTTCCTTCAATAAGTTTTTGCACAGTAATAAAATTGGTCATGATCTCAAAAGGAGTTAAGACGCTGTTCAGTGTGACATTCATTTTTTGTTTTTAGGAGAGAATTTTACAATTAATTTATTTCTCGATCTTGAGTTATTATTTGTCTCGAATTTTATTTTGAATTATAAAAAAAAAAAAAAAGAGAGAGAGAGGAACAAATTAAATTTTTTTTTACGTTCCGCTCACGACTCGGATAAGGAACTCGTTCCATTTCGGTTCAGATAGACGAGTTGCTTGAACAAATAACCGATCCACGAGTAGCAGTAACGGCGGGAAAGACAATGGCAAAGGCGAGCCAAGATCGTCTCGAGTCGTTTCCTCGTCGCGTATGTCCTCGAAAGCGGTGAAAGCGGCTAACAAAGAGCATCAGAGTGTCGTAATTATTATATTATTTCGAAGCAAACGCTATTTAATTTTTCTCTTTTTTTTTTTTTCTTTTTCACTCTTCCAGTGAACTTTTCAATCTTTATGAGACGTTTTCCTTAGAAAGAAAAGTTATTCCGATATTTTTATCTATCTAATCCTGTATATCTATATTTATAATTTTTGATTCGTTTGTTCTCGAATGTAGAATATAAATCGAGATTAATTGATATTTCGAATTCCCCCCTCTCTCTCTCTCCAAAGCAAGATAAAATCTAATTTTTCGAATGATAAATTAGTATATAGGTAAAGCTATTTTTATTCGTTATTATTTAATTGAACGATTCTTTAAGTAAAATAAAATTCCATCGAAAGTCCATCGAAAGTTTGTAACGAAGGAATGACACGCGTGACGATAAATTATAACTTGATATGGCGTGAAAATCGCGTGAAATTTTCGTGAAATAATAGGACGATAAATTTAACAAATTTGCTATATCGAAATGGTTCGACATAAATTAATAATTCTGAAACAAAAAAAAAAAAAAAAAAAAAAAAAATACGACACGATAACTACTGCCAACTGTAAAACTAATTACACGCATATTACGTAATAATAAAGTCTCAAAGATTGGCGGCAAATTTATTATTATAATCGTCTATTTTAAGTTTTGCGTTTGAAGTTTTTTTTTTTTTTTTTTTTTTTTTTGATTAAAAAGTTTAAAGTTTAACGAATTACGAAACGAATAATTCTAAATGAAATGATCGTGAAAAATGTTCGAACGTTGAAACGATAAAACCGAAGACAAAAATGAACGATTTAGAGGCTTGAATTTCAAAAAAAAACGAAACACGGGAAGAAATATTAATGGAGTAATTATTGGACAATAAAATAAAAAGCGATTTTATGGCCGTTAAATCCTCGTCAAACGATTTGTTCTTGCCGTAAATTTATCGAAATAACGATAAACTTTTAAACTTATTTATATATAATTGGACAAAATTGAGATCGCGTATAATTTATTTTAAGGATAGTTAAAAAAAATGAAGATTAAAAAAATCGTTATTAATGGATGCAATTGCGAAGATTATAAAAAGTTGCCTTATAATCAATACTTGATCGAAAATTCGAAATATATAATCGTAGTTTTAATCGATTTACTCTAGTCCTATCCATTACTACATATTCACGATTTAAATATTTACCGTTTCTCACTTTCTTTCAGATCGATCACCGTATTTCATAAACACGGCGTCACAAACAAATTCGTCGTAAAAAGAAAGGAAAAAAAAAAAAAAGAGAGAAGAGAAACGGATCGATCGAACTTCGTGCAAACAACGATAAATAAAGCTTATTACCACTATTTATCTTCGCTATTAAGCAAGTTTTTGCTGCCTTTAGACTTTATCGTGGAAACACGCTTTGTTCGATAAATTCGGCCAAGTACGTTCTTCCGATACCGCGCTCGATTTCATTGCCCCCGAAACCTTGAACGACGTTATTAAATTGTGCAACTCATCGCACGGCCAGCTTCCTTGTGCGTGGATCTACATTGCGTGGGTGGCCAACAACAATTACGAGAACATCCAACGATCGTCTCTCTTCAACCGTTCTATAATAATCTTCCTCTCTCTCTCTCTCTCTCTCTCTCTCTCTCTCTCTCTCTCTCTCTCTCTCTCTTTCTTCTATGCGTCTTTTTCATCCTATCCAAATGCAAATTATTTCTTATTTCCATTTCGAATTTCTCGATAAATAATGATCGATCGATCGATAAATCGATCGATTCGATGTATTCGAGAGATAATGTAATAATTATTATTAACTATTCGAAACACGGAAAATTCTGCGATTCTTCTATTTCCGAGAATATTATTACATTCGTATCATTGATAAATTTAACAGGATGTACTATTTTAGCTCGACAGATAATTTTATATATTCCTGTGTTTACTGTGTAAAAATTATTTTAAAATGAACGAATCATCGATCCATGTATATTGTTTAGTTACGAGTTTTTTAGAGAAACGGAAACGAAGAGTTCTATTTTCTCGAGATTTTTCCGCAGGATACCCAACGAGAACTCGTTTTTCGACGAAAGATAGAATCATAAGAAGCTATACATATATATATATATCATTTTTCCTTTACGAATTTTCTACGTATTCAACGAGAAAGGAAGTCCAGTCTGGCCTAGTTTCCTCGAGCTTCCCTGTATCCACGTATGTGTATCTCGAACAATGTGAAAGGACTCGGACTGCTGATACAATGTTCATTATAGAACGTTATAAAACGGAAAAATAGAATCTTTTTTTTTAAATCTTATTTATTCCAAACTTATTCCTTGAGAAATGACAAAGAAAAAGAAAAAAAGATGATTATTCGAACGATGATCGAAACGATGATCAGAGATATCAAATACTTTTTTCTAGATTTCAAAGTCGATTTGATAGACGAAGAAAAGAACGAAATTCGATTTTTATCTTTATCGACAATAGATAAGGGAGAGAAAGTATCATTTGAAGAAGAAAAGAAAAAAGAAAAAAAAAAAAAAAAGAAAGGAAGGAAGAAAGATAAATTTGTAGATAATCATGGCGCGTTAGTTGGTAAATGGAAGATGACTGGCCAGGGAGATCAAACTCGATTAAACGGGGCGAGCTATAGGTATATTCTGATGCTTGCCCTACAAAACTTGAGGACCTGGTTATGAAATACGCCCTCGGCTAAATATAGATATACCGATACCGACGAAAAGCTTGCAAATTGCAAACTTCTATCATTCCTTGTATTAAGGAGAATATATTACATAATATTACATATATAAAATATATAGATTGGTATTGAAGATATTAAAAGATGTTATTTTCATCGATTATTTTAAACCTTATAATTAGAATATAATATTCGATAGTTCGAATATTATACGAAAAAGAAATACGATGGAATTTTAATTTCAATTTTATTGTCGTTAAAGAAGATGCCAATAATTGATGATGAATATATCGATAATATTATTCTTTAGCGATAAAATTTCTCAAATAAAATGTTACAACAAGTTTGTTCCTGTTAGTGGTTTAATTTAATTTTAATTTAATTCTAATCTGGAACTAACCTAGATTTTGTACCACGTCTAAATTGAATTAACTATCACTTGTCGGTATCGTGTTATGAGTTTATTAATTAAATAATAATAATGAAAACATCGAAAAAAAAAATGTATCGACGTCAGAATTGTTAAATAAACTTTGCGTTTCTTGCTCTAATAAGATAAGTTTGTTTTTCTCTTTTTTTTTTTATCTTCTCTTCTTAAAATCCAATTCTATATTGCTCGGGAGAATTTAAAATAAAAAATTATTGAATAGTTTTTGAATTTTTAATCTTTTAAAATTATTCTAAACGAAATTACAACGAATCCACATTTTGATTCTTGTATTTTTACATTTTTTTCAAAAATGAACGATTTCTAAATTTTTAAAAATATACAAATACCGTTTCTTTTTTTTTTTTTTTTTTAACTTTCCCTCCCTCCACAATTTCGTTTTCCATAGGATTTAAAGCGGAGTAAAATCATGAAATCGAGCAGATCAAATACATCGAATATCGAAACGATCGAAACGAACGTGCAAAATTCTAATTTCAACGCAGGCGTGGTAATATTAATCCGAGCCAAATGAAATTCGGCCGATCCGGCGTAATTACGTGCCTCGTAAATATTAACAAAGGATTCGTGTTCCTGGATTTCAATATGAAATACAATGAAATCGTTTTTAGGAAAACGAGAAACCACTGACTAGATGGAAGTAACAAGTTTCTGATGCTTCGTATCCTTTTTTTTTCCCCTTCCCTCGTTCTTTTTTATCATTAACTCGAAAAATATTAGTTAATTTTTTTTCGAATAAATTTATTCGTCTCAAAAAGAGATAAAAATTTCGAAATTCGGTCGTTACTCTCTACAGACGTTATATAGAAAATAATTAAAAACGCAGCTTAATGATACATAGATGAAGAAACATGGAACGAGAAAATTGCTATTAAGAAATTACAAGATGATTAAAAACGGAATCCACAATTTTTATTCTAATAGAAACGTTAATGAGATAAAAAAAAAAAGATCAAAGAGAGGAAAAAACGAAGACAATGAATTTAACAACCGTTGTGAATTCTGTATTTTCCACACCTCGTTTGGTGTGGAAAAATTAACAATTAATAAGAAATTGAAACGTTAAATGCCTTTGAAATGATGTAAAATAATACACAGCGTAAAAAGATACAAGAAGCATGTTTATGCACGTATATCAAGATTTCATTCGAATCTTTTGCAATACTCTAAACAGATTAGCGTTCAATCACGTTGCATTTAAACATCGATTAGCGTCAAGCCTTTAAACCTTTAAAGGTCCGCAGATTTATTAAAGTGTCAGTGGCGACAGCGACTGCAATGCGAGTCGATCAATTCTTCCTTCGAAGCGATCGCGTCCCACTGAACCATCACGTCACGTTTTCTAGAGAATTTCTCGCACAGCATACTAGAGAGTCCTTTCCATTCACCTGTGTCCCTCAAAGTGTACACACCTAAGTGTCAATATACGGTGGTGTAGCATGTAAATATATTACGCTTTTGTAAGTATATGTACGCCGCACGGACAAGCGTTTGACTATAGTGCGACAAAACACAACAAACTAATAAAAACGGATCAACTAGGGGTTGACAGGACAAAAATCTGGCTGGTATACGAGGTCGAAAATCGATGCAGCGGGAGGAACGCGTAAAACGCGGCGTACCACGCGATTAAAACAATGCCGGATCATAAGAGTACTCACCTAACCTTGCTCTGCAGGATCGCTTCTCCGGTTGCTGTATCCGCGTTGTTCTCCCTACGAGGAAACTTCCATGTACCGGTTCCCCTCTTGATCGATCTCAGTTCAGTGTTTAGGGAATACCCTTCGATGTGTACACCTTTAGGGGAGGCATTGAGATGGAGAAACGTTCATGGATAACGGTATATCCCTGCCATGTCGAAAAAAACACGAAAAAGATCCACACAATTTGCCGCTCGCACGCGCGCGCGCGCTCACTAAGCTTTGCTACTCACAATCAGTGGCACACTGAAGCCGCTGAAGTGTACTTCGCCTCGCACGCATCTGTCCGCCAGGTCTGACGAGATCTCCCACGGAATCGAAAGCGTCCGTACGCTTTTGCCTCTCCCGCGCCTCTACATTACGCTTCGCACGCTGAAAGATAACCAACTCGCTACACTAACGAACTACACTCGCGACACTCGGTCGCCGACTAAACATGTTGCTCCCGAATTCAGAGACATCTGCAGATAGGGAATGGAACTAGTAGCATCGTCGGTGGATTTTAATTGAACCATCGACCGGTGAATGAGGACAGAGTATAACGGAATATATATATTCGTTAATTTTTACGTAGGTGAAATAGTGAGAGAAACTTGAAGGTCAAATTAATTTTTTTAATCGGAAAACTATTCTTTTTTCATCCATAACATTATTACGATATTATTACGAAATTTTATTTTAAGAAAAAAAATATTAAGTAAAAATTAGTTCGTGAGATATTTTATCTGTAAAAAGTTAATTATCTTTCTTTTTCTTTCAAATTTTAAAATATTTAAAATTTTAAGATTTTTTCAATTTGATAGTAAGGAAGTAAAATAAATTTTAAATCATTGAAATTAATTGCGATTAAATTAATTTGAATTAACCGCGAAAATTTTGTTTCGAATTAAAAATTGGATATTAAAAAAATCAACAGTTTAAAAATGAATTCTATGAACAATTTAATCTACTTCAATTCGAATTTTTTCCACTAATATTACGAAAAAAAAATTAAATCTATTTTTAAAAATCATTTTGTCTTCTATTAACTTCTAATCAGTATAATTCGACGTTCTTAAGATACGGCAATTGATCTATATAAGAATTTGAATTATTAATATTGTATATATATGTATAAATGTTATTGTAAAAATAGTACTGTATGATGATATATTTGCGAATACAGTACTTTTCTCGTTGCATGATTTTCACAGAAATTTTAGAAATGTTTCCATTGCGGTGTACTGTCAAAAATAGAAGGTTAGGGCTGTTCTAACAACAGTATTTGACGTGTCAGTGCAATTGCAAATGGCGGGCACCAATGGTGACATTTTCTCAATAGGAAAGAAAATCGAGAAATTGACGATATCAGGAGAGGAATCAACGAAAAACGAGGATGATAGCGAAAATGGAAAGAAGCTGGTACCTCGACTATGGGGTTTCGAAACTAAAGAATTATACAAAATTGCAGTTAATTTCTACAAAGGTAAATCAATTATATTGACAGTTTATTAGAATAGTTTCGTTATTCATTTCTTTAAATTAATATTAGAAAAATGACATGTCCCTATTTATACGCGTTATTGCATTGTTATATGATACATTGCTAACATATTAAAGTATTGAATACATGAAAATTTTACTAATGATTATTGTGTTGATTTTCTTTTTATTGATTGCTAATAAGTAAATAAAAATTAATTATTTTAATATTGATATAATTGATAATAATTTATGTAAATTGTATGATAATTATAGAGAAGGAGGGTAAAGCTGTCCATTTGTCTTATGAAGACAAATTAAAACTAGTAGCTTTTACTCAGCAAGTAACACATGGGAAATGTACTGCAGAAAATGCACCACCTTTGGGTGTGTTGGATGTAATTGGAAAGGATAGACGCTTGGCATGGCAAAATCTAGGAGATATATCTAAGGAACAAGCAATGGAAGGATTTATAATTTTGTTAGATAAATTATGCCCATTATTTAGAACAGTTGTAGAAGCACAAAAAAGAGATATTGAGGAGAAATTACGACTGAAAAAAGAAGAAGAAACAAAGAAATTAGAAGAAGAAAGAAGATTACAAGAATTAAATGAACAAAAAAAGAAAGAGGAAGAAGCTAGATTAAAGGAAGAAATTCAGAGGAGACAAATTCAAGATGCCTTAAATCAACAAACGTATTATCAATTTAAAATGTATGCAGAACAACAATATCCTGGAAATCCAGAGCAACAAGGTGTATTAATAAGGCAGTTACAAGAACAACATTATCATCAATATATGCAACAATTGCGTCAAAATCAGTTACTCATAGAAGATCAAACCCCAGAAATGACCACTGCCACTATAGAAAATGCTGATAAGGAAGAACAGAAAGAAACAAGCGAAACAACTCAATTAAATGAGGAAGATTCTGATGACTTGCAAGATTATCCACCTATAGCTCCACCAGAAATGTGGACTAGAGGAGGTGTAGAAGAATTTAAAAATACTATTAGGAGAGAAGATAGCGATGCAGTTATTAAGGTTGGACATGGAGAAACAGTAACAGTTAGAGTACCAACACATGAAGATGGCTCTTATTTGTTTTGGGAATTTGCAACAGATAACTATGACATTGGTTTTGGAGTGTTCTTTGAGTGGTCAAAACCAGAAACCAATCAAGTATCGGTACATATTAGCGAGTCTGAGGATGAGGATGAGGAGGATGATGATTATGAAACAAGAGATGATTTAGAAAGTGGAATAGCAAATGGTTCGATTCCATCTGATTATAAACCATCACCACCACCTACAAGTATGGTAGTACCTGTAAGTGTATCTATGTATCACTATTTTCTCTTTTAATAGTATCCAGCATAATAAAATAAAAGAGAAATATAATTATTTCTATATTAATAATATTTTTTTGCTATACATATAATGTTTTTATAGACTTTTAGGAGAGATTCGCAAGATGAAATCTATGCGGGAAGTCATAGATATCCAGGACAGGTAAATAATATTTTTCAAAAACATTCAAATATTTGTAAATTATCATATGTTGTTATATATTTATTCGTTACAGGGTGTATATCTTCTTAAATTTGATAATTCATATTCACTTTGGCGAAGTAAAACGCTTTATTATCGAGTCTATTATACACAAAGTGGTTATGTGCAAAATTAGCTTTATTAAGAAAAGAAAAGCCACTGCAATTCACTGATCGTACAATTGTTGAGAACTAGCCTGATATGATGTTTTGCCGATATTGCTAGTCCGACTAAATGAAGAGTCCTATCTATTATTTCTGTTCACAAAACCAAGTGTTTGCAAAACGAAACAAATATACATTATTATAGTTATGTAAAGACACTTTATTGTTTAATGTGGCAAGCAAAATGGGCACAAGTATAAAAGAAAGGTTCCTATTCCCTTTCCTGTTGATGTTTGTAAAAATGAGGAAAAAAAAAAAAAAACGAAATGTATAAAAAGTAAACCGATATATTAATGTCATATTCGATTGTACATTATGCCAGTAATATATCGGTGACTTCGTGCATAATAATTGTTTTCTTATGGTAAAGATTTTAATCTGTTTTTGTTATTATCTCACTCGTATCTGTATCTTATACTTTTATTAATATTATCCCACATTTTAGAAAAATACATTGAAATCAAAACATTCCAGTATTTTACTTTTCCTTGTCGTAATTTTTATATATGAAAAATTAATCAAAAATTGCAAATACTTTGACGAAATAAATTTTTTTTTGTGTTAACGTTTATTGTACTATAATCATAACGTTTGTTTTTTTTTTTTTTTTGTTTTTACAAGAATGAATTGTATATCGTCGTTAATAATAATTATAATAGTTACATACGTAGCAGTATATAATTACAGGCTTCTTACGCAAACGAATATGCGTGTATGTATCGCATATAAACACGTTCTCAATTATCGCAATAATGGACAATTCGCCGTATATTAAACAATTTTTTATTTAGAAGAGCACTTTTTAAGACGGCATGAGTATGTTTTTGTTCTTAAATATTGTACGGCAATGAGAATTGTGTTATACCTCGTTTTTTTAATTACGAATTATCGCATGTATTCGCATCAACATCAAGCAATAATCTGAAAATGTACTCATACAATTTCGCGATAGCCAAATTTTCGTATTATTTTTTTAATCGAAATATTTTATTCGATTTGTAACGAAGTAAATTTCGATTCGTGTTTAAGAATAAACACGATTCGATTATTCGTACTTATGTAATCAATGTTTATTCATATATTTTTCGTCGATTATCTTAAAGCCTAGATCTGCCACTATTAAAATTATAGATCGATGAATTTTATAAACGTTGAAGGCTAGAGTAGTTCGTTGTAAGAGACACTTTCAAATTGTAATATTCAATTTTGATGCTAGTCAATGTGCATCCTATTAAATAAAATCATTTATCATTAAAATTACTATGATGTGATTTAACTCGCCGTTAATTATTAATTTTATTTATATTTTTATTTTATCGTATCAAATTGCAAAAAATGTAACTCTTTTTTTTAAATATTTTGTGTTTAATTACAATATTACTTAGTTGTAATATTTTCTGTTATGGAAAGTGCCTCTTTATGGTTGATTTTGGTCAGATGTGCTTATCGAACATTCTATCGTATGCGGAGCAAAAAATTTATCATACGTTGTTTATATTAAACTTGAAAAGTAATTACACGCGTTATCCTGAGATGCCTTAACATTTACATATCATGAATATCGAAATCAATTATCACATGCTTCGTCAATCGTCATTCAACAAGTTGCAACAAGCCTACTTTCTATGATGATTCAGCTATGCTTTCGTTCGTTTGTATTTCGCGCTAAAATGACGGCAAGTTCTACTATTTGCGATTATCGAATCGCGCTTACGATTCTCGTTTAATAATTTGAAAGGCGAATGTGCGTACATCGTGTAATTCGGAAGTGTCAAAAATCGGAAAAATTTTCGTGATTTTGTGGAAACTTTTATAGTTTTATGGAAGATTTTGTTACTTGGACAAGAATTTTATGGCTGTGAATAAAATTTTGTCGTTTTTCTCCCGATTTAGCAACCAGAATTGGTAAGTACAAATACAATAATTAACCGATGTTCGAATTTTCTTATTGTATATACTTATGACGCATTAATGAATTTCAATCCATTCGAATAAACGTTTTTTTGACGAATAAACGTTTTTTTGACTAATAAACGATAAAGTTACATATCTAGAAACAGAAATTTGTATAACTGTATATAATATTTTCTATCTATCCCTTTTTATCTTCGAAAGAAATCGTATTTCGAAGAAAAATTGTCCACTTTTCTATCAAATGATTTAGTTAATATTGAATAGATCGCGATAAGTAGCACTTAATTAATGTTGCTTTCCGTCGACGGCGAATAATCGTGTAAAATTACACGTACACACACATGTATATATTACAGATTTCAAAATCCCAATTAATTTACTAGATAAAAATTATCATGGTATAATTAAGGTTATTAATTTTTTCTACCAATTAGTCACGTAAGTATCAAGTAATACTTTTTATATAAACACGATTAAATGATGTTTCAAAGATACATATATTCAATTTTTTAATTCATAGAGAATGGAACAATCTTCCATCCATAAATTGAGTAGAAAAAACATTCATTTTTTTTTTCTTTTTTAGAATCCTAATTATACCACGACCTTTAATTTTTTTTTTCTTTAATATATAGTAATTTCTATTAATGATTATCACGATCAGCAATTGGCATCGATACACATTATTCAAGTATATGAAAAATATCCTCCTAAAAGCATTAACAATGCGCTTTGTTTCCTCGTTAATATTATAATAATTATATATGTATATTATATATATGTATGTATGTATGTATGTATGTATGTATGTATGTATATATGTATGCATGTATGTATGTATATCGTATGATAAATACAAAGTTCTCGATCAAAATATCGAAAGACCGGTAAAAACGATCAGAATTACGCATAGCTTCTTTCTTCTCTGTTGCAGCGAGCAAACATGTAGACAAAAATATATATATATATATATGTATATATACTTATATATTTTTTTTTTTCGAAATTTTATTTGCACGGAGAAGCGAAGACTTTCAATCGTTTTTCGGAACGGATTTTTTCTTTTCGATTTATTTCTATTTTGCTTGTAAAATCTACGTATTTTCTTCGTTTATATTTGAGCGAAAGTTCTCTTTACGAACGATTGCATTCATTCACGAATTGTTTTTGCGCTTGACGCTTTGCAAGAATTAGAATGTTCTCGAGTGGTAGGTGGCGCCTCTTTCCAAATACGCATACTCAGTCGAAATATTTACCTATCTCAATATTATCCCATTACTTTACGTAACGAGCAATTATTAGTTTAATGTCACCCTATCGAAACAAGGATCGAAATACTTTATTCGAGAAGAATTATAGAATAATACGATATTCAAATATCGAATCGAAATTCCACGAGCATCGGCACAAATTGTGTTATCGTTTAATACAATCGATTAAAAATCCTCCAATTATCATTCGTCCCTCTTTATATCTCTTTCTCTTTTAAAATCTCTCTTCACGATCGCGGATCCAACCGACGTCGCACATATATATATATAAATACATATAACCCCGTCGTATAATTGACGCTGGCTCAATTATAAATTTTATCACGACGTTTAGAGAAGTTTTTTTCTTTAAAAATCCAAATGAGACACGATATTGGCAACATCGACAGCGTTACACGCTCGAATTTTTTTTCTCTATCTCTATAAAGAAAGAAAGAAATATCAATCGATCTTTCGTCCGAGATCACACGCTCGAAGCGAAGGCGGGCCCGTGTAAAATGTGCATTTATTACGGTGTATGTACAGGATGTTGAAAATGTGGCAGGACGGATATTTACAAATTCAATCATCTCCCTTCCATCTCCCTGGTTACAACGACGTCTCCATATTCAGATTCGCCCACTTGTTGTTGTTCTCCCCTCTGTAATCCTCCACCCTTCCCGTGAAACTTCGACGGAAATTCGCCTCGTTTCTGACCGATCTCGTTCGCCTTTCCGTCAATGAGCGTTGCAATTGCCCCTTGCTCGAGGATCCGCACGACCCGTTCACCGGTGAAACATCGTCCACCGTTTGATCCGCGCATTTCTCGCCGCGGCTCGTTCCGTCCATCGAGCCCTCGTAAGGGGGGAACGACGTCCCGTGTCGGTACACGGCACGAGTTTGGTTCTGTTTGGCGGTGAACCGTATCGCGTCCACCGCGTCCGTGGACGCGGAGAAGGCGTACGGATAGGGATGCTGGCGATCGGGCGGGCAGGAGAAGAAAGAAGGGGGGCAAGAGGTGTCCGAGTAACGGTGTCTGCGGCAATCTTGGAATCGGCGGCGGGACGATCTTCGATCGCACGCGAGGGATCGTCCAAGCTGGCCGAGGACTGTCTGATTCGGCGCCTCCTCGGTCGGGGTTGAGTCCACTTCCTGCCGCGTTCGAACCACGTCCTTCCCTCCGAAAGGATCGCCTGGGCAGACCTCTTGTATCGGGCTCGCGAATATCAGAGTTCTGAATCGAACAGAATCGCACGGAAGAAACTGCTCGCGATTTCGTCCCATTTTTCGCTCGAGAATTCGAAACGAAAAAAGAAGTATCGCTCGAAAAATTTTTTCAGAAAACTTACCTGTTGCTCCCCCGTTCCTTCCATTCCTCGCCCTTCTCGCCCGTCGACGCTTCGTTCTCCAACAATTGTTTCCTCCTCCTTCCCCTCCCGTCCAGGCTCTCCCTCGATCTCGAGAACGAAAGATCGAACGATCTTTTCTCCCCGACGTTGGTTTTGGGGAAAACGGGGCGCGTCGGGGCGCAACCCTCGTGATACGAGGCCCGATTCTCCGAACGTTTACCTCCTCCTCCGTCCTCCTCCTCCTCCTCCCCGTCCGACAAATTTTGAAGCTCCCTCGCTGTGATCAGGGTGTACCTTCGTTTGTTCTGCTTGAGAATCGATTTCAGGCAGAAGTACGCGTTCGTGTCTGCCGCGAAACCGTCCCCCTCGTCCGACATGGGATTCGCGATCACCCTGCTTCTCGCCGTATTACCGCATATCCTCTTGGGTATAGCGCCCCTGCTCGCGTCCATTCTCGACGACCGAGAGTTCGTTTCATCGAGGGAGCAAAGGGACAACCGAAACTTTCCCTCCTCCTTTCCTCGGCCATCGACCACCTCGCCGCGCCCGTCCCTTCCTCCCATCCCATCCTCGACACCACCGCCAAACTCCTCCTCTTGCTCGCTCTCCAATATATTTCTCAAACTCTGCCCGTTCAACCTCAGGAACCTCGTGTCGGCCTCCAACGATTCCGACCTCGACCTGAGATTCGGCTCGGACATGTCGCGAGGCATAGTCATCGTCATCGCCATAGCCATCGTCCTCGGCCCCCTTCTCACGCTTTGGAACCCTCTCCTCGAACCCCCGATCCCAGAACTCCAGCCCGAGATGCTGCACTCGCTTCTCGACCACATCTCCGCGGTTTCCAGCCGCGCCTCGACCAAGTATTTCCCGCAACTCGCGCACTTTCCGCTCGCCGTAGTCTCTCCCCTCTCGCCGCCCGTCGTGCAACTCGAGGTGGAGGGGGGACGCGCCTCGACGCGCGCCGCCGTCCCCATCAACGGCAGCCCGGCCGCGTCCTCGTCCTCCTCGTGCGCGCCGGTGCTCGTCTCGAGAGCGGAGGCCGCGTGGCATGGGCAGGAACATTCGAAGAGGGAGACGGATGTTGGACGATTCGAATCCTCGTTGGGATCCACGACGCAGCCTTGATCCGCTCGTCGATAAAGCAACGCTTCCGAATAGCTCGGCACCATTTCGGTTATGGCCTGCTCATCCTCCTCCTGTTGGGCCTCCGTCGAAGATGGACGGTGGTCGGGCGCCGGATCCATGAGAAGCGCCTCGCTGTAGCTCGGAGCTAACATGTAAGAGCCCGCTTGATTGATCGTTTGTTGGCTCATGGACGCGTGTATCGGCTCGCAGCCGCTCGGTGTGTCGTAGTTGATTCCGAACAGCTTGGTGATCTGGTGATTTGGTGAGAGAGAAAAGAAGGGATATTGGGGGATATTGCGTATAGCGGTAGTCGATCGATAGTCACCTGATAATCGGCGTATTGCGTTTTGTATTCTATGATCACTCTCAGGGGCCAGCTGAGCAACAAAGCGCTCAGACACCAGTACACGTAGCGATTGGTGAACCAAGGATTGCCGAGAACGGCGACAAGGGTCGTGGGATTCGGATTGTATCCGAGATCCAGGCCCTCTCTCATCTCCATGTAATCGTCTCTCAGTTCCTTGCGGGAGGAAAAGTGGGAAACTTGGTTATCGATGGTCGAAAGGAATTCGTTCGGATAGATAATATATAATTCGATCGATGGATGTAATGGTCGTACTTGCTCGGCGAAGAATCTCGTTCTGGCCTCCTCGAATTCGGTCGCCGATCTCATGTTCGAAAACGCGAATCCCTTGCTGAGATTAATCTTTGTGATCGGCACTTTTGGATCGAGAATCAACTCCTTGCTGATGTCCTTCACCCCGCAGTAGTCGTAATAATAGAAGGATGTCGCGGCGTGGGTGTTTATCCTCTCGTAGTAGACCTGGAAAAGAAAACGTTGAGAACGTGAGAGAAGCGTGGAACGAGGGGAGGACAGATGGGCCATCGCGATTAGATCGCATCAAACTACGTTCCTTCGAGCTCGAGTAGAAATTATTGAGTTGTTCGGAAAGTGATTTCGTTTTCTTCGCACGAGTGTCGCTAGTCGAACGTTTATCCGGCTAACTTCATTCTAAAGTGGAAATTACTGGGTTGTTCGGAAAGTAATTTCGTTTTTTCACACGAGTGTCGCTAGTTTATCTAGCCAACTTCATTCTAAATTGTGTTATATGTTTTGAGAGTTGGTATTTCATGATTTATTTATAAGAAAAATTCATTCGATTCTGTTGTGTTTTTTGTGTGTGATAACAACAAGATGCAGGACCAAAAGCATTTTCGGAATATTTTACATTTTTATTACTGAAAAGGTAAGAATGCCATTCAAGCAAAAAAAAAAGTCATGTGAAGTGTATGGAAAAGGTGTATTAACAATATCAAAAGTGGTGTTCAAAATTTCGTTCCGATAATTTCGACGTTAAAGACGCGCCACGTTTTAACGAAGAGTATTTAAAGCTGATGAAGACAAAATAAAGGCACTGAATTGAAGCAAATCGATGAATAACGACTTGAGAAATTGAATTTGTCGAATTCGACAGTTCATGATCACGTAAAACGACTTCGTGTTTCATTGTCATGAAAAAAAACGAAATTACTTTCCGAACAACTCAATATATTATTTTATTTCGAGAAATTCGGTTTCGTTCGATCGAAAGAAAAGATAAAGATAAAAGGAGAGGTGGTCCCATCTTTCCTCTCGACGAATATGAGGTCGCGCGAAGCGTATCAACGATTTACCATCCCGCGATTTCCTTTCGTCTGGATTACGAGATGTGCGTTGCACGTTGCGCGTTATGCGTTACCTGCGTCGTCGTGTAATTGTCCCCGTTTCTGTACCGGGTAATTTGTCGTTTACGCCGCACGTAATGGTAGGAGACAGCCTTCCACCATATAGTCGGTTGCGCCAATTTCAACTGCGTTATCTTCGACAACACGCTGTCCTGGCTCTCCGCGTGTAACAGATCGATTCTGATCGGCGAGTGATAACACTCGACCAGATAGACCAAATACAGCATCCCCATGAAAGCCACCTGAAAACCAATCTCCATATTCGTAATTCCTTTCCATAATTTTCAAAATTATGTTACATATTACGTATATAGATATACGTAATATAGAGAATATTCGTTCATTTTACATCGTTCCTCGAATTTTTAACGAAAAATTAGAATTTGAAATTAACTTTCAATTTGCGATTACTTACGGGGATGTATATGTAGCCATCGTCGCAGGGGGATACGTGTCTCGTGCTTTTAATCGGATACCTCGAGAAATTGATTATCACCTACGAACGAATTACCATTCAAGAAATCCCTTTTTTTTTTCTTCGTGGCGTAGCGGTGGAAGGAAGAAATGTAAGACATACCTTGGTGACATTCGCGCATCTACACCACGTCACTGCAGCAAGGCATCCGTATATCAACACGGACAGCACCAAACATTTGCAATTCGGTTCTTTTTGCAAAGCCCCGCAAAAGGTTTGGGAGACTGGTCGCTATACAGACATATATCGTCGGTTCAGACAATCTTTCAACGTTTCCTTTCGCGACACATTTACTTTTTCGAATAACGACAAAGCTCGAATAATTTGAAAATTAGAATTGAACGTACTTCCTCGTTTTCTCGATTCATCGTTGAAACGATTAAGCCAGGTTACTTTTCGAACGTGTTCTTGGATCAAACTTGAAATCTTCTCATCTCACGAATGCTCTTCGATCTCCTTTATTTCCCCGGTGCTGATCTTTCTACTGGAAAAATCGAATTTTATTCGCATATTTGAAATCCGATAATCGAAAAAACTTTCGAAATATTATTATTTTTTTTTTCAAAGGACACGATATAACATCGAAAGAAAAACTTGTACGCACGGCTTCTTCTTTGAGAGAATTTTCGACGAGTGTTTTCGACAAGTACGAATTGAAATTAAAAATTCAAAGACTCGCTCTTGGCTACTCGACTGCAAAGTTACACGGCAATCCTAATTACAGCGGAACCCGAGGACCACCCGGTTTCTCGTGATTTTTCTTTTTCCACGAGCTCGAGAAGAGCATCGTCATCGTTCCCGCCTTTTAACCCCGAAAGCAGCTCACGCCTAATTACTCCCGTAAGTCCATCTACCATCGATCGCGTTTTCCTTTCCTCGATCGCGTTCGAATCAAACGATTTTCCCTCCCTCGAGAGGTTTTTCCTCCCAAATGAAACGATCGCGAAGGAAGAACCCACTCCTGGCGGGGTAACGATGTTTGCCTTGCTGTTAACCGCGCTCAAAGGTTAGCAGCCGCTCGAAGCGAACGAAGAATCGTTTATCCCAAGGCGAGGGAATGAAATCGATCGCGGTTGTGTACGACGTGGTTATAGAGCAAAAAGAAGGGAAGCGAGCGATCGCCTCGATATCTACTTATCGTACGTTTCTCTCTCGTTCTCGTCTCTCGATTCCTCTTCGACATCCTTCCCGAGCTCCTCGTCTCTCATCTCACTCTTCTCTCTCTTCCTTCCACCGATCCACCACCAATATATCCTCCCCCCTTGACGAAAATACAGATTGTCGCCAAAACGTGTATATATATATATATGTATATACACGTGTATATATATATATCTATATATGATGGAAAGAACAACGATCGAAGGGAGAAAGAGAGAGAGAGAGAGAGAGAGGCGAAGGATGATGGAAAAAAAAAATGGTGGAAAACGGGCGAAGCGGAAGTGGAGGACGCCGTAGTTTCGGCTGGAACCACCCCGATGCTACCCCTACGGCTAACTGACACCGTCGTCGATACGCTTTGCTCGCGGACGCGGCATCTCTACTGACGCGGCGTCTCCCCCTCGTCGCTCTCGCCCTCCCCTCTCCCTCCCTCCTCCTCCTTCTCCCCTGGCCCTCGTCCGCGTCGGCGTCGGCGCCCACCGACCTCCCCAGTTCCCCGCGGCTGCGCCAGCTTCCGCGTTCCTGCGTCCTCCAATGGTCCGCCTTTGTCTTCGTATCCATTCACCTCCCGTCCTACCTACGTAGCCAGGACGACGATCGGCCCTCCAATTCCTCTCCACCACGAGTTTTCTGACAAGAATTGTTCATGTGTATTTTTCTTTTTATATTTTTCTTTTTTTTTTCTTTTTTTTTTCTTTTTTTTTTCTTTGTTTTGGATTTGGATTTGGAGGAGGCAGGGGGTGGATTTTTAAAGATAATCCGGAATAAGGCTGGGAAAAGCTGATTCGGAAGATGGATGGATTTTTCTAAGGGTTTGGCGCAGTTTCCACGGTTATGGAGATGTAAGAGAGATGTAAGGGGATTGGAGAGAGAGAAAGAGAGAGAGAGTTCGAAAGTTTCGGCCAATTCTTCTCCACCACGAGTTTTCTGACGAGAATCGTTCACGTGTATTTTTCTTTTTCTTTTTTCTTTTTTTTTTTCTTTTTTTCTTTTTGGTTCTGGATTTGAACTTGAAGAGAGGAGAGTAGATTTTTCGAGATAATGCTTCGGAAGATGGCTGGGTTTTTTTTATGGATTTGGCGCAGTTTTCATGGTTGTAGAGATGTAAGAGAGATGTAAGGGGATTGGAGAGAGAGAAAGAGAGAGAGAGTTCGAAAGTTTCAATTTCTCTCCACCACGAGTTTCTAACGAGAATCGTTCACGTGTATTTTCCTTTTTTTTTCTTTTTTTTTTGGATTTGGAGGAGAAATGAATTTTTCGAATTAATGGTTCGGCAGATGGATTTAGGTTTTTTTAAGGGTTTGGCGCAGTTTTTACGATTATGGAGATGTAAGAGAGATGTAAGGGAATTGAAGAAAAAGAAAGAGAGAGAGAGTTCAAAAGTTTCGGCCAATTCCTCTCCACCACGAATTTCTATCGAGAATTGTTAACGTTATTTTTCTTTTTCTTTTTTCTTTTTTTTTTTTTTGGGTCTGCATTTGAACTTGGAGGGAAGGGGGGGTGGATTTTTCGAAGGATGAGATAATGGTTGGGAAAGTGGCTGGGTTTTTTTAAGGCTTTGGCGCAGTTTCCATGGTTGTGGAGATGTAAGAGAGATGTAAAGGGGTTGGAGAGAAAGAGAGAGAGAGTTCGAAAGTTACGAGGCTGGAATGGTTTCTCCCTAATGGGATGAGGGAGATCGAAGATGGCAAAGTAAAGTGCTTTTAGTCTCGGCAGTTTTTATGACGTGAAAATTATGATATATTCGATTCTTCGTGGAGGGAAATTCAGTTATTGAAATTCACGATCTTAATCCATTGTATATAAATTTTTAGTAGAAAAATATAAAAATCGCGGAGAGTGAATAAATCATCGAAAATTATGAAGCTAGAATAGGATGAGAAATATCGAAGACGTCTGAAAATTACGAGAGTTTAAATATGACTCTAATGAATCTCTATTTGTCCATTATGTATCTCTCGTTAATCTCTCGCAGAAAAATTCGAAAGAAAAGTCGAGAGAGCATAAATCTCCTCCACCCTTCAATAATTAAACCGTTTATCTGTTTAATGAGAGGGAATTCGAAAATTATGAAGCTAGAATAGGATGAAGAATATCGAAGAGTTTAAATATGAAGTTTGTCTCCATTGTATCTGTCGTTAATGTTCATCGCAGAAAAATTCAGAAGAAAAATCGCGGAGGATTGTACAAATCTTCTCCGTCTCTCGATAATTAAATCTATTTTACCCATTTGATGAAAAAGAATTCGAAAATTATGAAGCTAGAATAGGATGAGGAATATCGAAGATTAAAATTAAAATTAAAAATTACGAGAGTTTAAATATAAAGTTTATCCATTGCATCTGTCGTTAATATTCATCTCTCGTGGGAAAATACGAAAGAAAATTCGTGGAGAGTTGTACAAATCTCCTCCTCTCCTCTCGATAATTAAATAATTAAATAATTATTTCGCGCGAGGAAAACGATTGTTTATCGAAATAACCGAAAGGTAAAAACCAAAAAGAAGCCTAAACGAAGATAAAAAAAGAAAAAATTACGATTCTCTTCTCTGGCTTTCAAACATATTTAAAAAAAAACCGCCGAGATTAAATTTAAATTACATAGCGCCGTGACTCGCCGTTTTCTTTCTCCGCCGTCGTGAAATGAATTCATAAAGGCAGGGAGCATTCGATTTCCCTTGGAAAACGAGACGTAAATTCTACCCTCGAATTACTCTACTACTCGATTATTTTGAAAGAAAAACTCTCTTCCAACTTTCTTTTTTTCTTCCTTTGATCGAATGCGAAATCGGTGATCGATCAAATATATTCGATTTGACACTCTATTCCGAACGAAATATAATAAATATCCATATTTTAATTCAATTGATTGTTAATTGTAACGTTTATATTAATATATATTCCGATTTATTGTCGTTCGAGAGAAAAAAAGACGATTTGCAAAAAATTAATAGGATCGGAAATAAACCCGATTTTTAAATTAATTTTAAAGCGTCGAACAACCCGTGCGAAGGCAAGTGAAACATTGAGCAAACAGCGCGTGGCGGTAAAGGCAACGTAGCGCGCGCCACGATATATACACACGAGTATATATATACACACATATCGTATATATACACACTGCGATCCTTGTAGCACGACTTTTGGAACACTCTCTATTTATATTGCGACCACGTTGGACAAAGGCACGTTTCGGCGCCGTCTCGTCGCCTATCTATTGATTGCAATTTGAGATAATGGGAGAGCGGGGAGAGCGCGCATGCATCCGAAAATGTGCGCTCCAACAGCTTCGAAATCCTCTTCCCTTCTTCCACGCCCCAATCCTTCGGATTATCCTCCCTGCGCGCGGCGCACAGGTATCGCATTTTATCCTTTACGCTTTGGAGGGAAAACAAGTCGATCTCGAAACGAAAGGAATCACGATTGGATTTTTTTCAATTCACGGCTTGCACGGATATTGATTTTAATTCTTTCGTTCGTTGAAATCAATGAAAAACGAGATTAAAAGATTCTTCGAACAGTCAAAGTTGAACGAAATTCTTCTTGAATTAGAAACAAATAAATAATCTTAACGCGACCAACGATGGTGTCGAAATGCGTAAAGTTGCTGGAGAAAAAAAAAAATGTTAAAAAATATTAAAGATCGAACAGAAATTGTATTTCGTAAATCGTACTTTGATCGTGTCAATTTGAGAAACAAGGGAAAAAATTTTGACGGTAGAATAAAGGTTTCGTAAGATAAGCGAGACGTTCGACGTAGGTTTCTCGCTTAATGGTTAGAGTATCCTTGAACGTCGGGAAGTAGGTCTTCAGGCGCCGTTTAGCCGGCGTAAGAAACGTGTCCCAGGCTCCGTGGGAGAGCACCCACCCGGGAAAAACAGAATAGAAGTCGACAAGGGGGGTTGACATGGTTCCCGACATTACGAACCAGCTTTTTCTCCGGATAAATTATACCATGAAAATATCAAGTGTCAAGTCGAAGCGTTTCAACGTCCTTGTTCTTTTTTTTTTTCCCCCGCCAATCGAATTTAACGCCTCGTTATTGGAAAAAAAAGAAAAAATTTATTCGCCGTGATTTTAATATAACGCGATTTAGAAGGTAACTTTTAATTCTTCTCGTTTTTTATAAAATAGATATAAAATCGTTTCAAGATAATTTTCATCGAATTTCGAAATTAATATTCTATATGGAACGAGATAATTAAAACGACACACTTTCCCCGATCATTTATTCGAGTCGAAAAATCCTATTTCTCCTTTTCTCCTTCCGTTTTCTTCATAAATAAACGTGAAATTCCACTTTCCTACGTTTCAAAAGTAGAAACTGCTCTCTTCGACGAAGAGATTGTTTCGCGCTCTTGAAGCGTTTCAAGGGTACGTGTCGGATTTCAACGAAAAGGTCTGGTAGTAGGAAGTTCGTCGTGCAACGTGAAACGCGCACCGCTATTAACTAGAAAAGAGCACATTAGGGGGGAAAGAAACGTGTGTTAAAGCCGCGTATAATAAACGGGCAAAAGTGTCAACTGTAAAGAAACATCGCACGGCAATTAACCTCGTTTCCTCGTAAAATAATATTTCCTTTCTTATCTTTTTTTCCCCCCTCTCCGACCGCGTAGTTTATTTCTCGAGCACAACACGAGACTTATTCGCTTTATCGCGATACAGCGCGTACACAACGATACAGTGGAACGAACGTGCAGTTTGTGTTTATATGGCTACGAATACGTTCGAGAGGAAGATTTAAAAAACGAAGAAAGAAATAATTCGAGGCTCTCGGACGAATCAAATTTAACTTTCGATGTAGAAAATAAATAATGCAACGGATATTCAATTTTCTTGCCGAAAAAAAAAAAACAAATATTGGACGAATATAAAGATTTCGATAGTACGATATAATGGCAGAGAATTGCAAACATTTTTACGAAACGAAGAGAAGGGGGAAGCGGTTTTCGAAATTCCACGAGTTTCTATCCAAACACATAGGTACGTATGAACGCGGACCAACCGAGATACCAATCCAATTTTTTGGATCCCGGCCAAAACCGCATTTTCTCTATAGCTCGAATCCTCGTTGGTGTATGAATAACGATCGGTATCAAGGATTCCGAATACGTCACAGGATCATCGACGAAGCGGAACGTTCGTTCGATTTATCAAGTTTTCTCTTTTCCTCGTCGATTCGAAAATATAATAATATTCGAAAAAAAAATAAGTACCTTCTCTTTTCTTTTTTTTTTCCACGACAAACATGGAATAAGCCGATTACGAGAACCGTTATTAATTATCTGGTGGTGAAAGTGGCGGCGTATTTAGGCCAATCCCCTTTTTTTATCTTTCGCTGGTGGGAACATTGTTTAAACGCTGCTCGGCACGTAGCGTATCGGGGGTTGATTAAAATCATGCAAGACTTAATTAGGCCGGTATCATTAGGGGAGAAGGAGGTCTCTACTCAATCTCGATAACGCGCCTATGCTTGGTCAAGAACTCATTTACGTAACAAATTCTTCATCCTCATCCAGCCAAGATATACCTATGTATATGTATCTCTCTATGGACTCGGTCTGGCGGAAGCTTTTTCCCCGTTCCAAATTATCTCCTTCTCCTTTTCGAGAGAAAAAAAAGGAAAAGAAAAAAAAAATGATACGTAATATTTCACGCGCTCAAAGAAATTTTCGGAACGAATTTTGCAATTTTATTGATTACACGTTCGAATATTTTTCACTCCAAACAGAGAAATTTTCGTTCGAAACGAAATATTTTCGTTCATTCCACGAATATCGATAGCATTCGTATACATAGCTCCCGTGAATGAATATTTCACGATCGATTCGCAGAGGGGTATCGATTAGACTCGTGAATTATTGAACTAACGATTCCGGCAGATGTGATGTACCGCGAGGCAAGAGGGAGTATATCTATATATTTTTCCCCTTCTTTTTCTCTTCATATTGCATAAAAGGAAGGAGGGGAAGATATTTCTCGATCCTTCTTTCTCCTCCCTTTAAAATTCTACCAACACTTCTCTAAACATGTAAATAAATTCTTTTATCTTTTTCTTTCAAATTCAAGATTTTATTGCAATTTTTATTGAATCAGGTTCAGGTTCAATTCAGGTACAGATTACCCGATTGTTTCAGTTTCTTTCCGCCGATTCTTCTCTGGGTTAGATTTTCGTCGAGCGATTTTTCTCATTTGTCGAACTTTCTCGGACCTGTATTTAAACGATCGTCGTCTTCTCAATTAAAATTTTCGGTTTTAAATCTTTGTTACTACTTTTTCACGTTCCATGAGATACAGCGTTCTTTTCCAGTGGCGCGCAAACCGTTTCGATACCTTCAATACCTGATCTCCTAAGCTGGAATGCAAAAAGCGGCTGTAATCGCTCTGTATCAGTGGCATTTTATGCAGAGCGATAATAGTCGCCCGTAATATATCAATAGTATTTTATACAAAATGACTATAGTCGCTTATATCAATAGCATTTTATGTAGAGCGATTTTAGTCGCCCGTAGTATGTCAGTTGCATTTTATGTAAAGCGATTATAGTCATATTATATCAGTGATACTTTATACAAAATGACTATAGTCGCCCATAGTATATTAGTGGCATCTTATGCAGAGCGACTATAGTCGCTCATATCAGTGGTATTTTATACAAAATGACTATAGTCGCCCATAGTGTATCAGTTGCATTTTATGTAAAGCGACTATAGTCACTCATATTATATCAGTGATTTATACAATCAGTGATTTTGTACAAAATGACTATAGTCGCCCATTAGTGGCATCTTATGCAGAATGACTATAGTCGCTCATAGTAAATCAATGGCATTTTATATAATGCGATTATAGTCATCCATAATATATCAGTGGCATTTTATGCAGAGTGATTATAATCGCCTGTAGTGTTTCCGTTGCATCTTATGTAGAACGACTATAATTGCTCATACTATATTAGTGGCATTTTATGCAGAACGACTATAATTGCTTCTAGTGTATCAATTGCATTAGAACTATTTTCAGATATCAGTAGTATGCAGAACAATTATAGTCATCCATAATGTATCAGTGATATTTTATCTAAAGCGACTATAATCGCCCATAGTATTATACGTCAGTAGCATTTTATGTTTGACTATAGTCGTTCATAGTATATCAGTAGCATTTTCAGAACCATTTTTAGGTATCAGTAGTATGCAGAACAATTATAGTCATCCATAATGTATCAATGATATTTTATCTAGAGTGACTATAGTCGCCTATAGTATTATACGTCAGTAGCATTTTATGCAAAACTACTATAGTCATCCATAGTGTATCAGTGATATTTTATCTAAAGCGACTATAGTCGCCCATAGTATTATATGTCAGTAGCATTTTATGTTCGATTATAGTCATTCATAGTATATCAGTAATCAATAATTTTCAGAACCATTTTTAGGTATCAGTAGTATGCAGAACAACTATAGTCATCCATAATGTATCAGTGATATTTTATCTAGAGTGACTATAGTCACCTATAGTATTATACGTCAGTAACATTTTATGCAGAACTACTATAGTCATCCATAATGTATCACTTGCATTTTATACAGAACGATTATAGTCGCCTGTAGTGTTTCAGCTGCATCTTATGTAGAACGACTATAATCGCTCATAATATATCAGTGGCAATTTTTGTAAAGCGACTTTAGTCGCCCAGTGTATTAGCATTTTCATTTTATGTAAAGTGACTTTAATCGGCTATAATATATCAGTAGCATCTTATGCAGAGCGACTATAGTCGCCCATAGTTATTTTAGTATATCAGTAACATTTTATGCAGACTTTAGTCACTCATAGTATTATATATCAGTTGTATGTTATGCAGAATGATATAGTCACTATAATGTATCGGTTGCATTTTATGTAGAGCGACTATCATCGCTCATAATGTATGAGTGGCATTTTATGCACTCATACATCATAGCGATTATAGTCGCTCATAATGTGTCAGTTGCATTCTATATAGAACGACTATAATCGCCCGTAATAACGAAAGGGTTAAAGACGAAAGAACGGTCTTTCGGATCTAGTTCTTTTCGAACTATCGCGAGTTGGAAGCGATTCGAATTCGGTCACGGAGTTATAATCGTGGAAAAGAAAAGAGGGAAGGAAGTTATCTCGTAGCACGTAATAGAATGGAAAGAATCAGCCTGTTGCCCGTTCTCGTTCTCGCGGACAAGAGCAAGGGTGTGTTGACGCACTCGTTCATCGCGCGAAAAAACTGCGCTCGGATGTGCAAAGCGGGAAGGGGGAGGGGAGGGAAGGTTGTGCAATCGAACGGAAAGAGAACGATGATCGGTGTACTGTGACTAATCATTGCCCGCCCCTAGCCTTGTCCATGAAAAGGTGGTGCAAGTTGGAGCGCGAATAATGCGCATGCATGCACTTTGTATTTATAGCCGCGACCCTATCGCAGCAGAAAATTTAAGTGGCTCGAGTCTCTCTATCCTTGCTTGCCAATCCTTCTTCCACCTCGATCCTCTTCTCTCGAAAAATCTCCGATTGACTTGTCCAGTCACGATTCGGACGCGTATTCTTATCGAAAAATTTTTTTTTTTTTTTCTCTTTCTTTCGTCCAATTTTTTTTTTTTTTTTTTATTCCCTATATATTACAATCGATTGTTATTGTAATATCGATCCGTGATCAGTGATTAGCGAATGGTGGAACGGGGAAATTGCGATATTGGCAAGTTTATTCAAAACGATGCTACGTGTTTCTAGGTTCAACGATTATATTATAAGAACGGTGTTCGGCTAAAGATAGACGATAGGGATAGAAGGCTTTAGTTTCGCTGGGAAGATAATATTGATATCGATCGAGGCTCGAGGCAAGTTCGCTGTTTTTCAATCGGGCGAGCTTGTAAAAATTACGTTGGAAGAGAGAGAGAGAGAGAGAGAGAGAGAGAGAGAGAGAGAGAGAGAGAGAGAGAGAGCTTTGCCCGACCTCGCTAACGTTTTTTCTGTTTTTCGTTTTTCATCAAATTTTTATATCAAATTTCATTCGAAGAAAGGGGAACGTTCGAAGATAAAAGCGAACGCTTTAACGCTTGCCTCGTGACCTTGGGAATGATGAAAGAAGAAAAGAAGAATCCGTGAAGTTGTTCGATTGAAATGTTATTTTATTCTCATTAATAATGTATAATCGTGTTGTTTACGAAGTATTGCCTTTCGCTATCCCATCGGACAATTAAAAAAAAAAAAAAAAAAAAAAAAAAAAGAAAAAAAAGAAAAGAGGTCCGATCGTCAGACATCAATTAATTTAGTAGAACGTTTGAATGATAGAATAATAGAACGGTTGTCCGTCAGTGTTTCTTCTTCTTCTTTTTTTTTTTTTTTTTTTCTTTTTTTTTCTTTTCAATTAATTAATTACGCGTGTATACGTGCGAGTGAATCGACACCGCAAATTGACAGAGATTTCGCCTCCTCTCTAATCTCTTTCTAATCGAAAAACCGTTCGCGATTATTTACACAAAATCCACGTATCATCACGCGAATCTCGAGTTATAAAACGGTCGAACAAGTGATATACGGGTACGTATTGCTAGAAAACTTAGCCGCCAAATGATATATCCTAGAGGGGGGAGGGGAGCGATCGTTATTTAAAATTTTATATATATATATTTTTTCCATCGTGCGAGCACCTCTCATCTCGAATTTCGAATGACGATAAAATCGGTTTAAAATCGGACGTAAAAGTCATTTTACGAATGGTAGAAAAAACCTTGATTCGCGTTTCACAGCGAGAGAGAGAGAGAGAGAGAGAGAGAGAGAGGGAGGGAGGGAGGGGGGATAAATGGAGGATCGATATGGAGGGGAAATAAGATAATAAAAGAGGAAACGTTTCGTTAACGATTCGAAAAGTGATCGGTGCATCGTCGATGGCTCGTATCTTGATTCCGTTAGTACGCAGAATTTCAAGGGATATTATTTATCGCCACATTGTTTCGAATGAGATTCGTATGAAATTGAAAAAAAGGCAGATGAATTCTCAATAATCGTCTCTGCCAAAACTAGCACGTTCACGGACATACAATATCGATAAATATAACGTTATATATAACGTTATATATATATATATATATAATATATTGGTATATAAATAGCACGATCCTTTACACTAGAATACAGGATGTATATACATGTTACACGATGGATGGAGTCTGTCGTAAATAGTTTTTAGCGGAGCATCGAGGAGTCTCTTTCTTTCTTTCTTTCTTTCTTTCGTGTTTCGATCCTCGGGAGTGTTACTATCCGCCATTTCCAGATTCTTTATCTTCATATTGTCCTTGCTCGTCGTTTCGTAAAATGCTTCTTTCAATTGCAAAAGTAGGAAAATAGCGAGGGACGTTCGCAGCAGCGGATCGTGTGCCCGGATCTTTCGCGAAAGTCGGAGACCTGTCGAAAGGCCTGTCTTTGGTTGAAGAGGACGGAGAAAATAAGTTGTCAAAAAGTTGATGAATTCAATCGATGAAATCTGTCTTCTCGAGAAATTAGCAGCTCGCTGACCAGCTTTCCACGTCGATGCAATGAAATCCTTTTTCCTTTCTTTCTTTCTTTCTTTCTTTCTTTCTTCCTTTCTTTCTTTCTTTCTTTCTTTCTTTCTTTCTTTCTTTCTTTCTTTCTTCTCAACACTCGCTCTAAAACGCTTCTTCTCTGTTGAAACGAATTATTAAGTACGTAAAATTTCGTTCACTTTATCGGTGAAACGAAAAACCTACCCAAGAGGTTGTTATTTTGCCTCTTGAAAAAAAATGGATAGCGACTATTGTTTCGATGCTATCGCGAAATAAAAATCGAAAATCGAGAATGTTTGATCGCAATGGAGAAAAAAAAAGAAAAGAAAACGACTAGATTCTTTCAATGGATTCGTTCGTACGCGGGGATCATTCGTTTCAGTTTTTGGTTGATTAAAAGGACGAGGGGGGGGGGAAGAGAATCGAACGATTTCGAACACGTTTTCCAGTGGATTTCACGCGGTAATTTCACTTTCAATGAAGTTGAACTCGAATGGTGAAATTGAACTTAATGATCGTTGAAATCCCATGCGAGTGACTGAGGTGAATCGAGCCACGCCAGATCTGACGATTCACTGTTGTTGATAACCATTTGCCTGGGCTTGGCCTTCTTGACTGTCTATACTGTAACCGGTTATGCTATCCGGGCTCTGGAGAGACGCCGCGTAAAGTGGATTCACCGGTGTCGAATTTGTGTCGAATTGGGTCGAGTCATAGACACTGTGATTCTGTGAACAAAAGAACAATTCTCGTTGCACTTTTCGCATAAACGAGTGAGAAATGGTAGAGTACGATATATGTATATATATATATATATAAAATGTTTTTGATCAAACTTTTCTCGATTGTAAACACTTTTTGAGAGAGAGAGAGAGAGAGAGAGAAAGTGTGTGTGTGTGTGTGTCAAAGTTTAATTTAGATATCTCTATAAAAAATTACGACGTTTCGTTTCCAAGAATATTTTATCTCGTGCAAAGACCGTTAAAATTTCCACTACTACTTATAGCACACATACATTGTAAGGATTGTACATTTTCAAGCTGAATGCAAATAAATTCATATGTTCATAATTCTTTTTCTTCTTTCTCCTCTTCTTTATCTGAAAGTATTAAAAAAAAAAAAAAAAAAAAAAAAAAAAAANNNNAAAAAAAAAAAAAAAAAAAAAAAAAAAAAGCGAATGATAAGGTTCGGTGTGAAGGACATTGGTTGCAACACAAAACAAAAATGTTAGCGTTATCCATTGCCACAAGTTAGTTATAAATAAATAAAACCAAGTGCATCGGCTACATTAATGAGTTTAATTAAATCTAGACATGCTGTATATATACAGATAATAATAAAGCATCTTGTGCGCTTCTCTATTTTACACTATGATACATCTATGATATAGTTACTTAACAAATATGCATTTCTCATTTTTAGTTTCTCCATCCTAATACGAGCTTTCACTTTATCCTAATCGATAAAAACGAATCGAAAGGTTAAAATTCTTTTATATACAACTACACTTAGTGACTTAGACTTTATAGATCATAGTTATTAAAACGAATATTTACAACGATTCAGTCTGTGTATAAAATTTAGTGTCGGAGGGAGAAGGACTAGGATCTACTTCGGTAGATTTTTCGTTTGACTGTACATTCACAGTCGGCGATGTGAGAGATAATAAATATTCGCTCAATCCACCTGACTCTTTTTTCTTCGTATCTTTCTTCTTCTGTTTTTTCAACATCTCTTCACTCGTTGAAGAAACAGGTTTGAACAACAATTGTTGCGTGACGTGTTGTAAAGCATCAGACGTGGGATCAGACGTGTCTTCTACGTCGATCTCCGACATTTCGGTATCGGTGTATTGCTTCAAACAACTCGATTCTTTTTTTTCTATATTATGCGAAGCTTGGGCAATGATATCTTTCACGAAAGCCTCTTCGTTTGATGTGCTATATCTCATTTCGTTGGAACCGTTTGTACTGTTATCCAGAATCGATTGCAACGTATTCTCTAAAGGTGGAATATCGAATAATTGGCTGGGCACGTTTCCCTCTGATCGTTTTCGTTCGTGTATCAAGCTATTCTTTGTCGTTAAGGAAAACAAATTGGTATTGCTATCGTTCGAGCCGGGTTTATACAAGAAGCTACTAGCGGTGTTTGGCGAGAAAAGATTCGAGACGCTACTAGGTCCACCATATTTAAATTGCGATGTAGAACTGCTCTTCCAGGCATTGTGAGTGAACTTCAGATCTAGCGTACTTTTTTTGTAATCGATAAAATTGTCGGATTTCGTTAACGGATAATTCTTGAAGTCGGAACTGCTCTTTTCTGCGCTCAGACGTCTTGTAAAACTTTTAATGCCAGACGTGGATTGATATAAAGCGGTTGGAGATTCATAGGTGTGTCCGCTACCATTTTTAGAATCTTTGGTGGATGTTAAGGAGTGCAGAGAGGTTTTATGCTTTGAGGGGGATGATTTTAACGCTTGTGAATCGTATAAGGGCATGTGAATAGATGGAGTATGGACCTGATAAATATAATCGCTGTCGGTTTTTAACGAGGAGAAACTCTGTTGATGAGGCAGCGACACCGTGTCTTCGTCCATTGCATCGTCCACTTGGGCCTTGTATGAGAACATTATCGAAGGTTGTGAAACCCTGTAACAAAATTTTAATTGTCTGTCCTTGTACGTAAATTTCAAGGATATTCGATTGTTTCTGGACTTGATAGCTTACCCAAAGAATTCGGACAGGAATGTATGATAAACCAAAGGTGTAAACAGGGTTAAATAAACCGCTGCGGTAAAATCCACGACACATAATCCTATGGGATTTTGCGTATAATTTAAGAAGCCTGCTCCGATTGATTGTACTAAGTCTAGCATGGCTAATGTACCGGTGTAAACGTAAAAACTTTTTCTTGCTGTAACAAAAGATAGCGTGTAACGTGTAAATTAATACAAAAAGCGTTAAATGTTGACGAATTGATCAACTTACTTGGAAGGGTTAAACGGTCTCGTAACCGTGTCCATGGCAGTATTAATATAAAAAGATATATCTGTAACAAAATTATAATAAACACTAGAATTGCTTATAATCGACGTATAAAGATATTTAATTATTGTAAATTTACCATTGTAAAAACAAGACTGCTGCAAAACCAAAACATCATACCCCCATGACCAAACACATAAAAATCTCTACTGGGAATATGGAATGTATCGTCTGGTATAACTAATTCCAAAGTTCCTTGAGTTATGGTAAAAGCCAATGCTATTAACGATGTAGCGAATAATACCCTACGAATACTTGAGCGACTATCCAAATGTCCTACAAATAAACAGTCATACATATATAGGAAATTTTTAATATGCAATTTTAAATAACAAAATCAACTTCAAAATCAACTCACCAAAAGCTAAACCAAATATAACCACGCTCATCTCTGTGGACAACAGAAAAAATCTCACTGTTACCCACAGTATTTTGTCTGCTTTGCCACCAACGGTGGCTGCTGCATTTACAGTCATTGAAACAATACATCTTATTACTGAAATTACTACATTACAAATGACAAGTCCATAAAATGCTAAAAATATTGGACTACTCGTTGCTCGTAATTTAAGCCGTGCTCTATTAAATCTCACTGCGATAAATAAAAGAAACAAGAGATTTGGTATCAATATGACAATGTCCCATATTCGTACTCTGGAAAATAAAACAATAAATTGGATCAGGAAATCTATACAAAGCATTGCAAAATCAATGTTTACCTTGAATCTTTGATTTCTTTGTATAAGATGAACTTGCAAAAGTGTTCTTCATCGTTCATCGGTGAACTAACATTAGGAATCATTGTACTGCTCAAATCATACGTGTGCAACCAACTTTCAGATACTTCTTCACGTACTGCACCATACATATTTTTCGTTTTGTTGTATACTTTATATTTAAATCATGTCTCAACTCATCTTTCACTGGTAAACAAACAAATAACGAGATATATCAGATAACGTAAATCAGATGATAATTTATTATTATTAATATTAATAATGTGAAAATGCAATACGCTTACGAAATTATACAATCCTTGTCCAATAAAAAGAAAAAAATATAAATTAAATTATCTATACCAATCAAACATTTAAACGAACTATTGCAAAGCATCATTCGCTAATTAAAGTGACATAATAAACATAACCTAAACTACTTGGCAATATTCCCAAGTGATGACCTTCAAACCATTAGAAAGCAATGACCGATTCAGACAATGATATATAAACATTAAATCAGCTACGAACTTATTCCCGCGAAATAAACGCGAATTCTTATTATTTAATCGGTGAAAAATCGATAAATGGTAAAGCCTATTGTACACTTGTCAAATTGACATAACGATACTGTGATAAATCGCGGGGAATTCTATCGTTCTAATTGGTTCATGCTAATTAAATAAACGAGCATAATTTATGTGACTTACCCATTAGGTGTATCTATAAAATCACCGATCTCATCTTCGTGCAAAAAAAATTGTAACTCGCCTTTTGATTCGCACCGTCTTCAACGTTTTGTTTGTTGCAAGTATTTCGCGCAGTACTTTTTTCCTTGATCGTCCAATTATACGTCGGTTCGCCTTATTCGTGCACGTTCGTCGTTCGAATCAATTGTCATTTTGCTATGAGATCCCAGTATCCATTCTGTCGATCAGCTTCACGTTGATCGGTTTGTTCCTCTCTTTTTTTCGCTCACAAAAACGCCACACCGAGCCACCAAAGAGCGTATACTTGATAACCAGTAAGATGAACGCGTAACGAAGTGCGCGTGACTGCGTATTACGTACTTTACCGTTTGTATCAAATATCCGATTGTACGACGAAAACGACGAGCCAACGAAAAAACGTGTTTGCAGGTGACGCCACAATTTATCGCCTATCATAAAGGCTACACTGTATCTTCTACACAGGAAATAACGACTTTCCAACTATACAGTTGCTTAGATTATGAAAGGTTTCTTCGCTTGGCAGACGCTTTCACTGAATCATTACATATTACAACGATGACGATGTGCGAGCCAATTAGATAGGTTAGGTGTTGAGAGAAAAATACACGGAATGGCCGCGAATCGCTGTTAAACCGGGAAATACGAAGCTTCGCGCTCTATTTGCTATTACGTACGAACCTACGCTCTGTTTAGACTTTTTCGAACAGACACGATTACGAAAGACGTGAAAGTAAGTAGATTGGTTTTTTTCGTGGTTCGGCGAGTGAAAAGGAACGGGTATTATACGGATGTTGTTCGATAATTTTTATTGAATAAACAATGACTGTCAATTATTCAAGCGATCTGTTAAGAAATGTTCATCAGAATATTCTTTTACCGGAAATTGGCCAAAGTTACTTGGTTAAAGGAGATTACGAATATTGGCATTATTGTTGCGATGGTTTTAACGATAAGGTGTGTAATGGTTGTCATTTTGTTAGATTAATTTTATATAGAAGAAAAAGAAAAAAAAAAAGAAAAAAAATGAAATGTTGAATTTAGGGTTGGGGTTGTGGATATAGGACATTGCAAACAATATGTTCGTGGATTATCAAGAACGGGAACTTGGAACAATCTGTTCCAAGTATCAGACGTATACAGGAAGTGCTCGTCACGCTGAATGACAAGGAACAACCATTTATTGGATCGAGGGAATGGATAGGTAGTTTTGAAGTAAGTCTATTTTCTGAATAAATATTAATAAAAATATTGATATAGTGATTTATAACCTAAAACTTGTTATCAATTTACTAATATTAATTAACAAATTACATATTATCACACAAGAAAGTTTTATCGAATACTTTAAAGCAATAAATATTTTTATATTGGATTAAAATATTTCATACTTCATATTTCATTTCATATTTCAAATATTTCAAAAATAATGTGAAAGAATAAAATTTATTTACCTGAACTATATATATATTTATCGATTATGCGTATATTTGATTTATCATTTTTATTTATAGAAATTAATTAAAAAAATAATAAATATTTCTTATCATTATTCATATATTTTTCATCACGTTTACACGAATTTTTCTCTTTTTTTTTTTACTAGTAGTCAATTTTTGATATACTTATAATATATTATAACATTGAAAATCATTAATTTCTACAAAGTTTATTTTCAACGCTCTAATCAAAACAGCGATAACCCAAGAATGTTAAACATTCGTGATATGCTCATTGATACAAACAATGAATACTCTTCTGTGAAATATGATAGAAGCAAACAAATTGATTCGAAGTATGAATTCCGTAGGTATGTCTCGTATTGAATCATTTATACGACATTCTCAGTAAAATTGTGCATGTTCCAAATGGTAAAGCTTTGCGGGACCATATTCCTACTATCAAGAAACATTTTGAGGAATTTGGTAGTCCAATCATGATGGGCGGAGACAAGGATTGTTCCAGCAAATGCGTTTTAGGAATCCATGAAGGATCCAACAATACATATTTTTTAATCTTAGATCCACATTTTATCGGCAGAGCACGAACGACTGAACAGTTGAAAAATTATCATTGGATAAAATGGCAAAATTTGAATAATTTTATCGACAGTTCTTTTTACAATCTATGTTTGCCTCAAATTAAGTTTATAAGTAGAAATAATAAATAATCTTTAAATATATATTATATATGTATATATTTTCTGTTGTATATGAAATTGGATAAATATAATACAATGAAAGATATTTTTAGAAAGATTTTTTTAATATATTATTATTAGAAGAATATCTACTGTACATGACGTCTTTATATTGTTTTCATTGTAAAAAAAAGAAAAGTAATTAATATCACTGTAATCCTAATTGCGATTAATCAGTATTTAATATTAAACAAACTCCTTGCAACACCCAATGAGAGATATGTTCCGCTGTAGCGAGATTTGCTTCAAAAACCAAACCTACTCCCATAGCATTTCTTCTATTAGATGTGGTATATACCGGCGTTCTAAAAGTATTCTGTAATTCATAAAGTCATACGTATTAATTAATCTAAACAGTTTTGATCGATCATATTCGAATTGATTAAAATTAATTCATTGCCTGAAGCCTGAGTCTATGAGCCTCGATTGGAATGACGATTAATATCGGTAATTCTTCTATCAAGATTTTCGGGAGCGATCTTTTCAGACATTGTTCATTTATATCCCATCTGGCTCCTTCCAAATATAATCCACTCACATAACAACCCTATATTATTTAATTAAGAATTATTTATAAAATGACAAAAAAAAATCAGCGTAAATTATCTTTTTTTTAATCAAATTAATAAATTTGCATTACCTGATCAGGTTTATCTTCTACGTATTCGGGTCTGGTATATCTCGACACTGCCGTATAGATGAGAGATCGATCCAAAGACCAATTGTTTCTGTGGCAGGCCATTTGCACAAGAGCTGCCAAGTAAGTTTCTGGGATGTGCAGGCCAGATAACCAGAGAACTATGGGTTCGCCCGTAGCAGCCTAGTAATATTAAAAAGAAAAAAAAAAAAAAAAAAGAAGAAAATTCGAATCATGAATTTTAAGTTAATATCTTACCCAACTATTGTATTGGTGTATCCTCTTCTCAAAGTGTTCTATCCATCCAGCCAATGTTTTCTTTGTATCTGGTGCTAGCATGGCCCATTGGCTTGGTAGTACACCATTATATAACGCTGTGGCTATACTTTCAAGAGTCATATCCATTCCGATTTCTCCAGCGATAGCCTAACAATGTGTATAAATATTCAATTAAAGTATTTGAAAAGAATAAAGAAGTATGTTTTCATCGATACATACTTTTCTCAATTGAATCAGTGATCTTTTCATCATTCTGATCAATTTATTAAATCTCTCCAATTCTTGAAGAAGAACGATCGAGGTTGGCATTACGATCGGTCCAAAACTTTTTCTCACTTTATTAATGTCATACTCGACAGGGATTTTGTCCAATATATCTTTCGCAAGATTATCGATAAATTCGTCTTTGCTTATTCCAGTCGGGCTAATTTCTAAATAAGGAAATAATTTTCTTCGATTCTTAATTTAAATAGACAAACTTATCGTTTCGAATCAATTATCGAGATCTCATTACAAAGAGTAAGCTTATTACTTACCAGCTTGGGGCTGTAATTCTATAAGATTGATCCACATTTCTTTCGCAGCATGAGTGAAATAACCAATTTCGGCATTTGGATGCAATCCAAACACGTCCGGAGTATTGACAAGCGGTAATTGATCGATGAACTCGAGATAATCATCACGATCCCCTTCTGGTGGTATCACGTAATCGAATTCTTCGTCCACGTAAAAGTGGAAGGGCTGAAAGCTGTCGAAAAGAAAGTCTCCAAAATATTCATCCATATAAGTCTCGGATACTCGACGATCGTAGCAATCTATCACTCGTCCACCGTACATTACCTACGTTATTATTTCGTGAAAATTTCAATTTTTCAAGTTAGAATTTGGGAGCAAAAGTCATTTACGTACTTCACCGATCAAATACTTTAAGCTGTTCCAAGGAAGTTTGCTATCATTCGTTTGAATCGCTTTGGTTAAATATGTATCCAGAATAATGGTGCACACGTTGAAATCCGACTCATTGAAATCGTAATTTATGTTCCAGCCAATCTTGTCATACCTCCTCCTCTCCTAATTGATCACGATTTTAAAAACGATGAATTCATCGTAATATATAATATACTTTAGTATAAATTGTAGTTTAACTCACTTGAACGACCGCGTGATAGAAAGCCAACACGTAAATTAAATGTTTGTAAGCAGGATGAGTGCAACTTTCCAGCACTTGTGGTCTCATTTTTAGATAGGTACTTTCGAGATTCAACTTCAATCCACTGGGTGGTTCCGTGACCACTAAGTTGAAAATTTTGTTTAAAATTCTTTCATTCAGAGGAAATTGGAAGCAACTTGTTCCGATCTGTACCTTTCAAAGATTGTTGCAATATTCCAATAGGAAAATTGGGAGTTGGATCGGTAGTGAGCCACAAACGAAAATCTGGATGAGGCTTTCCAATGTTCTCCAACAATTTTTCCAATTCTTTGGTGAAACTCAAGAGTAGATGGCAATTTTGCAACATGAGCCATTGTCCTCTAGCCACAGCACCCTCTAGCAACTCTTTTGCGGTCTGGAAAGTAAACAATATCGTTACGAATCTTTTCTTCTTATCGATTACGAATAATTTGATCAGGATGACGATATACAATTTCCTGGCCCTGGCCAAGGGATAAATATTTAAATCTTCCACCGCCACAGCCGTATTTGTCCGCCAATTTCATTAGTTCCGAGGTTGGATCGGATCCAGGGCTTAGGATGAAAACGATAGGCATCGTGGGTGTGCTCTGTTCGAAGATTAATTCGAAACTAATGTGCGGAGGGGTGATGTATTCTTCTCCCATGATCTCGGTAATGTAATTGACGATGCTTCGATAAACTCGATCGACGCGAAAACATCTCATCAACATGAGTTTCTCGAAAGGAGTTAACTTTTTGGAATAATCTAAGGGAAATTCCACGGATTCCGGGGAATCCATATCGTACCACTGAAAGATTAACATTTATTTTTTATGGGAATTAATGCGAATTATTCGAAGTTGGAATATTTGATTTTCACTTACTGTTTGCCATTCATCCACATGCGTACCGAGTTCATCCGCGATATTTCCAAATTTTTCCGAGAAATCGGTACTCAGTTTCAACAAATCCGCCCATCCAGACGCTGGCAACCATTCCGTAGGATTAACCTTAGGCGCCTTCTCCAAACTGATACATCCTTTGATGAAAAATTCTAATTGCTGTTGGGTCACGTTTTTTATACTTTGTTCCAACTTTGTGCAAATTTGGAACGAGAACAGTAATTTATGCTTCTCGAAGATTCCCGTGCATCCGTAATCGTAAACATTTTTCGTCAACATTGGGATGATATTCTGCAGCCGGCGTTGCAACGTCGGATCCGGAAGTGCTTTCCTCAATGAATAAATAAACACCTCCACGTAACTGATCAAAGAGTATTGATACATAGAGTTAACCGTGGCCATATCCGCCAGAACAAAGAAGAGTATCGCTCCTCTTTGAGCTACCGATCGATAACCATCTCGAAGCTTGTTCACGTCAATGGCTGTAACTTCGGCGAGATACAATTTTCTCATCACGTCTTCGGCGCTGGCTTTCGTATTTTCCAATGTTTCGATCAGCTCGATATTATCCAGCATGTTTCCTTTGTTCGTTGCTATTTCCAGAAGTAAACTGTCTTCCAGTTGCTGGAGAAGATTCTTGTTCTCGCTGGTCTCGGCGATCAGAGATTCGCGTTGCTCCTCGATGTCTGGCCTCTCTGTTCGAACCACCACCGACAATAATTGGTCTTCCAAGCCCTATAATTTTTTAATTCGACTTTTTTATTCGATTCATGTTTTTTTTTTTTTTATTTTTGAACGGATAAAACAATTTGGGAAGAAAATTGGAGAACTAACCCCTAACGTCACCATGTAATTGATCACTGTGGCCTTGGAGTATACCGCAGGATCGAATATAGGATTCGACATCTTGGTGGTAAGGTACATTCGAAATCTCGGGTCGTAATCTACTTCTTTATCACCGAGAAGGATGAACGATCTACCTCCTACAGCTATGATTAAAATTTTATTAATCATCATCTGTATTTATTAAGACGAAATTAAAAAATATAAGATATAAACGTACTCTGTATGTTCTTGGATAGGACGTTATCCAACACGGGATCGATCTCATCAACGTCCTGGAAGAGAACCGGTAGACCATATTTTATCGCCAGTTCCACCTGTTTCAAGAAATCTGGATCGGTAAACGATAGAATTTTCAAATGTTTGTGCTCCTTCTTTTTGATCCAATTCAGAGCTTGTTGCTGAGGATCGATGCAAACGGGGAATCTCGATGCCCTCAAGGTCAGAATTCCGTTTTGTACGGATAGCTCGTCCGGTGGTAGACCCTCGGATGTCCATCTTGAACAAATTTTTGCTTCTTTAGAATTTTTTATTTTATATTTTATCGTATATAGAATTCGTGACATTTTTCTCAATTTTTCTCGATTAAGAGAAAACGAATAAGGAATAAATAAATATCTTACTTGCTAATTTCAACGTCGTTAGTCAGTTCAGTTTGAATCTTGTACGTATCCATGAAAGGGATCTCCTTAGTCACTATACTCTCCCACCAATCCTCGTATATCATGTGATTTCTGTACTCGTACGAGAATGGACCGCAATAAGCGAGAAATCCAGCGGAGAGAAGACAATTTCCAATGATCTTCTCTATCTGAATTTTCAGGTTCTCCAAATCTTTTTTCCATCGCTCGTTTTCGGAGGACAATCCGCTGATCAACTTATCGGCGGCTATCAAACGTCTCTGAAGCAGATCAGTCTCCTCCTGCAACTTTTGCCTTTCCTCCATAGCTTTCTCGTATTTCGCGTTTAAGTCTGTGATGGTTTTTTCCAGCCTTCGTAATTCTCGTTCCTCCTTTTCCAAAGCCTTTCGAGCCCGTTCCGATTCGGCCTCCAATTCCTTAACTCGGTCTATCTTTGGTTTAACCTTAAGCAAGAGAATATGGAAGCGTCAAAGCGAAATATTTTATAATTGTCGGGGAAACATAAATAAATAATACATATATATGTAATAAAACATAATAAAAGTAACCATAATAAAGCAACGATCAAGGAGGCTCAGATTAAAGAAGATACCTCTCTGAAAACGGCACAGTAATCCAGCACAGCGAGCACGAATCTGTACAAGCCGTATCCTGCTTTGCTGATGTATTGCATCTGATCCAATTTCGTGGTCTTCTTCAGATGCGCTTTGACAGCTTGCTGCTGCTTCAAAGTGATCTTGTCGCAATTCATCTCTTGCAATTGTCTTAGAAACGCTGGATCGCTCATCATTCCTTTTGCACTCTTCCAAGAGATTTCTTTCACGCCTCGCAGTATCGCCACGCATTCTGAGACGATTTGTACGGGTTCAGGAGGCGTTGCAAACGATCTAGATCGCGTTGTCATGGTCATTTATTTAAATTCTTTGATAAATAATTCGCGTTCACAAAAGGAACGAAAGAAGGAAAGGAAAGTAAGAGACCTTATTTCGGTGATGTCCGCTTTATCGAGTTCTCCAAGGGCCAATCGGGCCGCGTCCAGGGCAGGTTGCGCTTCGGCCAACGCCTCTTTGGCTTCCGTCTCTTCCTTGTTAATGATCTTCCTCTGTACTTCTATCGCCTGCCTCTCCTTCTCGCTGAACTGCTTTTTCTCCATCGCGATATCCGTACTTTCTCCTATAGAGGCCAACAATTGCTCGCAATTCCTCGTCTGGTCGGCTACTTTTACTCTTTGCACGGCTAGAATCTCGTTTAACTCGTTCAAAGTCATCGAAGCCTCGGCGATCTTTTGCAGACCTTTAAAAGTTCGTTTGGAAAAAACGCGATTCTTTTTCTTTTTCTTTTTTTTTTTTTTCATCCTTTGAGTCCCTCTTTCCTTTTTTCTACCAACCTCCGGAAAGTCGATTGCATTGCGAATTTATGTAATTCTTCGTTTCCACCAAAAGATGTAGAAAGATATTTATAAAGTCCAGGTAATGTTTAGGCGTCACGTAGTTTCTTCGCCGCAATTTTAATTGAAAATCTATCGTGTAGTCTATGACGGATTTATGGGTGAGCACCATGTGTTCCACTATAACATCTCTGAAACTTTCCGGTATGTTTGGATTCTGAAACGAATACGAAGGTAATCAGATAATAAAACGGAATAAATAATTCGAATAAATCGAATCGAGATATAATTACATCGCTAAGAGTGACATTAGCCACGGAAACCAATGCTTGTTCGGGCCAAGGGAACATCCAGTCTATGGTAGTACTGCTAACCAGGCCCGGATAACTTCTACACCTTGTCCTTAACAAATCTCCCGATGGACTCATCGAAAGTGCTATTCGTAAATTTTGAAGGCTCGTTTTCACGAAATACAACCATACATTTTCTCTGAAAGATGAAATAATTCTTCGTTAACGAACGAATATCCGTATCGACGTGAAAATTCGAGAATTAAAAATTCGAGTCGAACTTGGTGACGCCAAAACCAGCCTCTATCGCTTGATTCCTACATGAATGAATTATTTCGTCCTTCTCCTCGTCCGTGAACAAAGCCGGTACCACTCCAGTCAGCAACATGTTGTTTACCAGCTCCAAGAAACTTTCATCGATGATGTGAGCGGCGGTGAATAAAAACACGATCTTTTTGTTATCCACGCCAACCATGTTGTACAAACTCTTCATGTCCTCGCGAAACGCGGGCTCGTTGTAGCCTCGAGCGAGGCTAATTTGAAATGTTCGAAAGCCTGCTGCGTACGCTGCCAATTTGATCACCGACTTCTTCCCGCTTCCGCCTATACCGATCACCAGAACGTGGCCTTTGTGCATCCTGAGGGCACGATGTATCCTTGTCAGATGCTCGAGCGCGTCGTTGAAAAGGACCATGTGCAATTTGCTCACGTTTCTTTCATTGTAATCCTCGTAAATCTGAAAAGCGTATTTCGTTTCTTTTTATTTGTATATATTATATTAATATGTTATGTATATTTTATATTAATATATATTTTTTTATATTATATATATTTTCTTATGTTAATATATATTTTTATATTAATATATTATATTCATTAAATATTTGTATATATTATATTAATATATTATATATATTTTATATTAATTTATATATCATATTAATTTGGCCCGATGTTCAAATATCGGGAAAAAAAAACGCATGAATCACGAACCTCCAAGAACAAACTGTAGACAGCCTCATAATCCAAGAGATCTTCGTAAAATCTTGGCTCGTCCTCGTTAATCGCGTTACGAAAATCACCGAACAGCAACGGATCCCTCATCACATATTCTATCACTTTACGATCCTCTTCCCAATATTCTTCGACCTTTTTCTGTATATAATCGGTTACGATTTTCGTATCCTGTAATCAGAAAATTATAAATAAAGATGTAAATTTTCGTGTTTATCTTTTCGATACTTGCGTTTTCGTTTATCAAACGATCGCATATGATTCTGATGAACTCGTTTCTCCAAAGTCTAACTATCTGTTTCACCGTTGGCAAATAATCGGGATGGGATTGAAGAACACCCGCCATGATTCTCGACAAATCTCGCATATTGAAAATATAATGGAATCTGTTCGGTGTTGGTAATAATTCAGCCAAAACTATCTGGAAGAGAATCGTTATACGAATCGAATCTTAAGTTTTAAGAAGAAATCGTGGCCGAGAAATACCTTATAAAGTTGCAAAGTAATTTGCACTAAAGTTGACGCGATTTCTTGCACCTCCTCTGAAAATATTTGCAAATGTCCGACCAGAATACTCGTGTAGATGTAATCGAGGGTCTCATCCGCGGGAAATACGACATTGTAGATGGAGAACATGGAGATGAATCTTGGATCCACTTCGTTCCTCCCTCCACCCGGTTTTCCCATTGCTGCCAAATAACCTGTTGTCGCGAAAAATAATTATTTCGAGTATTCGAAGAATCGATTAATCTTGATCTAGGATCGAACTTACACATATCTTTCATGTACATCATAGAAAGATCCTTTCCACGATCGTAAAAGCCACCTTTCTCGAATAAGAATTTGAGAAAAGCGATTGGTTGCTGGGTACCATAAGTGTCCACCAATGGCATGTTCATGTCGTCGATAAAGATCAACAATTTTTTACCAGGAGGTGGCCCGTAAGTTTCTCTCGTTCTTTTCTCCACGGCAGCCTCTATGTTTCTTTGCACGTCCATCGAGGTCGTTCTCGACGAGAAATTTATCATGAGTTGATTCTGATCGAATTACATCGTGAAAAATACTTGAAACATACTCGTATAATAAATTTAATATTAAATTGTTGATAATTAGGAAATTTGGAAATTTACGTATTTTTCAGAGCTCAAGTGTCGAAGAAACTCGAGAATGATAGCAGTCTTCGAGGTACCAGTCTCTCCGACCAAAAGTGCTGGTCGTTCTCGTTCGTTCATTATTTGAACGAACCACGTAGTTCTCAAAGTGTCCATAGTAGGAACTAGGATGTCGGAAAAATGTTTCTTCCTGTCGTGTACATATTCGGGAACCATTAACTTCCATGGGACCCAGATATTTTGTTTCAAGTCCAAAAAGTAATCGTACAACAATTTATTCGTCACGGGAATGTATCCTGTGTCGAATTATTCATCTTCGAATTTATATCAAGTTTTTCTCCATTTTACGCATCAATCAATAATTTTTTTCACTTTATTATTTTTATCTTTATCAACTTACGCACAGTAGCTGGTTTTTCAATGGTGTCCTGGACAAGCATGAAACCGCAAGTTTTCTTTACATAATCGTCGAACTCGGATCTATTTTCTACGACCAGGGAGGCTCCCAAGGACCAGTACAAGGCTTGAATGTACATTGCTTCGAAACATTCCTCTCTAGTGTATTGTGGTTCTATTTTTATTTCTTCCTCTTCATCAATTTTGAGAAGAGAGGCCAATTCAGTATCCAAAGTCACGAGAAGGGCATCGAACACATAGCAAAGTTGCACTACCTAAATAAACAAGCAACTCTTTTTCGTCTATATAATTATGTAATAAATATGATTTCTTGTTCGATCTTTCGCGCTATTGAAACCCGTTTCTAGTCAAAATTAAACGATAAAAATTCCTCTTTTTATATTAGGTTGTATCAAGTGAAATTTTAGAATAAATGACATTTAATTGCGACTTGTTGTACTCTACTTAACCTATATTTCGCTTAGCATTTTTTGACGTTATCCTCTTATATTTCCTTTGTGTAATAAATTTTTTTTTGTGTTAATTTTACTATTTTGAGAAGTGAACAATATGGTGTTATCGAACGAATTTAGAATTCCTGTTTATGAGTTTAAATTAGGCCATAATGGAATTGAAGTATATTAAATATTAGGTTAGCTTTCGGAGAAAATTTTATCAATGAAAGGACCATTTGTTTAATGATGGTTTCAAAAATTTAGATCTGGAAATGAAATCGAAATCCAAAAATAAATCAAAGTGAAGTTAATCCATAAACAAATCATAGAGTTAGAAATATCTTCAATGACAGTTTTCAGATATTTGTGTGCAATAGGTAAAATGAAAAAATTGGAAAAGGAGGATTAAAAGTTGCAAAAGTTGTTTGGAAATGTACTTATTGCATAAAGCTCGAAACAATGGAAGTCCATTTTTGAATAGAATTATAACCTGTAATGGGGAGGATGCCGAAATCATCATTATGGCCGAAAAAATATGGCAATCTGTAAAAGAAATAATTTATTTTTTATTCTTTTCTGAAATAAGGAGATATACCATAACAACAACTACTGCCAAGAAATTGATTAAGAAACAAGCCGTATTATCCGATATTTTTCTGTATGACAACGCTTGATCGCATCGCAAACTACAAAAATTAATTGAATCGAAATATGAAATCTTAATGCATCCACCAGATTATGCATTCACCAGATATTTCACCAATCAATTATTTTGTTTCGCCATTCACGGTTGTTTTTAAAAAATGAAATATTCGAGAAATTTTAATCGCAACATTCGAAGAATTTCTTCGTGCTAAAACCATAAATTTATAAAAATGAAACATGCCAGTTAGAAAAACCTCAAATGGCTCATATTTTGATCGAATAAAGATTATAGTTTCGAAAATATATTGTTTTTCTTCCAACCAAAAATTTCACGTGATACGACCTAATAAATCAGGAATAACCAGATTACGCAATTTTTTCTTTAATAATTCTCATCAGAGTTGTCGAACTAATTAACGTACGAACGTCTAATCGATACCATGTTCAATCCGGTTTGCGGTATAATCATCTTAAGCGGTTTGAGCTGCTGCAATCCGAACATTCCATCTATAATGTAGGTAATCGCTCCATCCACGTATTTGTCGAACAACGCGGTCAACGTCTCCTGATCCGATTCGCTCTTACTACGTATCCATTTGTTCATGTAAGGGTGATAGCCCAGATTCTTCGGATCCACGTACACCATACCTGCTCTCGACACAGTGGCCGGAGAGGCGTACTGCAGGTCGCCTACCTTTTGCCAAAAATAGTGAGTGAAAATAATCGTTCGATTCGCAAATTAAATCCAACGTGTACGATGATATCCACGAAGAGATAATTAAAAAGTGTATCACCTCGAACAATAGACTGCAATGGCCTAGCATTCTGATTCTCTCTTGGTTAGCCAGAGTGAGTAATTTATTGTCATCCATCACGGAATTCATATTCTCGATCCAGAGGGCGTCCACGTCACCGTCGAACAGAATGTATCTTTTCTCGTTCTTGCTCTTGTCGTCCAACGGTTTGTTCACTTCTCGAAAAATTTTGCTCAACAGGCCGTCCGTCCAATCGCGCGTAGTCGGATCCAACACTCCGTACAACTCGTTCACGGTACACGCCTAATAGTAAAAAAGAGATTATCGATTCGGTTTATCTTTTAATCGAAGGGATACCTTCGGGTTCAAGGTGTAGAGTTTGGTAGGCATGCCGAGCCGAGTTTGCGCTTTGCAAAGCGTTTCGATCACGACGGTTTTTCCGCCTCCTGTTGGCCCGATTACCATCGTCGAGTGCCTCGTCATCATTACTTCGTACAGTTGAATCACTTTATCGACCTGTTAAATTGAAATATTATTGTTAAGAATAAAAAACTGGAATAGTTCGAATTTCACATTTTCAATTTGATTTCAACGATTGTTCTTAATTAATCGAGAATTTCCATCCGATCCCAATTATATTTTCGAAAATAATTATTGAAGGGAGAACCAAGACAGAAGGTTAGAATTCGTAGATCGCAATCAGAAAATTCAATGAAAAACTATTACAGTATTTGAATAAGGCAATTCTTTTTCGTGTAATAAGTCATCCGCTTCGAATTATTTTCTTCGAGATAAGTTGATCGTTTTCGTGATAATAATTCCAAGATTAAGAATAATACCTGTTCGGGTAAGCGCATGTAGCCTCGCTCTTCTATCACGTAATTAACGGCTTCATTAAAATCGGGATAATGAACCCTGGGGCAGTCAAGTTCGGGGAACAGATCGGCTATTAATCCAAGGAAGAGTGGGACGTCGTCGAAGATGAATTTAGGAAGATTCATGTCTCGTAGCGCCCTCATCAGCACCAAATTCTCGGACAAGTCGCCCGAAGTTCTTTTCAAGTGGCCGGCCATATTGAGCACCGACTTGAGCGCCCTCAACCCGAAATCGTAGTGATTCTGCTTGCTCAGTTGCTCGCGTGCCAGTTTGTACAGGACTGTCATTTTCTTGGCCAAAACTTTGGCGGTCAAGAAGCCGGAGCTGAACAACTTGATCTGACAGATCAGCTCGTTATCCGGGATTATACACACCACGGGCCTGAACAACGCTTTCACGGATTCTGGAAGTTCCGTTCGACCCGCGTATCCCGGATTCATCGTGATGAATATGCCAACTTTCGAATCGAGCGCTATATCGACGCCTTCGAACTGAGAGATATTTTTCGAGAGATATTAGAAACACGATACGATCTCTCTTTCTTCTTATATTTATTTTGTTGAATTTTTGTTTAGATCAGAGAGATTTACCGTGAATCTGGACGCTTTCGCTATCAAGGCGGATCGTATGGTCTGAAGTTGCGTGGAGATGACGGACAGCACGGATATATCGATGCGATTAAATTCATCGAAGCATCCCCATACACCACACTGCGCCAGGCCACCCAGCGTCTTTCCTATCGCCACGTAATCCATCCCTTCGCCGCAATTAGTCACGATGCACAGTAATCCCAAAGCTTTTGCCAAATCTTTCGTAGTCTCCGTTTTTCCCGTCCCAGCGGGACCTTGCGAGCAGAAAAGGAGAACGATATTTTTTTTTCTCGCTTTCGTCAAGGTATGCAGCGTCGAAAATATTTTTTAAAACGATGGTATACCCGCGGGTGCGCCTCCCAGATGCATCGACAAGGCTTGAGTGATGGTCAAGTATATTCTATCCGTCAAAGGTGTGACCACGAGTCTTCCGTTCAATCCCATATACTCGTAACCGTATTCGAACACGCCCGTGCATTGATGCACCCAAACGTTGTCCAGATCGCGAACCCAATAAAACCTTGACGAAAAAAGAAAAGAAAACGTTGCTTTATTAATTCGATTCGCAGGAAATCGACACGATCGAGCATCTGTTTAAGGAACAGATTGGACGAACCGTAATTGACTCTCCCACTCGAACTCGGAAGGATCTATGATGCTGTCCCTGACAAAACCTTCCACGATGTCTCTCATATGAACGTCGATCGTCAACACCATGTCGAATTTTTTCCTGTCGTTGTTCGTCAACGTGTCGGCGCCCATCAACGTCACCACCTCGTTCAACTGATTGTTCAGCTGCTTCAAATACTGGAAAACCGAGATCGTGAATCGAGATCGAGGAGGGAAGAGAGAAACGAAAGAACGAAAGGTAAGGAAGAAATAAATGTCTCACGTTTTTCATCGCTTGCATCTGTCCGTGAGAAATTCTCACGAAAACGTCCTCCACCTCGGCCGTCCACCATATTTGATTAGCGCACAGGACCATATTCCCTTGAAAGTCTAGCATCCATTCCGTTCTTGGTCTCCTCACCTAGAAAGAGATAGAGAGAGAGAGAAAAAGAAAAACACCTTTAACACCTCTTATTAAGTACTTCCTCCTCACCTTTCCGTAATTGAAGACTGCTTTCTTGGTGAGGAATCGATTCGACCTCTTCATCTCCTCCAACGCGAACACCATCCATTCCTCTATATTCCCTTCGGCCAACACCACGTTCCTAAACTCCATCACCTCCTCCTCGGCTGAAATCAACGCCGTCACTATCTCGCGCTCTGTCTCGCTCAACTCGAACCTGAATTTGTCCAAATTGTCGAACATCTTGCCCACGTGTTCTTGGATGGCGATCGGCACACCGCTGCCGAGGATGTTCAACAACTCGTCGTCGCTGAGGAACGTGAATCGCGGGAACACTGCTCGTTTGCTGTTCAAGTAATCCGTCAACGATTTCTGACACTTGTCCAACGCGCTTATCATCGACTCGAACTCTTCGTGTCGACCTGGCGACCAGAATCGATCCATCCGTTTCATTACGCGTGCGTTTTCGACGAGAATAATTTTTTATCTTTCCTCTCGAAATTTACTAGATTGTGAATAGGGAAATGTTTTACTACCTTTGATCATGCAACAGTCGAGCACGTTCAATCTCTTCGACGTGTCGGCCATGATCTTCTTGAATGATTTGTCGATGTCGTCGAACCTCTTCGCCTCCTCGGGCAATTGCATCCTTATGTCACCGCCCACGAAAATACCCTCGAGGTACAACCACCTCTTCTGCAATTGCAACCACAACTCGAGCACCTCGGAGATCGTGTGCATGATCGACTCCCATTTTTGCACGGTGTCGAGAAACGGGCCGATGAACTGGGATGCGGCCATCGCGTTAACGTTCATCATGTTGTCCTCCAAAATCTGATTCATCTCGTCCGTCGGACCCAGGATGAATCCACGATCCTCGATGCCTGGCGAGAAGGATCCTCGATTATTTTTTTTTTTTTCATTCTTTCGAAATTTTTCGTCCCGTTATTCCGCGTTTGTTACCCTTGTAATGTTTCACCACCGTGAATTCCAACATTTTCCACACGTCGGCCAGATCTTTCAAACCCTTCTCTATGGACAACTCCTTCACGGCGTTCATCACGATCTCCTTGGCTATTTCTTGGTATTTTCCCAACTCCATGGCGAACATGTTCTGCAGGGTGAACCTATCGATCGGAAATGTTTGTTTAAAAAAAAAAAAAAGAAAGAAAGAAAAAAACGCGAATCCAGCGCGTTTTTTCGAATTCGAATCAGCGAGATCGAGAACTCACCCCTTCAACATCTCTATCTCTTTCTCTGCCATATTTTATAAAAAGTTTCTCACTCTATATATATATATATTATATTATAATATATATAATATTATGCTATTAGGTTATTTCATATATTAGTATAATTATGATTGGCAGGATAAAAATTCTGTAAAAAAAAAAAAAATTAATAGCCACTAATTGTAGGGATAATATAGATACGATCCTGAAAAGAGAAATTTACAAAAAAAGAAGAAAAAAGAAAGAAAAAGGGGGAATCACTCAAGGTAAATCACTTTAAAAACACGAAAATGGGATAATAAACGCGGTAATTAAGATTGTTAATTAATTGCTCCTCCATCATCCTCATTTTTCACAATTTTTTTCTAGCAATTTTTTGGACCGTTGTCGTCGCACCTGTCCGGGTCCATATCGAAAAATTGTCCAGTCTTGGTCATCAATTGGTTCCAGTGTCTCTCCCTCATCGCCTCGTTCTTCAACTCGATGAACAACGGGACCGAATTCTTGAAGCTCTTCATGTTGGCCTCCAACGCGTGCCCGATGCTGAGCTCCTTCACGAATTTCGGCAGTTTACGGAATATCCTGATGAAATAGTCCATACCGTCGATCAACTGTTGGGGGTTCAGGTCCGCCCAGAGGGTCTGCGCCCAAACGTTCCTCATCTCCTTCTGCTCCTTGTACAGTTCGAACAACATCTCCATCCCGTTGTAATCCTTCTTCAGTTTCAGGAAGACCGAGTAATCCGTAGCCGGAAGATCGAACAGTATCTCGGAATTGACCAGGTTCCGGTGCGTCTCGTCGTGCTTCGCGATCAATTTCCCGTATTCCTGGACAAATCGAGGAATTATCCTTGGATTGCTACGATTTTTGGAGCGTTTAAACGAAGGAAGAAGCGTAAAGTTAATCCGAACAACGATTTTATTTATGAAATTCTCTTCTCTGTACAATCTTGCAAATCAAATATAAAAATAAAAAGATAAGGAGAATAGAAAAATAAAAAAAATAAGCGATAAAATGAAAAGGAGAACGTTGCGTGGAACGACGTGGATGAATATATAAAAAAGTTGAATTACAACACGAATTTTTAATTATACTTGATTTTAAGTTTAATTTATAAAAAAAAAAAAATTTAATACAATCTATCACGAGTTAAATTAAAATAGATGTTTCGAGATGTTATTATATAAAATTGGAATTTAAATGCTTCTTATTATATTTTGTTCAAATCTTTAAAAAGAGGATTTAAAATTATAACTTTAAAAATTTATTTTTTTATTTTAACTATTTTTAAGAATTTTAGAATTGGTTATTAACTCGTTGAAAAAGTAAAAATTAAAAATTTCGAATAAAGTCGCTTTAAATAATTGCTTAATTAAAATCGAATAACATTTATTCGTAGCTGTTATAATAGATTCTTTCTTCATATAACCTCTCAATTGTTTCACAATTATTCACGATTATTATTATGTCTCGAACAATAAATTATCAAAGGAAATTTATTCATAACTTCAACTATTAACTATATTAACTATCTTTAACTATATTAACTAAAAATTAAAAATTTCGAATAAAGTTGCTTAATTAATGCTCGAATAACATTTATTCGTAGCTGTTATAATAGATTCTTTCTTCATATAACCTCTCAATCGTTTCACGGTACAATTATTCGCGATTATTATTACGTCTCGAACAATAAATTATCAAAGGAAATTTATTCATAACTTCAACTATTAAATCTTCAACTACATTAACTAAAAATTAAAAATTTCGAATAAAGTTGCTTAATTAATGCTCGAATAACATTTATTCGTAGCTGTGTAGTAGATTCTCTCTTCGTATAACCTCTCAATCGTTTCACGGTACAATTATTCGCGATTATTATTACGTCTCGAATAAATTGAAATAAATTATCAAAGTAAATTTATTCATAACTTCAACTATTAAATCTTCAATATATTAACTAAAAATTAAAAATTTTAAATAAAGTTGCTTAATTAATGTTCGAATAACTTTTATTCATAACTGTATAATAGATTCTTTCTTTGTATAACCTCTCAATCGTTTCACTGTACAATTATTCGCGATTATTACGTCTCGAACAATAAATTATCAAAGTAAATTTATTAATAATTTCAACTATTAAATCCTCGTCGTGTATACGAGGTAGATTCTCGAATTAATTTCTAAAAACGAGAGATTAGATTAGAAATTCTGGAAGATTTTCGAAATGTGGTCGTCAATAAAAAGAACAGCAGCCACGATGAATGGCTACTTTCGCCAATTTCCTGCCGCTCATCCATTCGAGTCGAATCGAAAGACGAATCGGTTCTAATCGGAGTGTCAAGACCCATTGGAAAAGTAACTGGTTGAAATTAAAATTTCGAGCAAGGTTATTTAAAGTAATCGCCTATTAAAAAATACTCGAATAACGTTTATTCGTACCTATTACGATCCGTGCGATCCTGCCCATTATTTACGATCGTAAAAAAGTACGTTTCAAACGATAAATTATCGAAATTAACACATTGCGTATATTGCTTATTACTTGCTCAACGCGGGCACTTTAAAAAGAGTATATCATATATGCACTTTTTAATTTACGTTTATAAAGTATTCTTAAATATTGCTATATGTTTCCTAGACATCTATTTATTATATAGGCTTTTTTTTAACTATTATTTGTTATATAAATAAAATTAAATCGATTAATTATTATTTACTTTACAAACTCGAATAACGATATCCGATGAAGCATTTTTCTTTCGTTTTTTGCAATTACATCTAGTTTCGTTTCCTTTTTCCATTCGATAACATTCGAACAGACTTTACATTCTTTTATCGGGAATTTCGTCTTCCCAATTATTGCTTCGAGTGTTTTTTAATTCCTCGAATCGTCGAAACATTGAAACGAGATATCTCCAATATATTACCCAATGCGTCAACCATCAAATTTCCCCTTTCATCACCTTATCCTTACCATCAAACCACTTACCTCTCACTTACCCCTCATCAATTTCAACGAAAAGCGTTTCGTCAAATTGAAACTTGAAAAACATCCTCTCACTCACCTCCATCTTGACCAATCCAAGCTCCAGATCGTCGCCCACGCTTCCAGGCCCGTAGGCCTCGAAATTCTTAGCGAATTCCTCGAGCTCCTTAACGAAGTCGTATATCTGGTCCTGCGTCATCCCCGAAAATCTGTCGGAGGTGCTCTCGAGGGTGGATGCTCTGTACAAGGCGCCCAGATACAGGGATTCCCAGTCGCGTTGCAGATCGTAGGCAGCTCGCTCGTCGTCCTCGGGGAACGATATATTGTGGCTGCGAAATGCTAGAAAGGTTTCCTGGGGCGAAAGAAAGATTAAGGATAGCGAGCGACGTTGGAGGTTCGTTCATTTTCATTTTTCCCTCCCCGCCCCTTCGAACCTGGCACGTGGTGTAGCAAACTTCCGCTTGAATGGCCATCTTCTTTATGTCTGCGATCGCCTGCATGACGGACGTGAACCGGCTAAGACCGGTGATCACCAACTCGACCTCGGCCCGCAACCCGTCCATTATCACGTGCAACTCGTTCATCTCGTTGTTCGTCCGCATCAGAAGGTAATTACCTAGCACTTGTTTCCATTCTATCGCGTGTTGCTCGATACTAAGGAGGAGGGAGCTCAGGTTGATGCTATTGGGAATTGGAAATTCGAATTTCGAGTTTCGTTTTTTTCCAATATATTAGGTGGTGATATATACTAGGATGTTTCATAAGTTTATTTCTTTCTTTTTTTTTTTTTTTTTTTTTTTTTTACGAAATCAATACACGATGTTCGTTGTTTAAAGTTGACTTTAATTACGTTTTTTTATTGCGTTATATATGAATCGTTCTGCTCTATCACCTTTTTCCATCTCTTTTATTGGGATTTATTAGGATGTCCCATAACTTTTTTTTTTTAATAATACGAAATGAATACACGATATTGGGATTTATTAGGGTGTTCCATAAGTTTCTTCCTTTTCTTTTTTATTTTTTTTTTTTTTTTTTTTTTTTATACGAAATGGAAGAAGGCGATAGAACGATTTATATATTACGCGATAATTAACAAGGAAGCCTCGTTATTTCCTTTTCCCAAAATTGTTGGAGTTTATTACAGGATGTCCCATAAGTTTCTTTCTTTCTTTTTTTCTTTGATACGAAATCAATACACGATGTTCGTTGTTTAAAGTTGACTTTAATTACGTTTTTTTATTGCGTTATATATGAATCGTTCTGCTCTATCACCTTTTTCCATCTCTCTTATTGGGATTTATTAGGGTGTCCCATAAGTTTCTTTCTTTTTTTTTTTTTTTTTTTTTGATACATAAATGAATACACGATGTTTGTTGTTTAAAGTTGATTTATCGTATTATATTAGAATGTCCCATAAGTTTTTTTCTATTTTTTTTTTTTTTTTTTTTTTGATACGAAATCAATATACGATGTTTGTTGTTTAAAATTAATTTATCGCGTTACATATAAATCGTTCTTTATCATCTTTTTCCATCTTTCAGAAAACTTCGTTATTTTCTTTTTCCAAAATTGTTAAGATTTATTAGGGTGTCCCATAATTTTTTTTTTTTTTTTTTTTTAATAATACGAAATGAATACACGATGTTGAGATTTATTAGAGTGTTCCATAAGTTTCTTTCTTTTTCTTTTTTTTTTTTTTTGATACGAAATGGAAGAAGATGCGATAGAACGATTTATATATTACGCGATAATTAACAAGGAAGCTTCGTTATTTCCTTTTCCCAAAATTGTTGGAATTTATTAGGGAGTCCCATAAGTTTTTTTTCTTTTCTTTTTTTTTTTTTTTTTTTGATANTGTTTGTTGTTTAAAGTTGATTTATCACGTTATATTAGTATCTCATAAATTTCTTTCTTTCTTTTTTTTTTTTTTTTGATACGAAATCAATACACGATATTATTTAAAATTGATTTATCGCGTTATATTAAGGTATTCATAAGTTTCTTTCTTTTTTTTTTTTTTTTATATACGAAATGGAAGAAGACGATAGAGCATAATGATTCATATATTACGCGATAATCAACAAGAAAGCCTCGTTATTCCAAAATTGTTGGGATTTATTAGATATATCCCATAAGTTTCTTTCTTTCTTTTTTTCTTTGATACGAAATCAATACACGATGTTTGTAGTTTAAAATTGATTTATCACGTTATATTAGAATATCCCCCAATAAATTTCTTTCCTAGCATCACGCTAGAAATCACTTTGATTGACTTTTATCTTTATATATATAACATGCAGGCTTATCTATTAACCGTTATTTATGGCATCGATTTCAATCAGTCACACGTACTCTTTTAAAACATTTTTCTATACCATTCGAATAATCAAAGGAAGCATGTCGTGCTTTAAAAAAGGTGCGAATAAATACAATAATAATACAATAATAAATACAATAATAATACTACCGTCTGCAATTGGAATTTTTAGATTATTTTTAAATTAGAGCTGGCAATTTTGACTCGAAGAGCACGGATATTGCGGCCCTCGTCAAGTGCCATGCTCGCTGAAAATCCGCGAGACAGTGGATCCCAATCTCAAGATACGCAATCAGGACGAGATACGACGTCGATCGACACCCTAATGGCCCCCTAATGATCACGAACCTTATGGAATAGAGGCCGTAGGTGGACTTCATCTCCACCAGCTCCTCGAGGATGTTGCTGTAGAAGGAGAATTTCTCGTCGTATTGGTGGAGGGTTGGCTGGGTGGCCGCGTACTTCTCGGCTGCGAGATTCTTGTCGAACGACCACAGAGTGCTGTACTTCTTCCACCTTTGCAGATAGTTCCACGCTTCCAACGCCAATTTATGGGCCGTCCTTTGAATCGTTATTATCGTGTCGTTCACTATCTGGAGAGGATCGATCCTTAAATCTTCTTTCCTAGAGAGAGAGAGAGAGAGAGAGAGAGAATTCCCTCCAATCGGCTCACCTGAATGCTCATCAAATCCTCGAAGAAGGTGAAGTTCACGAACGTGTCGTTTTCGGTCTTTGTTTGCGGTTTACATTCCAAGCAACTGCCGTTCATCCATCTGGGGAACAATTTCAGCTGCTCCAAGAGATTCCTCTCGTTCTGCAATATGATGTTGTAGATTTCGGTCGGGGAAGGTCTCATGACCACCTCGGAGGCTATCAGGACAGCGTCCACTTGAAACATCGGTTTCGTATCCGTCAACTTTTTGTTGAAGTACTCGAGATTCTTCGTTATGCATCTGAAAAGTTGAGAAATGCTCGATTTAACACGTTGACTGCCGCGTCACCCATATTCGCTTATTTCGCTAATTATGAACGATCTTTGTAGCCATTTAGAAAAGATATTCTGCAGGATAATAAAACTATTAAATTGTTATAAAAATAATAAAAAAATAATTTATTCAAAAAATTATTTTGAATTTTAAAACGTTCTATAGAAAATTGAGGTTGACAATTTGGATAAAAATTTGTTTTTTTTAAATTTTTTCGTGATAGTAAAAGTTCTCATTGGGCCACGTCATCCATATTTGGGTTTTTTGACTATTTGACTATTTATGAACGATCTTTGTAGATACTTGGAAAGATATTCTGCAGGATAATAAAACTATTAAATTATTATAAAAATAATAAAAAATTATTTTGAATTTTAAAATGTTCTATAGAAAGTTGAGGTTGACAATCCGGATAATTTGGATTAAAAGTTTTTTTTTTTAAATTTCTTCGTGACAGCAAAAATTCTCATTGGGCCACGTCATCCATATTTGGATTTTTTGACTATTTGACTATTTATGAACGATCTTTGTAGATACTTGGAAAGATATTCTGCAGGATAATAAAACTATTAAATTTTTAATTATAAAAATAATAAAAAATTATTTTGAATTTTAAAACGTTCTATAGAAAGTTGAGGTTGATCCGGACAATTTGGACAAAAATTTGTTTTTTTTAAATTTTTTCGTGACAGTAAAAGTTCTCATTGGGCCACATCACCCATATTTTTTGACTATTTGATTATTTATGAACGATCTTCGTAAGCATTTGGAAAGATATTCAGCAGGATAATAAAACTTATAATAAAACTTAAAATTAAATTGTTATAAAAATAATAAAAAAATTATTTTGAATGTAAAAACGATCTTTGTAGGCATTTGGAAAGATATTCTGTAGAATAATAAAATTTTATTAAATTATTATAAAAATAATAAAAAAAAATTAATTTAAATTAATTTAATTTATTAAAAATTAATTATTAATTAAAAAAATTATTATTAATTAAAAAAATTTAATTTATTAAAAATTAATTTAATTTATATTAATAATAAATTTAATTTATTAAAAAAATTATTTTAAATTTTAAAATGTTCTATAGAAAGTTGAAGTTGACAATCCGGGCAATTTGGACAAAAAGTTGTCTTTTTTAAATTTCTTCGTGACAGCAAAAGTTCTCATTGGGCCCTCATAAAATATGGGTTCTCACGTCACCCATATTTGGGTTTTTTGACTATTTGACTATTTATGAACGATCTTTGTAGGCATTTGGAAAGATATTCTGCAGGGTGTAATGAAATTATTAAATTGTTATAAAAATAATAAAAAAATAATTTATTAAAAAAATTACTTTGAATTTTAAAACGTTCTATAGAAAGTTGAAGTTGACAATCCGGACAATTTGGACAAAAAGTTATCTTTTTTAATTTCTTCGTGACAGCAAAAGTTCTCATTGGGCCACGTCACCCATATTTGGGTTTTTTGACTATTTGACTATTTATGAACGATCTTTGTAAGCATTTGGAAAGATATTCAGCAGGATAATAAAACTTATAATAAAACTTAAAATTAAATTGTTATAAAAGTAATAAAAAAATTATTTTGAATGTAAAGAACGATCTTTGTAGGCATTTGGAAAGATATTCTGCAGAGTATAATGAAATTATTAACTATTAAATTTTAAAACATTCTATACAAAACTGAGGTTGATCCAGACAATTTGGACAAAAAGTTGTTGTCTTTTTTAAATTCCTTCGTGCGTTTGATCGGTCCGTATGTCGTCTTTTATCCGAATAACATAATTTGCATACAATCTAATATTTATATCAGAATTATTTATCCGAACGGCGATATTATGTTGATTCCGTTGAAGGTGTTGACAACCTTTCGTTGTATTTTCGGATAATCCCAACAATTTTGCAGCTAATAATTCTCTAAATCTTCTAATTTTGGGGTATCACGAGTCTCATGGTGATACCACAATTAGATAATTTATGAACATATCGTGCTCTGACACGATTACCTGCTATGACCCTCTCTAATAGACAAGCCACACGAATAATTTATACACAACTAAGAAGTACATTTCTTACGACTAGTCGAAGAGCATTCGACAGTCATATCATCCAAATTATAATCCAAATTATCCAAATTAAAATATCCAAAATATACTATATAAATCAGTACTACTATACTATTGTCAATACAATTACTATTATCAATATTTCTATTGCGAACAGTAATGGAAACAAATGATACTACACCATCATTCTTGCGACCACCAAACTCTCATTACTAAAATATCCCTAGAAGTACTGAAGTATGTTTGATACAACGTGGCCTGAAGGAAACTTCATTAGAAACACGCATGGCAATCAACGTCCATTCTACAGTTCAAAAAAGAAAGAAAGAAGAGAAGATAAGAGAAGAGAAGAGAAAAGAAGAGAAGAGAAAAGAAGAGAAGAGAAGAAAAGAGAAGAGAAAAGAAGAGAAGAGAAGAGAAAAGAAGAGAAAAGAAGAGAAAAGAAGAGAAGAGAAAAGAAGAGAAGAGAAGAGAAGAGAAGAGAAAAGAAGAAAAGAGAAGAGAAGAGAAGAGAAGAGAAGAGAAGAGAAAAGAAGAGAAGAGAAGAGAAGAGAAGAGAAGAGAAGAGAAGAGAAGAGAAAAACTCACGTTATGAAAGCGGAGAATATTTTCCTCTCGTATTTCTCGTAATAGAGTTGCATGGCGGTACACTTGCCGGTGTACGTGCCGAATATAAGGCTTTCCAACTTGATGAGAATGGGGCTGATCGACTGATACGTGGTGGACATCGCCGTGGCAAGTTCGACTCTCTTCACCTGCATCTCTTGGAAGAACATCTTGCAGGGTAGCAAGGTTATCAGCTCGTTCTCGTTGTCGTAATATTTGTTGGGAAGGGAGAAGAGGTCGTAGTTCTGCAAATCGTTGAATATCCTGTTGTCGAGATCGTTCTTTATGTGATTCAACTGGTCGACCAACGAGTTCAAATTTTTCAACAATTTCTCGCACTCGTGCGCGTAATCGGGTATGTTCAGAGAGTTCCAATTTATACGCATCACTCCGGGCTGTATGTGCTTCTCGATGTCCAATAAGATGTTCTTCAACAATTCTATCTGTAATAACGAGGATGGATGATAATTCATCGGTTTGCGCTTTCATTTAATCTTCAAAGGTTCACCGCTGGAAAGAAGTCTCGTATAGAAATTTAATATTATTATTATATATAATTTAATATTATATATATTATATTATAGTATTATATATATTATATTATATTATATTATATATATATATTATATATATAATATATATATTATTTTGAAGTTAGGAATAAAATTATTTGGACAATTTGTCGTTCGAAAGATGGTATATAATAATTGGAATGGCATATGGATCGATTGCAGTGGCTAAGAATATTATTAGAGCATTTTAATGAGGGACTATTTAAAGTAATTTCGAAATTTCTAATTAGTTAGTTTTTTGAGTTAATGCTTCTGCATAGAGGCAAAGCTACTTATGTCCATCTATCTTCTTTAGACATTAGTTTGTTGATATTACTAGTAGTAAAATAATTATAATTTGAATATTCAAAATTATAAAAATTACTTTCATTTGTAAAGTTAAAGATAATCATCTAAGATTTGGAAGTTGAAATATTAATAAAATTAAAATATATCTATAGTATCTATCATATCTATAGTATGTAATTTTATTCAAAATTTTTACTTTCTTGAGTTAATTCTTCTGAATAGGGGAAAGACATGTTCTTTGCTAGGACCATGTATCTCTACCTATCTCTTTAGATATTTAATATTTTGTTGATACTACTAGAAGAGTTATAAGTTAGTAGTAAGTAAGTAGTAGAAGAGTTATAATTTAAATATTTAAAATCATAAAAATTACTTTCATTTATAAAGTATTATCATTTATGTTAAGGATAATCATCTAAGATTTGGAAGTTGAAATATTTTTAAAATTATCTATAGTATGTAATTTTATTTTTAACTACTTTTTTAAATTAATGCCTCTGCATAGGACAAAAGAGATGCTAGGATCATCTATCTTCACTTCAAATGTTTTGTTGATATTACATAATAGAAGAGTTTTAATTTAAATATTTAAAATCGTAAAAATTACTTTTATTTGTTTAAAGTTACGTTAAGGATAATTATCTAAGATTTGAAAGTTGAAATACTTTCAAAATTATCTATAGTATGTAATTTTATTTAAAATTTTTATTTTCTTCAGTTAATCCTTCTGAATAGGAACAAGACACGTCCTTTGCTAGGACCATACATCTCTTCAGATATTTATTATTTTGATACTACTAATAGTAGAAGAGTTATAATTTAAATATTTAAAATCATAAAAATTACTTTCATTTGTAAAGTTACGTTAAGGATAATCATCTAAGATTTGGAAGTTCAAATATATTTAAAATTATCTATAGTATATAATTTTATTTTTAACTAGTTACTTTTTTAAATTAATGCTTCTGCATAGGACAAAAGAGATGCTAGGATCATCTATCTTTACTTCGAACGTTTTGTTGATACTACATAGTAGTAAAGGAATTACAATTTAAATATTTAAAATTGTAAAAATTACTTTGTAAAAGTAAATTGTAAAAGTTACGTTAAGGATAATTATAAATCTAAGATTTGGAAGTTGAAATATTTTCAAAACTATCAAAATTTTTAAAATTTTTTAAATTTTTAAATTTATTCAAAATTTTTAACTAATTACTTTCTTGAATTAATGCCTCTGCATAGGACAAAAAAGATGCTAGGAACATCTATCTCCACTTCAAACGCTTGTTGATACTATTATAGTAGAAGAGTTGTAATTTGAATATTCAAAAATGTAAAAATTATTTTCATTTGTAAAGTTATGTTAAGGATAATGAAATATTTTTGAAATTATCTATATATATATAATTTTATTCAAAATTTTTAACTTATAGTTACTTTAATGACTAATAACTAATAGTTACTTTCTTGAGTTAATCCCTCTGAATAGGGACAAGAGACGTCCTTTGCTAGGACCATGTATCTCTACCTATCTCTTCAGACATTTATTACTTTGTTGATACTACTAATAATAGAAGAGCTATAATTTAAATATTTAAAGTTGTAAAAATTACTTTTATTTACGAAGTTAAAGATAATCATCTAGTCAAAGTTAAAGATAATCATAATCTAAAATTTGGAAGTTGAAATCTATTCAAAACTATCTATAATACGTAATTTTATTCAAAATTTTTACTTTCTTGAGTTATTCCTTCTGAATAGAGGAAAGACACGTCCTATGTTGGGATCATATATCTTCACCTATCTCTTCAGACATTTATTACTTTGTTGATACCACTAGTAATTTTATTCAAAATTTCTAAGTTCTTTTTTGAATTAATACCTCTGCACAGAGGCAAGAAGTTCTTTGCTAAGATTACCTCTTTTATTTATAAATCAATGCATATTATGAGAAATACCAAAATTTTTACATCACGTGGACACGTTAGAATAAAATAGTTAAAATTATGAATAAAGTTATTTGGATAGTTTATCATTCCCATAATAATAATTGCAAATAATGCTGAGGTTATACTCAAGTGAATCAACTATAATAGCTACGAATAAATGTTATTCACTGTTACTCAAACATTTTAATAAGTAACTACTTAAAGTAACTTGGTTAAAAATTTCTAACTAGTTACTTTTTTGAGTTAATGTCTCTGTACAAGGGCAAGAGAGGTTCTTTGCTAAAATTATCTATCTTCATTGTTGACACTACATAGTAATAAAAGTGCTATAATTTAAATATTTCAAAACCGTAAAAATTATTTTCATTTAATTAATTATTTTCATCAAAGTTAAGGATAATTATCCAAGCTGAAATATTTTCTATCTCTAGTAATAATTCTAGCTTACTCGAATACGAAATTATATTTATAAATTAACTACAATAGCTACCAATAAGTGTTATTCAAACATTTTAATAAGTAACTTAATAAGTTACTTAAAGTAAATTGGTTAAAAATTTCTAACTAGTTAGTTTTTTGAGTTAATGCCTCTGTACAAGAGCAAGAGAGGTTCTTTACTAAAATTATCTATCTTCATTGTTGACACTACATAGTAATAAAAATGCTATAATTTAAATATTTCAAAATCGTGAAAATTACTTTCATTTACTAAATTAAAAATAATTATCCAAGCTGAAATATTTTCCAAAAAATCTACCTAATCTAATCTATAATATAATTCTAATCTATAATATAATTCTCGAATACGAAATTACATTTACAAATCATATCATGGAGAAATACCAAAATTTTTACATCACATCGACACGTTAAAATAAAATAGTTGAAGTTACGAATAAAGTTATTTGGATAATTTATCGTTTGCATAATAATAATTGTAAATAATGGCTGAGATTATAAGCGAATCAACTATAATCAACAACAATTAATAAATGTTATTCAAAATATTTTAATAAGTAACTATTTTGTATATATATTTTAATAATATATATTTTTTAATAAGTAACTTTTAAAGTAACTTGGTTAAAAATTTCTAGTTACTTTTTTGAGTTAATGTTTCTGCAAAGAGGCAAGAAAGATCCTTTGCTAAGATTACCTATCTCCACTTCATTGTTGACACTATATAGTATAATAAAAGTGCTAAAATAATTTAAATAGTAAATTATATAATAGTAAATTAAATTCAAAATAGTAAAAATTACTTTCATTTAATAAATTAAAAATAATTATCCAAGCTGAAATATTTTCCAAAAAATCTACCTAATCTAATGTATAGTATAATTCTACTGTTATTCAAAATATTTTAATAAGTATTTTAATAAGTAACTATTTTATATATATATTTTAATAATATATATTTTTTAATAAGTAACTTTTAAAGTAACTTGGTTAAAAATTTCTAATTACTTTTTTGAGTTAATGTTTCTGCAAAGAGGCAAAAAAGATCCTTTGCTAAGATTACCTATCTCCACTTCATTGTTGACACTATATAGTATAATAAAAGTGCTAAAATAATTTAAATATTTCAAAATCGTGAAAATTACTTTCATTTACTAAATTAAAAATAATTATCCAAGCTGAAATATTTTCCAAAAAATCTACCTAATCTAATCTACAATATAATTCTACTCGAATACGAAATTACATTTACAAATTATATCATGGAGAAATACAAAAATTTGAATATAGAATAACTCCCCGAATTCTAATCCCCCCCACGGATAAACGGATATAAAACAGAAACGAGACTTCTTCTTTTCAGCAATGAACAATAAAAAATAAAAAATAAACGCGTATGTTCGATCCGTACGTCCGCTTTATCCATTTTCTCGAGCATCGAGTTGTACTGATCGATCAACTTTTGCATTACTTCGAGGTCGTGTCTCAACCGATTTTTCTGTATACTGGCATCTTTCACTATGGGTGACAGCTCGAAGCCCAGTTGCTCCATCAATTCTGCCTGCCGGTTAAAAAGTAACAGCTAACGATTATCCGATAATCGAACGAGGCGACGACAGAACAAACGCCGTACCTCGTGAATTATCTCGAACAAATTCCAATCAAAGTTCACTTGGAAACGGAGCTGACACTCGATGAGAATCGACCCGCTCATAAATTCCGTCCAAGTGATCTTCACCATCTGATGATGCCCTGCCCCTCCCTTCTCCGACGAGGTGATCGACTTTTGATCCCTGTGGCTCGAAAACCCCCCTCCCCCTCCCCCTCCCCCCCTCTGCCCGTCCGTTTTCGTATCCCTTATCCTCGTGATCCCAGAGCTACCGGTATCTTTGTTCGCAACAAAAGAAGAGAGAGAGAAAAAAAATAAAAAAAAAAAAAAGAAAGAAAATAAATAATTATACACCACTCGTCTCGACGATCTTTCAAAAGAGAAATTCTCAATTTTCACCGATGCTCGGCTTCGACATCTCGTAGTCGCCTCGGTTTTGAACCGATTCCTGGGGGGTGGAGCCGGGTGAAAGGAACTCCTTGCTCCTCGGTTTCGGATTCGCCGATTGGATATTCCTCGTCACCGGTTTTTCGGTAATAGGGAAGGGCAGTAAACCTGAACGATTAATATTAAATATATTTCCTATACGACCAATTGAATATAAATATAGATATAATTCCTATGAAAATACAGATATAATTATAAATATAATAAATATAGATATAATTCCTATGATATACGATATATGATTTTCTTTTCGCAACCTTTGTCAGGATCGGATCGCATCATCATCAGGATGTTCCTTCTCATAGTGTTCATCACGATCATTTGAGCTTTATCCGTCCACTGCTGGAACTTCAACTCCTCGTACGACTTCAATTGTTTGGAGAGGTCGTAGTACTGGTTGAACGCTAGGATCTTCAGGTGGCTGTACTTGAGCTCAGCCACGTTTTGGATCGTCAACACGGGCTTTCTCAGGCGGTGGAACAACTGTCTCACCCAGTATATGGCGCCAGCCATAGGGGGATGATACCTCAACAACGGGGGGCTTCGCTTCCCTGAAATCGAATATCTTCATCAAATCGAATATCTTCGGCATTCAAGATATTCCCTTCCCACCCTCCTTTCTTTCCTTTACCTCACCTCTGTTGAATATACCCTCGACGGTGCTGACTTCCTTGCTGAACTGTTGCATCACGACGTCGAACTTCTTCATCAACTGCTGATGGATGCTGGCCCTTGTCTTGATGTCCTTGAATTTGATCAGCATCTCGAGGGCCGATTCCGCGCTGATCAACACGTGGAAGCACTCGTCGAGGAAGAATTTCGCCTCGTTCTCGAGGAAGTAGACCTCCTCGAAGAAGAGGGACAGGGTCGCCTCCCAGTTCTCCTTGTTGAACTCGTCGAATATGTTGTAGTCGGCGTTCAGTATAGGCATCACCAGTCTGTCCACCCTTTTTATCACCGTGTCGATTTGGGCTGGATCGCTGATGATCGATTTGAGGTAGGGGCCGAAGATATTGTGGAAGTCTTGGAGGACGTTGGCTATCTGGTTCAAACCGTCGCAAACCGAGGCTATGTACTCGGTCCCCTGGAACAATCGTTTCTGATCGAACTCCCACCGCTTCCCCTTCCCCGAGATCTCGATGTCCTCGCGGCTCTTCAGGTAAGCTTGCTTCCAACTCCTCAGCATCGTGCAAGCCGTCTCCGTTTTCTCCAAAATCTTCTCCAACGGGTATCTGAATGATGATGTTACGTGTATAGAATGATATATATATATATCATTCTATATATATTTCTATATATCATATATCTATATATCATTCTATATATATATTTCTATATATCATTCTATATATATATTCTATATATATTCTCTCTCTCTCTCTATATATATATATATATATATATATAGTCCATTTTCTTGTTTTTTTTTTTTTCTCGTTTCGGACAGGAGAGAGAGAGAGAGAGAAAGGAGAGAATAATTTACCTGAACAGCATGTTTATGGACAAGTTTTTGATCACGGTTTGGGATAATTGCCACGAGATCCTCTCCATCAAACCGACCATCCTCTCCTCGACCGAGTAGTACGGGGACAAGACCCAGATCATTCTTATCCCTTCCATCAGGGGGGGGATGGACTGCATGATCGAATTGAAGCAGCTCGACTCCGTCATCAACTATTTGTTATTGCATTCGTTTCGTTTGTTATAGTTTATTTTAATTTTATTTATATTATTTTATTACATGTTATTTATGTTATTTTTAATTTATATTATAATAATATTTATATATAATAATATATTTAGTTTTAATTTATAATATTATAATAAAATTGTATATTATTTTCGTTTTTCATGGAAGAGAAATGTAATCAGTTCCCGTAAGCTTCTTTTCTAAGTTGGGAACGATTGGCTATTTTTATGTGAACGCGCAGGCTTCGTTCTATTTTGGGTTTTCGATTTTAAATATAAAAAATTGATGAAAATTTTGAAATTATTCAAGTATTATTCTTTAGACGTTATACATTGGTTTTTGATGATAATGTAACGCGACAAATATTTTTTTTCTATTATATTTATTCTATATTCTATATTCTATATTCTATTATATTTATTCTGTATTTTTATTCTATTATATTATTATGTTATATTATTTTTTTCCTGGAACGTTTATATTTTATCATTTCCAAATGTTGTGTATATTATTTTTACGAAAAAATTAATTTATATAGTATAATTTATATAAAATAATTTATATAGTTTATATAAATATATTTATATAGTATATTTATATACTTATAAATTAATTTATAAATATATATAATATATATATAATTATAAAAATATATAATATAAAAATATATAAATTAATCGATTATTGGGAAATAAGAAAAATGAAATAACAATGAATAAGAATGAAACAACACCAAGAAAATTACGATTGTTTAACGATAAATACACGATCGAACAAGTTGTTTTTACGATTGTGATGTGATAACAAATAATCCTTTCAAGAGAATTTTCCAATCTTGAAAAAGATTTTTGTAAGTAAATTTGTCTTATTATTTTATAAAACAGATAATTTCTAAAAAAAAAAAAAAAATATGTGCTATTTGGAAGCTTAGCAAAAATTTATTTTCAGAAGTGAAGATTTGAATTTTTCAAGATATTTTCAAAACCTGTCCAAAAATATATATATTTTGCCTATTTAGCTAAGGGTATTGTGGGCAAGTCTTCAAGAGATATGGAATTGATAAAAAGAATAATCAGCAATAAATGAAGACCAATCTGGATCGAATTCTGATATGAACGAATCAAGCGAAAGCGAGGAAGAATTTGACAATATAAATTGAAGATTCTGACGACAGAATGAAAATTATCGCAATATATATACCGTGAAAGAAAAAGAATGCGTATTACTTCAGATACTGAAAGCGAAAGTGAAATAAAAGAAGCTGAAAAGACGAAGAAAATAGCGCGAAACCAGGATCCCCTTCACGTGTTTTATAATTTTTTCAGATTTGATAGCCATCGATGCCTGCCAATCATTATTTCTAATTATTTTTACAAATTTAAGGATTTACAAAATTAAGGATTATTATTACAAAGAGATCACTGGAGTAAACAAAACTCGAAAGAATTTTCTCTTTCAATTGGCTGAAGAAGTTGGGCAGTGACGACGAACAAAATACTAGCTTCGATCCATTGTCTAGAGTCTAACTATTTATTTGCATTAAATCTGAGTATGTATGCAAAAAATAGTTTTTCAAGACAAAGTTTACAATAAAAAAATAATAAAAAATGTATTGAAGACAAGATAAATAAAAATCTATATTTAAATAAATAATTTACAAAAAATTGCATTTTGATATAAAATCGAAAAGACGATAGATTTCAATAAAAAAAAAGGTGTATGTCCATAAATCTAGTGTTAAGATGTTTCCTCCATAAGTTTCTTTAGCCAATGACTGGCTTCGACTGGCTATTTTTAAATGAAATCACTTGTCCCAAAGCTTCTTTAATTTACCTTTCATTGGTAAATGACAGAGGTCTTTCTTAACACCGTATTCGAGTGACGCTTATTATTTGACTATGATTTACTTAAGAATCTTCCAAAAGATATTTGAAAAGATATTCCACAGGATGTAATAAAACTATCGAATAAAAGCAATGCAAAAATGGTTAAGAATAGGGGACTCGTGAAGCGGTCGGGTAACCTGGCTTTTATTTTATTCAACGGTTCGAGTACCGTCAATGGCCTGACAATAATTTATGAGCAGGCATAGTTTTCCTTTTTCCAGATCTCTAATTTAAAACAAAGACGCACACAGCATAGGCCACTTCGCATTAGCATGCAATGCGATAGATCATTGCGAAAGGGATCGCGAACCATTGATCCCCTCTCTGCGTCCATTTTTCATGAAAAACAAGGATTGGAGGAAAACCCAAGACTCGTGACTGTGTTGCGATTGAGTTGATGTAGAAATGGAGACTAGAAATAAATAGAATTTGAGAACGACACAGTGTACATCAAAACATAGTTGGAATGATTAATAATTGTAGTTAATAATTACAGTTAATATATTAATCCTTATTAATAGATGGTTCTTTGAGCATCTACCATCAGTTTAGTTAGCATTGTGTTTAGATAGAATTCGAGGACAACAGTATACATCATCAAAATACAGTTGGAATGATTACATTTAATAATTATAGTTAATAATTACAGTTAATATATTAGTCTTTAGTAGTGGGTGGTCTTTCGAGCATTTAATATTGGTTTAGTTAGCATTTGTGCAATATCCAAAGTCAGTTTAAATAGAATTCGAGTGTACATCAGTGTACATCATCGAAATACAGTTGGAATGATTACAGTTAATAGTTGTAGTTAATAATTACAGTTAATATATTAATTCTTATTAGTAAATGGTCCTTTGAGCATCTATCATCAGTTTAGTTAGCATTGTGTGTAGATAGAATTCGAGGACGACAGTATACATCATCAAAATATAGTTGGAATGATTACAGTTAATAGTTGTAGTTAATAATTACAGTTAATATATTAGTCCTTATTAGTGGGTGAGCCTTCAAGCATTTACTATCAGTTTAGTTAGCATTGTGTTTAGATAGAAGGACGCCAGTATACATTATCAAAATATAGCTGGAATGATTACAGTTAATAGTTGTAGTTAATAATTACAGTTAATATATTAGTCCTTATTAGTAAATGGTCTTTCGAGCATTTAATATTGGTTTACTTAGCATTTGTGCAATATCCAAAGTCAGTTTAGATAGAATTCGAGTGTACATCAGTGTACATCATCAAAATACAATTGGAATGATTACAGTTAATAGTTGTAGTTAATAATTACAGTTAATATATTAGTCTTTATTAATAGGTGATCCTTTGAACATTTACCATCAGTTTAGTTAGCAGTGGGCTTAAATAGAATTTGAGGACGACAGTATACATCATCAAAATATAGTTGGAATGATTACAGTTAATAGTTGTAGTTAATAATTACAGTTAATATATTAGTCCTTATTAGTGGGTGGGCCTTCAAGCATTTACTATCAGTTTAGTTAGCATTGTGTTTAGATAGAAGGACGACAGTATACATTATCAAAATATAGTTGGAATGATTACAGTTAATAGTTGTAGTTAATAATTACAGTTAATATATTAGTCTTTATTAATAGGTGATCCTTTGAACATTTACCATCAGTTTAGTTAGCATTGGGCTTAAATAGAATTTGAGGACGACAGTATATATCATCAAAATATAGTTGGAATGATTACAGTTAATAGTTGTAGTTAATAATTACAGTTAATATATTAATTCTTATTAGTAAATGGTCCTTCGAGCATCTAATATCGGTTTAGTTAGCATTTGTGCAATATCCAAAGTCAGTTTAAATAGAATTCGAGTGTACATCAGTGTACATCATCAAAATATAGTTGGAATGATTACAGTTAATAGTTGTAGTAATTATAGTTAATATATTAGTCTTTATTAGTAGATGGTCCTTCGAATATTTAATATCAATTTAATTAGCATTTGTGCAAAATCCAAAGTCGGCTTAGATAGAATTCAAGGACGACAGTGTACATCATCATTGAAATATAGTTGGAATGATTACAGTTAACAGTTATAGTAATTAATTAATATATTAGTTCTTATTAGTAGTTCTTACGTGATCCTTCGAGCATCAGTTTAGTTAGCATTTGTGCAATATCCAAAGTCGGCTTAGATAAAATTAGAGGACGACAGTGTATATCATCAAAATAGTTGGAATGATTATAGTTAATAATTACAGTTAATATATTAGTTCTTATTAATAGGTGTCCTTCGAGCATCAGTTTAGTTAGCATTTGTGCAATATCCTTATTAGTGGGTGGTTCTTCAAATATCTAACATCAGTTTAATTAGCAGTTGTGCAATATCCAAAGTCGGCTTAGATAGAATTCGAGGACGACAGTGTACATCATCAAAATAGTTGGAATGATTATAGTTAATAATTACAGTTAATATATTAATCCTTATTAGTAAGTGGTCCTTGGAACATATAACATCAGTTTAGTTAGCATTTGTGCAATATCCAAAGTCGTTTATCATTTTCGATTTTAATAATTTATTAAAAGAATTATTTAGAATGTAAAAGTTTAAAGCATTCTATACAAAGGTGAGA